CTGATGCGTTGGTCAACAACCAATGGATCCGTGACCTTCGTGGCTCCTTGGGCATCCATTCAATACTGTAATACCTGCAGATTTGGTCGATATTGCGGTCAACAATTCTTTCCGAGGGCCAACCTGATTCATTCATCTAGAGGTGGGAGTGGGACAGCTTGGGGTCGTACTCCACCCGCTCGGCCTACCTTGCCCTCTTCTTGAGAAGTATTTCGTTCCAGCACCTACCTATCTGGCGCTCTTTCACCCCACCTCGGTTGCTCTATTTCCTGTGGTTGGTCACTTATTGGCGCTATTGGACGGTTGACCGCTTGGAGAAGCGTGGCCTGCCGCACCCAACCTGTTTTGTCTTCTGTGACCAAAAGGATGAAACAATAGATCACATTCTAATTGGGTGACCCGAGTCCCTACATTTGTGGTAGACCGTCCTCCCAAGTCTCGGCCTCCCTCATTGCTTCTCCTCTAACGTTGTTTCCTTCCATGAGTGGCACTGCTCCTGCCGACTCAAAGTTCAGAGGGAGCGTCGCCGTAGGTTTGACATGGTCATGACCCTTGGCACGTGAGGAACCACTGCGTGTCCAACAAGTGTTCCCGGCCTTGGTCCGATGTGGTTGTAGGCATGGAGCAAGAGACCGCCCTTTGGCGTCTTGCCCATCCCTTGACGCCAACGCTCTCTTCTTAGCGTGCCAGGTCGTTTGGTCGTTCAATTGTAAACATGAGAATAGGCTTAAGTCCCTTTGTTTGTTTATAATCAATGATTTATCTTTGTGCATGTGTGTGACGAAGACTGCAGTGGAGTAGAGAAAAGATGCGTGCGTTTGTATCGATCGCTTTCGTTTTTGGGTCGCCGTCGTTTTCTCGCCGGTCCGGCTAGCTCGACGTCGATGACTTGAATTGCAGGAGAAGAGGAGGACACCGGCGATGCATATGTCATGTCTACCTCCCTTTCGATCGGGGGGTCTACACGTACGTACGGGGTGGCGGACGGGCACCTGTACAGCCGCCACGGCACAGTTGTGTGTGCCCGACTACCTGCCGCGACGTGCACCGGTGCTCGCCGGGGAAGGGGGGCAGCTAGGCCGGCCGCGCACGAGGATTTGACGGCGGCGCGTCGTGCGGGACCGGGGGGTGGCCCGGCAAAATGTGTTGGGCCTTTCTGATCTGCGCAGCGTGAACGGCCTATGGGTATGGGGTCGTAGTAACTGAAGAGTCCAGGAGAAACCGTGGCCATGGGCCGGGGCTGTACAGGTGAAGGCGTGTAGCAGGAGTGGGAAAAGGTGCACTTGAGGTCCCTCACTTCGTCGTCAAGTTTCAAAATCGCCCTTGAACCAAAATAGTACTAAAAATCTTAAACCTCCAGCTTGTAAAACAGGAATAAATTTGGTGCTCCTGCTCCTGCAGTATAGGTTGTCGTGGTCATGGGCAGGGTTTACGATTTCGACGAAATCGAAATTTCGACGTTTCGATGAGACTCGAAAGTAGAAACCGTCTGAGATTTCAAGAAGTTTCATCCAAATTCAAATTTAAATTGATAAAAAAGAAAAAAATCAAATAAAATATTATAAATACTATGATATTCATAGAATCTATTGGGATATAAATTTTTGAAAAAAATGATGTATTATGTGTATTTACTGAAACTTACATTAGAAAAGAAAAGAATAAAGAATTAAAAAAGGAAAACACTTACATGGGCCAAAACCGACCGAAATTAAAAAAGGAAAACACTTAATGATTGAAATTTTGATGATTTCAATCAGAATTTCACCAAAACCAACCGGCTTTCGAGAACTTGTCGGTAAACTTATGGAATTTGTATTTAAATTTTGATTTATGAAATTTGTTCAAAAATTACCGGTTTTCCACCGGATTTCGCGAAATCTTGAATTCCGTCGGTGCCTGAAACGGAAGGGGCTGTCGGAATCGTAAACCCTGGTCATGGCTCCCATGGCCCCTGCGCTTGGCCAGCACAAGCGTGGTGACTGCCGGAAGCAAAGGCGTAGCCATCTTCCGTCCCCATGAGGAAGACGGACTGGAGGTGCACAGTTGCGAGCTCCGGGGCATAGTTGACAACGCCCTGCAGATCCTTCACCTACACGATGCAGCTTCATCAGCTGCGGGAAGGGCTATGCCGTCATCGGTGGTGTCGATGGTGTGGTGCCAAGCCACAGCTGGACGGGTGCGGTTCCCTGCGTCGGTGATGGGGCCTGAAGCAACTATGTTGCTCTGACGGCGGCGGTACGTGAAAGGGAAGATGATTCGACGTGGCGCGCATCTCATTTTATAACTCATTAGACGATGATTCTAGCCTACTTCACGCGGTGGCCATCTTTTGCCACCACCACCATCGATCTCACGGCAGACGCTCTTGCGCGCCGCTCGGTGCGACCGTCCATGCGGAGAAGAATGCAGCTAGCACCGTCGGTGTATCGATCGGCTGCATCTTAACGTCTGTGCAGACGTATCAACCGATCGAGATTGGGTAACGTACCTCGCGCCTACCGTGTTGCAGCAATCGCTGGCCTTCGATGGCTACGGTCATGGTCTCGATCGACGACGGGATCTAGGGAAAGATAAGAGATGATGGAAAGTAGAGGGCCACTTACATGTGGGACCCACTTATTTTTTTTAATTTTCTTTTTTCTAACTAGGATGCCATGTCAGCAAAACCACCTATCCATATACCTCATCAGTCAAAACTGGGAGCAAAATTGCCTTGGGACCGAATGTGACCCGATTTTGTAAGATTAGGGATGCGTTATATTTGGTATTTCAGCCTAGGAACGATTTTGAAATTCAACGACAACATGAAGGGCCCAAGTGAACTTTTTTCCGCAGGAGTAAGGCTACTAGGCCAACAAGGCCTAGTTTTATGAGAGAACACACAGAGAGTTTGGAAAAAAGTTCACTTTAGGCCCCTCATTGTCGTCAAGTTTTAAAATCATCCAGAATACCAAATATAACGCATTCCTAATCTTAAAAAATATCACATTAGGCAGCCACGTCAAAACAGAACCATAATTAATATGGGTCCCACGCTAACTCACAACCACGTCAGCCAAAAACAGGAGTAATATTGTCTTGGTACTTAATGTGATCTAGTTTTATAAGATTATACCTTGTATTTCGGTTTAGAGACGATTTTAAATCTCGACGATAAGATAAGGGACCTCAAGCGAACTTTTTCTCTAGAGGGTTACAGGCTTACATCCAGTTTTCAACGACGTGGTGCACAATCAGGTAAATTTTGAATTTTGATGATTTGGCACTATATTCGTTGTCAAATTGATTTCATTGACATTTGTAGAGATGATACGCGGGACTATGAGTCAATAAAAGTGAGCCATGAATTAAATAATCGAACCCACTTTTATAGAGGGTTAAATGACCAAATCTCTCTCGCAAATCAACAGTATTCAAGTTGCGTGCCGCAGGTAAAAAACTGTGGTGCTTATGACGACAGAAAAGTTTTATGCTGCACGCGCAATAGCGTGATGGAAGAAGACACGTCAAAATTGTGCGTTGCAATTTGGCTGCGTTCTATGCCCCAGGTTGGAGAGATTTTCAGCGCACCTAATACGAAATAACTTATTAACATATGAATAATTAAATATTACTCCCTCCATCCTAAAATCAAAATATAAGTATTTTTATTGTTCAGATTCATAACTAAAAATACTTATATTTTAGCTAAAAATATTTATATTTTAGCTTGTAATAGCTAAAAGTTATTACATTTTAGAACGGATGTAGTAATATTTATAAATTAAAAAATGTACTTATTTGATTTTTTAAAGAAAAATTATATAGAAAATTTTGTAAAAGACATATAATTTAACAGTTCGAAAAAGTGCTAACAAACAAACGAGGAAGAACTGAAAGTAACTCTACGAAAAACATGAGTAAATTAAACAGTACAAATGTGGCACATTGACAGCTGGAATAAACAACGGAGCACATTGATTCATCGCCACACGTATCTAAAAAAACTTGTAAAACCTCCAGTGCCTCACCTACTCTGCAGTCTGCACTAATGATACCCAGCCGCCTGATAGTGCGTCATCAGGTTTTGGCACTGGACGGCCATGAACGTCTTTAGCTATGACCTCATTCATTCCTCAATCAAACATTTTCCGTCCACTCTCTTTCACCTAAAACTGTACAAGTCATGGGTCCTCTTTAAATGAATTTTTACAAGTTGCAGCATTTCTTAAAATTTCTAACTCCATCGAACACTATAGCTTCTCACCCAATTTCTAATAATATACTTACATCCCACCGAAATCCTTTATATGGATATTTTTATCTATGTAATTATATGGATGAAATCCTATATATTCTCAGACGGAGGTATTAATCTAGAAAATATGATATTGATTTTTGATAAGTTTTATTGGTTTTTATATAAACATAAGCATATTTATTCATATTATTTTTAATCCATATGATTTTAAATAATATAGATCGGGACTGACATGCTTAAACCATCAACTCCCATCTTAACAAAAAAAAAAGAAAGAGGCATCACTAAGGCCTGGTTTAGTTCCCAACTTTTTTCTTAAAACTTTCAACTTTTCCATTACATCAAAACTTTCCTACACACACAAACTTCGAACTTTTCCGTCACATCGTTTCAATTTCAAACAAACTTCTAGTTTTAGCGTGAACTAGGCCCTGTTTAGTTCAAAAGTTTTTTTTCCAAACTTCCAACTTTCCATCACATCAAACCTTTCATACACACATAACTTTTCTATCACATCGTACCAATTTCAACCAAACTTTCAAACTTCAGTGTGAACAAAACACAAACACACCCTTGAGAATGGGCTGGCATCTGGGATGATAGTACTGTGCAGGAGGCCAACACCCAGCAGTTGAGGAGTAGGCCATGACCATGAGGACCACGAGACTGACAGCTACAGTACCCATCAACGTGACGGAAACTATAAAAATTTCCGTTTGATACTGAATTTTGTAGCAAAAAAACGCAGATCTGGATCCATACGAATACTAATGGCATCGTCGTTTTGGCTCGTCTCCTCCCCCGCGACTATAAAAACGGGAGCTTTGCTGCTGCGCCGGCCGCCCCACCACCTCCGGTCCATCTCGGCCGCCGCCGCTGTCGCTGTCGCGATCGCGATCCCCGCCTAGATAGACTTCCCCAAGAACCCGCCGCCGCCGCTGCAGGGGTGGCGTGGCATCGCGGGAGACCAGCTCGAGCCTTCAGCCTCTTTTGCGCCGCCGCCGCCGCCGCCGGTCGATCCGTGTTCTTGGCTCAGGCGGCGTCAATGGCGGCGGCGAATGGGAGCGCCTGCGGCGGAGGCGGCGTGGACAAGGAGAAGGAGGAGTTCAAGCAGATCTACGGGGTGCTCAAGGAGGAGCTGCTCAGGGACCCCGCCTTCGAGTTCACCGACTCGTCGCGGCAGTGGATCGATCGCGTAATGCTTTTCTCCCCCTCTCCTTTTTCATCTTGTGTTGCTGACCGCATGTGTTTCTCCTCCCGGATCGTTTCTTCCGGATTTTCAGTAGGGTTTAGATCGGGTAAATGATTGGTGGAACTGCAATTAATTTAGTCGCAGCACGTGTAGGGGTTCGCTTGTAAATTCTGGATCCTCAGTTATTAGCATTGAGTGATTAGGCCTTTTTGGGAGGTTTAATCTTGGTTAAATAACTAGTAGTGTTATGTTGGAGTGAATCAGCAAGTGCAGTAAAGGTTGGCTCAAAATTCCCTTTTGTTAAATGAGCTGCTCCAATTCTGTCTCCATGTCAAAAGGAGAAAAAATAATAATGCTCACATTTGGAAGGCAAAAATGTGATATTTTGGGTTAAGTGAATTCTTGGGGTGATAAAGCGTATGATTATTAAACCTTGGCCTACTGCTTAACCATAGATGGATCATGGATGGTCGGCTTAGTCGCCTACTGCTTTCTCCATTTGCTACTTTTTTTATTATATATAATGTAAAGCTTCACAATAGATTGGGTGTACGACAGATGATCTTATCAGTTAAATTGTCACTGTTGGGAACTGCTCAATTTAACTTGTTTATTTTCTTTGAAGCAGATGTTGGACTACAATGTACCTGGAGGTGAGATGGATTTGACTTGATTAGTCTATAACATATGAGTAAAAAGTAAAAACACACTAAATCTCCAACCTATTGTCTTTGATATGGTAGGGAAGTGCAATCGTGGTCTCTCTGTGGTCGATAGCTATAAGCTGTTGAAGGGCACCAATGTTCTAAGTCAGGAAGACATGTTTCTCGCGAGCACTCTTGGTTGGTGCGTTGAATGGGTAATGCTTTAACCTCAACTTTCCGAATAATGGGTGCAAATCAACTAAAATTGCTCCTCTAAGCTTTACTGTTGTCTATGTAGCTTCAAGCTTACTTTCTCGTGCTTGATGATATCATGGATGATTCTCACACTCGACGTGGTCAGCCTTGTTGGTTTCGGGTGCCTCAGGTTGGTGAATCTGAAATTGTCCTATCTGAATGGTGCATTGCCTAATTATTTACTGAAACAAAACACTCATTTTACTTTATAGTACCTTTCTTTCACTTGTTACATATGAAACTTTATCCCTAGTGCCGCCATTTGTTGCACAATAGGTTGGCTCCATTGCTATCAATGATGGAATTATCCTTCGCAACCATATCACGCGAATGCTTCGGCTCCACTTTAGAGGAAAACTTTACTATGCTGATCTCCTTGATTTATTCAATGAGGTAATTTTACATTCTGATCTACATACACGGTTAGTCTGAACTTTCAGATCATTGTGGTCTTACTGCTACTATCTTGTTTTGCTTTCCTAGGTCGAGTTCAAGACAGCTTCAGGTCAATTGCTAGACCTTATCACTACTCACGAGGGAGAAAAAGATCTAAACAAATATAACATAGGAGTGTAAGTCAACGTTGTAACAACTTTGGAAATAACTATTTTGCATGCTTTATTTAATCTATTCTTAGAACCATAAGCCTAATGTTTCTGTCATATATGGAATGGATTGGTTTTATCTATTATATCTTCAATAATTTTGATTTTGAGATTGTTGATTCAAAACTTCCTGTATTTTTGCAGTCACCGCCGCATTGTTCAATATAAGACATCCTACTATTCATTTTATCTGCCGGTAAAATTTATATTCCATTGCCATATCTTCGTTTATGCAATCCTTGTTTTGTTAATAAATACTAATTGCGAGTGGTACTGATATGCTGTTATATCAAAGGTTGCTTGTGCACTGTTGCTATCTGGAGAGGACTTGACCAAATATGGTGCTGTAGAAGACATTCTTGTTAAGATGGGAATATACTTTCAAGTCCAAGTAACTCCTATTTCTGCCACATAACAACAGGAGGAATTTGACTGCCACGAGTATTATTCTACTTTCAATTAATACGAATATTTTCTTACAGGACGATTATCTAGATTGTTATGGTGACCCCAAATTTATTGGCAAGGTTAGTGCATTTACCTGTTGTAGCAGCATAGATGAACATCAATATCTATATTGATATTTGTTTAGCTCTTGTAGTTTGATCATTTTTTATGTCATATTATAGATCGGGACTGACATTGAAGATTACAAATGCTCTTGGCTAGTTGTGCAAGCCCTTGAGCGTGCTGATGAGAGTCAAAAGAGCGTTCTATTTGTGAGCCATCTCCATAGTCTTTTTTGATGCTGTGAAGGTTGTTGTCTAAACACTTGTTCTGCTCCTACAGGAAAATTATGGAAAGAAAGATCCAGCCTGTGTGGCAAAAGTGAAGAGCCTCTACAGAGAACTAAACCTAGAGGTTTGCCTTGACTCTATATGCTTTATATGTTTCTTCATGGGGTTTACCTTATTGTCAAAAGAATCTTACTCTCTTGTAAATTATGATTTCTATAGCGGATGTTCCTGCTTTGTATTATCATGGCCTACTTGTTTAGTTGCTCTACCTAGTCTGAATTTCGACATCTCCAACCATTATATTGAGTTCATAACCAAGTCTGATATCTTGTTTATTACTTCATTCTTAGGCGGTCTTTCTGGACTATGAGAACGAGAGTTACAAGAAGTTGATTGCGGATATAGAAGCCCAGCCAAGCATAGCTGTTCAGAATGTTCTGAAGTCCTTCTTGCACAAGATCTACAAGAGACAGAAGTAGGGGGGGTTTCTGTGCAGGAAGCTGTCCATTGTTGCATGTTTCTTCTCTAGCAACTGATGTTGTATGTTGCAATTTGCTGATCTTGGATAATAATGTTGCAAGGTGTTATTTCGGGTGTGATGGACCGCTTGGTGTAGACATTAGACAATAATACATGAGCTGTTTGTCTTGTTATTAGCATCATAGCCGCTTGTTTTCTTTTTTTTTTCTTTGCACGAGTTCAAGCAAGTCAGTTACAGGGTAATATGCAAGTTGCTGTAGTATTTCTTTTTTCTCGAAAACGCAAGAGGCTTGCGCTTAATGAAATTTCATTAAGTAATTCTGAAGGACTGATCTGAGTGGTAACTGGTAAGGCATATCGCGTTATAGAGGTTAAAAAAAACAATGCAAATTCACGAATCCAATCAACACTCAAAAGGAGTACATAATTCAAGGGTCACTTAACACAGATGGAACTCATTTCCAACTCTGAGAAGAAAAAAAAAACAATTTACTGAGCTAGTTCCTGTTCAGTCACAAGGAAGCATATGGTAACAAGGACAAACTTTTTATCCAACTCTATCAGTTCATCTCAAAAAAAATAAAGGGAAAAACCCGGACTCCCTTGAAGATGCTGAAGTCCGCGGCGGTGGGAAAGCACACAATAAAGAATAAAGAGAATATTATGAGATCTTGAGCCCAGAATATTGTGAGATCTTGAACCCAAAAGCTTTAGCAATAAGAGGTTTAGCTTATAATTTTCTAAGCACTAGTGCCACTACCTAATTATGTGGCCATGTTCTATGGATAGTTGCAAGCTTACAATAAGCACCAAAAGATTTGGACCAGCTGTACGATTTCCATTTCTGATGATGCACTGAGAGAAGTGCAAAGGAAGATTTTGGGTGACTGATGCAGAAAATTTTATGTGTATTAACAATAGCCATAAGAGAATACAATGGGAAGGTGTACATCATCATTTTTTGCCACAGATGGTAATAAAGAGATTGATACTTCATACACGATACCCATCTTGTGCAGGAAAGAACAGGATACAAGTGTTTGTTGAATCAGCATATCACACGTTCCATCCTTTTTGCTAGGCACCTAATTCGAACTGGAATTGTTGGGAATCCAGAAAGTTAGGGCAGTTGACGCAGTTGCAAACATTGCTCGACGGGGAGCCCACTTCAAAGCAGTGATAGGACCGATGTGACTGTTCCAACAAGCAATCTACAAAAGGAAAAACACTTAAGAGGCAAAGAACAGCATATTAAAAGCATGATTTAAGAAAGAGCACCTCTTGTATTGTATTGATGTTCCAAGCATGCAAGGTACCATCACCAGATCCTGCAAAATCAAGCAAAAAGGTTTTCAACAAAAGCTTTGGCCACAGCCTGAAATATTGGTATCAAAAAGTTCCAAGTTTTGTTAAATGTTAGAGCATATATAGGCCTTCACTTTCAGCAGTAGTGGAACTGTCAATAGGCAACAGAAACTATAGCATATATAAGTTATATTGGTACATAAAAAGCAGTATGAGCATATCATGCCAACAAAATATTTCTATTCGGATGGTTAAAGGCATGTTGAAGGCGAAATATATGCTCCAATTATCATTAGGTCTGTTCTTAGTAGAAGCGACGGTCGCACAAGGTAAGTTAGGAGCACTTTTAGTAGAAGTTTTACTTACAGGGGAACCAGTTGGGTAAATTGTTGTGTACTACTAGTTCATATCGGAATATATATATGCCAAATGATATGGCATACAAATGGAAAAACAAGAATATCATACCTGAAATTACATATTGGCCATCTGGAGTAAAAGCAGCTTCAGTTGCTACATTGGGAGATGACTCCAGACTAAAGCCACACCTCTGCAAAAGGATTTTGAGGGTGTCAATGATTTGATTTGAGGAAATTATGCACTTAGTTCAATTTGAAGCATTTTTTTCTGCAACAGAAGTAACTGACCTTATCCCCTCCATATGCATCCAGAACATATATATGGTTGTTGGTTGTTGTCAAAAGCATGGACTTGCCATCATTGCTAAATTTGATGTCAGAAACTTCAGCTGTATCTCCACCAACCAAGAAAGTGTCAAAGGGACCCTGAAATTGTATTTGGCACCCAAGATAAGAACTTCCGCAAGCCTTATAGGAATTTACAGTTTTTGAGATTCAAGCTGAATACCAACTTTGTCATATGACCGGGAATCAAATAGCTTAATAGCACCTCCTTCCATTGCCACGGCAAAAACAAGTCCCTGCTGATCATATGCAACAGAAGGCCTACCACGCAAACGTAGTATACCCTAATGCTAAACAAGTAAGCATGGAAAGCCCTGAGATGACAAATGGTACTATTACCCTACTAAATGCAATTTGTGTATATATGATTGATCACATTAAACAAGGAATGGTGTCCGAACCTGACAAGCATTTACACGAAGATCCCATATCCTGACACTGTGATCAAGTGATCCTGACATAAAACTATCGTTGACAGGTGACATACATAGTGAAACAACCCTGAAATGAAATAGTGCACCTCTCATAATTTATCCTAGACATAATCGCTAGACAAGAAAGAAACAAGAACATAGCCAACCTGTCTTTGTGTCCTTTAAAATATCTTAAGCAACGGTTGTCATACAGTGATAAATAACGAAGTGACTCTGCTGACTCTAGATTGTATCTTGATGAACATAAGATAGAACTCGGATGGTGAGTGAAACAGACACGGTCAGCACCATGTTTCCTATGATATGTAGTCTTCAACAACCTAAACAATAGCCCCCCATTTATAACATCAGTTCATCAGAAGAAAGAAAATGTACACAACACATTATTGAATGCTCTCAACAGTTTGGTTAACATCAAACAAAGCAAAATTCGAGCAATTCAGAGCATACTGCAGGACAGGTTAAATCTAATGAAAAAAAAAAGCAACGATTACATTAATAGAGAAAAGAAGGGCAAAACAAATGCTGCCAGTATGACTGCAATGCATATCCCTAGCAATGTTGTTAATCAGACAGAAAACGATCGCAGGTCATAAAAAGTGCATCAGTATATATCCATCAAGCAGAAGCACAGAACTGACACACATGAAGTATGGATTCTAGCAGCAAGATATTGACATCTCCCGAGTTCCGAAAAGTAGAACCCACCACACATAACATCCCCAACACAAAGCTAACCATCAAACTATGGAATCTATAAGCCAAACTGAGAATGCAGCAGCAGAGCTCACCACTCTCGCATCCACGTACTGCAACGATCTAACAATATGAAGGTCTAACGAACAAGATGCCCCAGGGGAAACAGAACATAGGTAAAACTAAAACTAAAAAACAAAAATAAAACAAAATCAGTGCACTCACGTGGCGCTGGTGATGTTGTAGAGGCGTATGGAGTCGTCCTCGCTGGAGGTGACGAGGAGATCCTCCTTGCGGTGGAAGTCGAGGCAGTTTATCTTCCCAGCCTGCCACCACCACCAGTTCGATTAGGAAACCACGGCGAATCAGTCGAAACAAATGGGGGATTTTCGCGGCGGGAGAACTCACGTAGTCGGTGAATACCGCGCCGATGGCCATCCCGCGGACGATCCCGTCGTCGAGCTGCGACAGCGTCGCCGCCATCTTCTCCTTCCTCCTCCTCCTCCTCCTCGCGCTCGTCGCCGGTGTCCGCTCGCTTACCCGCGCCGCCGCCGCCGCCGCCCGCGAGGTTTCCGATCTGTTGTAGAGTGATTGCGAGCGGAGGTGGTGGATGCGGATGCGGGCTCCGGTGGCGCAATCCACGCCGTTGATCTGGGAACGTGAGGTAGCTTCGTGCGCTTATCTACCGTTGATTGTCCAATGAGTTCTCTCCAGTATTTTGGTTGGACGTATTTCATACTAATATCGTCCAATTTTGAGTAAATTTTGCAAAACTAAATTTTTTTAACCAAATTGTAGCAAAATTATGTTAGATTGTAGGTGGTGCATTATAGACTTGGCTTTTAGTTTGTTTCTCACATTTCTCGAGTCCTACTTCCTTGTTTTCCACGGGTACGTTTTCTGAACTACTAAACGATGCATTTTTTAAAAAAACAAAATTTGAGTGAAATACGTGGACGGTGTTTGAACTTGTGCGGGTGTGTTATTGAGGTCCCTAAACTCTTAAAATATATTTTTAGGTCTCCGAACTTGTCTTGTGTGTCATTTAGGTCCAAACGGGTTTTGACCCGCTCCAAGTGCTAACGTGTCATGCCACGGTAGCGCCGACGTACTAGTGGGACCCACATGTTAGTCATACATATACAAATAGAATTATAACTAGATTTTCTCATCGTAGATAGAGAGGAAAAAAGATATACTTTTTTTAAAGTGTAGATTTCAGAAAACAGCAATTTTAGTGACAAAACTATCAGTTTGCTGCAACATTAGCGTCACGTTTCAGTTTGCTGCAACAATAACGTGGTAAATTATAACAAAACTGCAACTTTTTACGTTATATGCTGCTACAATGTCACCTATATGTACTTTAGCAGCATATAACGTAAAAGTTGCAGTTTTATGATAATTTCCCACGCTATTGTTGCAGCAAACTAAAACATGTTGCCAATGTTACAGCAAACTGACAGTTTTGTCACTAAAGTTACAGTTTTCTTGAATTTACTCTTTTTTTTTAAAAAAAAAAACTAAGGTAGAGAGGAGAAAATATGTTTTTAAATGTTATTTTCTCCATGCGACTGACATGTGGGTCCTACTAATACATAAGCGCCACCATAGCATGCCACATCAGCGCATGGAGCAGGTTATAGTCTGTTTGGACCTACATGACATCCAAGACAAATTTTAAAACCCAAAAATATATTTTGAGATTTTATGGGCTTAGATGACACACCCATACAAATTTAAGAATCACTCACTCAAAAAAATCTATAGAAAAGTTGCTTAAAACAATCATATTAATTCTTCTATCAATTCTTTTTAACTAACAAAGTACTTAATTAATCATGCTCTAATGAGTTATCTGTTTTCATGTGCAGGAGGGATAAGACATGTTTTTAGCACCACATTTGCCATGAAACTACATATTTGTAATATGTGCTTGCACTTTAAGTACAAATCACATACGTTGTAAATATGTACTTTTTTGGTATAAACTCAATGTTAAATTTATAGTTTTGCGATATATCATCTTATAGTTATAATTTTGTAGTTTTGTGATAGGCAAAGTAGAAAACTAGCAGGTTCATGTGTGTACGGTTACGCCCTTTTTACGGATACTATACCACTATATCACGGAATAGTAGCAAACAACAACAAACACACCAACAAAAGATGTCACAGCAAATGAATGCCAATGATGCAAGGATCCAGCTACAGCTGACCTTTGGTCTTGACTAACCAGGTTGTTGCTAATACATGAAACAAATTCTAATGGAAGTTACACAGGCATAGATAAACCACCAGGCTATAAACCATCTGCCTGCAGTGCGTCTGTTCAAACATCAAAGTGAAAGTACAACCTGGCAGCAAAACGTTTTGAAGCTAATTCAAGAAAGAAAAAAGATAGTTCAAGTTTAACCTAAACATGACTAATCGTCCTGCTCAACCTTCAGGCTCTGAAGCTTCGAGTCCAGCTCACCGTCATCCTCTTCCTCCTCTTCCTCTTCCTCATCATCTTCAGCCTCCCCCTCAGGGTCGTTCTCATCTAGTGGACCAAGCACCTCCACAGAGTTCTCACCACTCTTCAGAATATCTTTCACCTCATCAATCCCTTCGTCCGAGATGAAATTCCCGTTTATGTTCAGTTGCACAAAACCTGGCTTGTTTGCGATTGCCTGGGCAAAGCACCGAGCTCCCACCCTCTGCAGCATATTCGTGCTAACATCAAGCTCCTTCAGATCCTGGTGTCCATCTTCCAGTGATTTTGCAATCACCACAGCACCATCATCCTTCAGTTCATTCTCTGCCAAGGTCAACTTCTTAAGTGATTGCATTGCTGTCAGGCATTCTGCTAAAGCTTGGGATGCTTTGGCGTTAATTTCATTCCCAGCCATTTCAAGGACCTCCAACTGGGGTGCTGACTGTTTGAGGGTATTGATAATTGCTACAGTGCCCTTGTTCTCAAGATTGAGATCACTGAGATACAGCTCAACAAGATCAGGAAGTTTTGAAAGGGTTTTGCTGAGAGCCAACCCTGCCTCAACTCCAAACAAGTTGTCCCTGAGATCAAGTTTCTTCAGACGAGTACAAGTCCCTAATGCCTCAGCCAGAGCCACCCCACCATCAGATCCTATCCTTGTTGCTGAGCACCTGAAACTCTCTAGATTAGGAGAACGTTTAACCATCTCAGCAATAAACATAGCACCTTCATCCCCCGTCATATTGTTGTGGAAGTGGAGGATCTTAAGCTTCTCAGTTGAAGGAATAAGTTCAGAAAGAGCTTGTGCGGCTTCCTCTGATATACCATCATTCATCACATATAGTTCTTCCAGGTTGTCCTGTGATTTCAGGAGCTCTTCAAATGCTCTGACACCCTTCTCACCTAAAGCATTATCAGAGATGTTCAAGTATCTCAGTACAGCGCCTTCTAAAGCTTTTGAGAAGATGCGCATCACATCAAGGGCTTCATCCTCAGGTCTGCCAGCAACAAAATCTGATATATCCACCTCTGTGAGTTGCTTTTTGATTGATTCCAGAATAGGTCCAGCAACATTGGCAGCACCAATACCAAAGCTCCTGTTGCTGAAGCAAATCCGTTTATATGCATTTCCTGGTTTGATAAGCGGGCTCAAAAGTTCCTTCGCTTCATCTGCCTCAATAAACGCACGCTTGCCACCAGATATATCAAATACAGAATCAGCAGGCTCAAGAGGTGTATCAGCAACAGGTACTTCTGGTTCCACAGTGGTCCTTGGCCCTCTTTTCAGAACTTCCAGCATCAACTTGCTAGTTTCCTTTGCGTACAGCTGGACAGCAGAACTCCCATCCCCATCAGGCTCCTCCTTGAAATGCTCGTCTGCAGAGGCAAAGCATACCTCTTCGATCCTTTTAGCATTATCATGAGCCTCTTCCTTGCCCAAAAGGCCGTACTTGCGAGAAAATATGGACTCTGTGGAAAGGTTCTTGGTCATCCTCTCCACAAGCATGAGACGAGTGCTTTCACTTGGTGGCCACAGTTTGATGGAGAATGTCCGGGGTTGGAAATCTTGCTTAGTCGAATCCATGTGAAAATATGGCAGTAACAGCAACCTAAATGACAGATGATCAATTATTAGGATGATTGCAATAATAGAACATGAGGCAATAGCTGCAACATTTTAAAAAAATGCAAATAGTGTGGAAAACTAGTACTTGGAGTTCTATCCACCAAAGCATAGTACCAATGGGAGTAAACCTAAACAATAGCTAGCAAAAAGAATAATAAACTCTGCACTGTAACAGCAGGAAAAATAACAATTGTTATAATAGCAGGAAAAATAGCTATCACCAAGTGATTTCTCTGAAAATTCATTCAGCAGTTATAGGATGAGTTGCTATAATAGAAGATGAGGCAATAGCTGCAAATTTAAATAGAATAATGTAAGCAGTGTTGCATACTAGCAACTGAAGTTCTATCCGCCAAAACATAGTAACAATGGGAATACAACTAAACTAGCTAGCTGAAAAAAAAAGCCTGCACTGTAACAGCAGCAGCAGCAACAACAACTGCTCTTTTAGCAGGCATCACCAAGCGCTTCGTCAGAAGATTCATTTAGCAGTTATAGGATCATGATATCAGAGTTTCACTGAAAGAAAAGAATCAAAGCGAAAACGTGTGATGCTGCTATTCCATTATCAATCAGGCTAAACTTGCTTATGCTACTCACCCTACTACAAGCAGGGGCGGATCCAACTTGGGACACGAGGGTTCAATTCAGTTGAACCCCAAACTTTTGGGGAACAAACAAACAAACTGTTAATTGTATTAAGGCTAAGGATCTGAAATTAAGAGAAGAGCTTCTTCCAGATCTAGAAGAGAAGCTAGGGTTAACGAACGCAGGCAAATTCCAGGCAAAGGTAGGTCGGGGGAGAGAGATGGATCATCAGAAAGAGGATGCGGATGCTCACCAGGATCCCCTCCCCTGTTCAGCCGCGAGATGGCACGAGGAGCGGAGGAGACGACGAGGAGGGATTTACCCGCGGCGGAGGCGGAGGCGGCGGCGGGGGATGCGGCGCGCTAGGGTTTTTGGCTCTTTGGAATTTTGGTTGATGCGGCGGGCGCGGACGGGGCGAGGCGAGGCGAGGCTTATAGCTCGGTGACCCGGGCCGTAGCCACTGAACCGTGGGTCCCACGGCCCAACAAGTAGCGGGAGGGGAACAGAAAAAAAAAAGTAAATTTTACTCCCTCCGTCGTATAATGATGCAGCAACCTAAAATACGATGGATCTCATCCCGTCCTAGGTTGCTATATTATGGGGCGGAGGGGGAGTATAGAACTAGCGATGCTTCGATTAGACTATCACAAAACTACAGAATCGATACATTACAATATAATTTATCATAAAACTACATATTATAGAGTTTAATCTGTCATGTTATAGCTATAGATGCTATGGTTTGGTGATTAAATTGGCACTAAATCTATAGTTTTTATTACTTTTGTGATACTCTGTGGTGAATTTGTATACCTCCTCACTACCAAAATATTGCCCATCCTAAATACCCCATCCGTTCCATTATAAATACAATCGTAAGGGCATGTTTGGTACAGCTCCAACTCCTAAATTTAACTCCAGGAGTTGGGTCTGGAGTGGAGTTGTGGAGCTGCCTAAACCCAGCTCCACAACTCCAGTTCATTTTATGAGAGAGCTCCACCCAACTCCACTCCCAGTTTTGGTGGAGCTGAAACTATTTGGCTGAGCTCCAGCTCCAGGAGGGGTGAAGCTGGAGCTGGAGCTGTGCCAAACAGGCCCTAAGTTTCCGCGCCTAATTTTGATCGTTCGTCTAATTTGAAAAAAAATTTAATTAGTATTTTTTTTGTTGCTAATGAGATGATAAAATATGAATAGTACTTTACTCATGACTTATGCTTTTAATTTCTTTCAAAAAATCTATTATATTATTAAAGGAATAGAAAAGGAAGCCTCCACGTTCGCTCTCATGGCCTAGAAATTCTCACATTAATCGGAGAAAAAGAAAAAGCAGAGTCCATATAGAAATACAATTTAGAAATAGCTGAAATTCGGAATTAAAAATAAGAAATATTAGAAGAGGAGACTAGAGTCCATATAGAAATACATTTAGAAATAGCTGAAATTCGGAATAAAAAAAGGAATATTAGAAGAGGAGACTAGAGTCTATATAGAAATACATTTATAAATAGCTGAAATTCGGAATTAAAAAAAAGGAATATTAGAAGAGGAAACTAGGGTCCATATAGAAATACATTTAGAAATAGCTGAAATTCAGAATTAAAAAATAAGGAATATTATAAGAGGAGACTAGAGTCCATATAGAAATACAATTAGGAAATAATTGAAATTCAGAATTAAAAAATAAGGAATATTAGAAGAGGAGACTAGAGTCCATATAAAAATACAATTAGGAAATAACTGAAATTCGGAATCAAAAATAAGGAATATTAGAAGTAGAGTATAGAGCCCATATAGAAATACAATTAGGAAATAACTGAAATTCGGAATTAAAAATAAGGAATATTAGAAGTAGAGTATAGAGTACATATAGAAATACAATTAGAAAATAATATAAATTTGGAATTAAAAATAAGGAATATTAGAAGTAGAGTATAGAGTCCATATAGGAATTTAAAACTAACAAAAATTTGAAATAAACATGATAAAATTAAAAGTAGAGTTTGGAGTCCATATAAAAATACAATTTATAAATAACTAAAATTCGAAATTAAGAAAAACATGGGAAGAAGAGTTTAAGGTCAATATAGGAATACAATTTAGAAGTAACTGAAATTCAAACTTAAAAATTAAAGAATATTGAAAGATGAGTTTAGAGTGAACATAGAAATACAATTAAAAATAATAAAAATTTAGAAATAAAAATAAATAATATTGGAAAAAGAGCATAGAGTCTATATAGAAATACAATTTATAAAAAATTCGAAATTAAAAAAAAAGAAATATTAAAAGACGAGTCTAGAGTCCATATAGGAATAAATATAATTTACAAATAACTAAAAATTGATATTAAAAATGATTAATGACTAACAGATATATAAAATATAATATGAAAATTCAGAAATAAAAATAAATAATATTGAAAGAAGAGCATAGAGTCTATATAGAAATACAATTTACAGAAAATTCAGAATTAAAATAAAATATTAAAAGACGAGTGTAGAGTCCATATAGGAATATATATAATTTACAAATAACTAAAATTTGATATTAAAAATAATTAATAACTAACACGTATATAAAATATAATATGAATATTACATATTAGTGGTTTTGTAAAGTTATTGCAAAATTTAAAATTATGTTGTTATTTTAATATATTTGAATAATATAATGAGAAAACATATATGCTATTATATGAGAGAAAATATAATGATGCTAGCGGCGCAATCTGCACGGGCCAATATGCTAGTTTTTAAATAAAATGGACGGTCAAAGTTAGGCGCGGAAAACCATGGCTGCACTTAAAATGGGACGTAAGGAATAGCAAACATTTTAAGACGTAGTTCTAGAGAAATTTCACGTTAAATATATAGTTTTATATATCTCTAGTTTTTTTTATAATAGTTTTGTGAAATGTAATCAAAATAATTCCTGAATCCATCTAACTCCAACGTCGTCTCCGATCTCCCCGTCCATCTCCCTCTCCGCCTCCGCCAACGCGAACGCCCAGAGGTGCACGAGAGCGCGCGCGCCGCGCCGCGCCTCGCCTCGCTGATCCGGCAAGCAAACCGCGGCGCCGCGACGCGACGCGAACCCCGCCGCGCCGCGAGTGTGGGGGAGCACGAATGGTAGCCGGCCGCGGTTAGGTAGGTGGGCGCCGCGGGGTGTCGATAGCTCCGGAGGGTGGGGGTGGGGGGAGCAGATCCAGATCCAGCGAGGGCGCGAGCAATGGCGGCGGGGGCGGTGTCGGCGCTGTTCCTGCTCGACATCAAGGGCCGCGTCCTCGTCTGGCGCGACTACCGCGGCGACGTCTCCGCGCTCCAGGCCGAGCGCTTCTTCACCAAGCTCCTCGACAAGGAGGTAATGCAATGCCCCCTCCATTTCACCTAGATCTGTGCAAATGCCGGGCTTCTCGATGAGCTTTTTGCCCTGTGTGATCAGAGCGACGCGGAGGTGCTCTCCCCCGTCGTCCACGATGACGCCGGCGTCTCCTACATGTTCATCCAGCACAACAATGTGTTCCTCCTCACCGCGTCCCGTCAGAACTGCAACGCCGCCAGCATACTCCTCTTCCTCCACCGCGTCGTCGATGTATGGGTTGCTGCCCCCATCTTCACAGCAACATTCTGCGTTTGTTAGTATGGACAATGCCATTGGATTTTGTTCATATGATTTGTGTGTGTGTGGGCGTAGGTGTTCAAGCATTACTTCGAGGAGCTGGAGGAGGAATCATTGAGGGACAACTTCGTCGTTGTGGTATGTGCGCTTGCGTGTTACGTGAACTGAGTACTGGGTCTGGTTCAATCGGAATTGCCGTGTCACTGAAATTGGAGGGTTGATGTCATTTGCTGTGTGTGTAGTATGAGTTGCTTGATGAGATGATGGATTTCGGGTACCCACAATACACGGAAGCAATGATCCTGAGCGAGTTCATTAAAACGGACGCGTACAGGATGGAGGTCACTCAGAGGCCGCCCATGGCAGTGACAAATGCTGTGTCATGGAGGAGCGAGGGGATTCGGTACAAGAAGAATGAAGTCTGATACACTACACCTGTATTTTTATTTTTTTGGTTCACATGAACGTGTGATGGATTTAGAAAATTATCAACATTTTGTGCTGCAGGTGTTCTTGGATGTGGTGGAGAGTGTCAATATCCTCGTTAACAGCAATGGGCAGATAGTGAGGTCTGATGTCATCGGTGAGCTGAAAATGCGAACCTTTCTAAGGTAGTAACTGCATGGTCATTCTCATATCACAAATTCACATTGTGCTGATAACTCAGCTGCTTCAGTAATAATTTAATGGGAGTTGCAGTTAGAGGGATGCGAAACACTGTTTTTATATGATGTATCCAACCCATTATTGTGAACTTCTAGTTTAACTGTTTATCACATCACTGAAGCAAGTTGATATTGATGAATAAAGACTATTAAATTGTGTATACAATATTCTGCCAACTATGAGTCTACGACATATATGTTGCAACCATGTCAAATAAATGTAGGTAATGTAATTCTCATCCAGATAATAGCATCAAACAGTACATAAAAATGAACTTTGTTGCAGTATGTAATAATGCTCTAATTGGACTAGTCATTGACCTGACTAGTTTGTATTTCAGACTATCTGTTGGATTGTCCAAGATATCGTTAGACTATATGTTTCCCAAGTACCCAGTTACGTTATGAATGCTAAGTGGACTAGCCATTGAACTGACTAGTTTGTTTTTCAGACGATCTGGTAGATTGTCCAAAATATATGTTCAACTTATGCATCATAGCTAATATCCATCTGCTTGTACAGTGGAATGCCCGAGTGCAAACTGGGGTTGAATGATAGGGTTCTCTTGGAGGCTCAAGGCCGAACAACTAAAGGAAAAGCAATAGATTTGGACGATATCAAATTCCATCAGTAAGATACTAACATACAGTATAACTATGATGGTTCTTTATCAAATGTAATTCATTTCTATTACATCATCCATGTTACAACTCTGAATTGGCCAAACCTTCGTTAGGTGTGTTCGGTTGGCCAGATTTGAGAATGACAGGACTATATCCTTCATTCCTCCAGATGGATCATTTGATCTGATGACTTACAGACTTAGCACCCAGGTTTGTCCCTGCTTGATCTTTGCTGCTAGTATAGCGCTAGGTTATGATCTATATTTCACCTAATCTATCTTCCTCTGGTCCCTCCCACAGGTGAAACCTCTTATCTGGGTAGAAGCACAAGTGGAGAAACATTCAAGAAGTCGGATACAGATCACAGTGAAGACAAGAAGTCAGTTCAAAGAAAGGAGGTGTTATTTTATTTTATTTTCTTAAAAAAGCGATAATGTCTCTGCATCAGTGTCTTAGTTCCAGACAAGTTACTGTTATTGTTTTTTCTCATTTCCAGCACAGCAACAAATGTAGAAATTGAAGTACCAGTGCCTGAGGATTCGACAAACCCAAATATAAGAACTTCAATGGGCTCTGCGGCATATGCACCTGAGAGAGATGCGATGGTCTGGAAAATAAAATCATTTCCTGGTGGCAAGGTAAGTGCTGAGTTGATACCAACTTACCACTTTGCCTTTCACTTTTGTGCTATGTCCATCAACTCTAATTTCCTAGAATCTCTCCATTAGGAATATATGTGTAGAGCAGAATTTAGCCTTCCAAGCATAACATCAGAAGATGGAATGCCTGAAAAGAAGGCTCCGATACGTGTGAAATTTGAGATACCGTATTTTACCGTGTCGGGTATTCAGGTAACATACCAAATTATGTTGCACATCTCTTACCACTATGTTTGGAACTTCCTTTGGTATCCTACTCCTTTATTGACTTTGTGCTTTTGCAGGTTCGCTATCTGAAAATCATCGAAAAGAGTGGATATCAGGCCCTTCCTTGGGTTCGATACATCACAATGGCTGGTGAATATGAGTTGAGACTCATCTGATTTTCACACCTCTGGTTGCTGGAAGAAATGATTGATTTCCTGGAGTCCAAGCCTCCCAGGGGGCGTTTACAGAGGCAACTCAGACGAACATTCACTCGCTGGATGGGCTCCCGAGGCTTCATGGTTCCATCTCGCGCAAGCGAGGAAAGCTGCTGACAGCCATGTTATTGATTTTACCCATGTTTTGCTGCAAGTTTGTCATCAGTATAGGTCCCCAGAATCTTCATTTCTTTTCTGCGTTTTGTTCCCAGCCGATATCTCTTGTATCATTGTAAAATTTATTTAATCAACTGATGTCACAAGCTTGGATTTTTTTTTGTATCTCCTGTACCTAATTAACAAGCTTGGATCATGTATACCACTATGTATATCTCTCCTTTCCATCATGCTTTCTTGTGTCAAGTTTGATCATGTCAGGTTGATGCATGGGCATGAACAGTGTAGCAAGATCTTAGCAGCGCTACGGCAAAGCCTCTGCACCAAGGGCATGTTTGGTTGCTACCCTGAGTGTATGCCTGAGTAAAAGTGGTACTTGAGACTTCAATGAATTTTTTTTATGCTTTTTGCCTGATGAGGCGTCCCTGAGTTTTCTCATTTTTGTAGAAGGCCTGGAGCCCTGGACTAAACAGGATTGTCGCGCTTGAAATTAGCTCCGGCCACTAATTTCGAGCGCATGAGCCAGGCTAGTGAAATTGGCGGATAAGCTTAGGTCAGGCAGGTGCTTTAAGCATCATCAGGCGTATCTCTGGCATGCATCTGGTCAGGCAGATGTTACTCAGGCTATGTTAGAGTTTGATAGCATTGCTTTCTCGTATGCTCCTCGGTCCAGTAATTCTTGTGCTCATGATCTGGCCCAGATGAGGGTGAAGGGGGACCCGGATTGGTTCGGCATATGGACTGATCCCCTCCCCGAGTTTGTAACTCGCCTGGTTGCTCGTGACATCACTGAGCCAACCGCGAAATAAAGTTGGGAACCTGAATATAAAAAAAAAAGGCCCAAATCACTGATGTATATGCAGCCTTCGACTGTCACTCACCGATCTGCCAAGCTGGCGGGTCCTAGGGGTGGTTTGATTTACTCTCAAACTTTGCTAGAGGTTGTCAATCTCATGTTAGACAAGTTTGATTAAGTAAACTTCTTGTTGGTTCATAACCATACCTGTGGCATGATTCTCTCTCAGTCTCATGGTCCATATATCGCCAACTAAAAAAAGTATGGCACTAGCTAAGATGTGTCTATTTTTTTACTAGCTATACAATTTAGATAATTGTGGAAAAAAATGGTAATTTTAGTATAGCATCCAAATTCCAAACAACACCTTTTTTTTTTCTACCGGAGCAGCATGTTGAGCGGTCAAAAAATATTATGTGGCATGTAGGGGAGCCTATGAGCATGTAGTGATTCTATCAATGTCTAGTGATACTTTTCATGAATGTCATGTTTGGTTGCCTGTATCAAGCCTGGCTCGCATCCCTCATGCAGCTTTGGGTCGTTTGGTTGCCTACACCAGTCCATGTGACAAGCTAAACGGATAAAAAAACAATGTGTTTTAGTTCACGCTAAAACTGAAAATTTGGTTGAAATTGGAACGATGTGACGGAAAATTTAGAAGTTTATGTGTGTAGGAAAGTTTTGATGTGATGGAAAAATTGAAAGTTTGAAGAAATATTTTGTAACTAAACAAGGCAAAAGTTGAGCAGGAATGCTTGATTTGAGCTGTGCTGCTCGATCATGACCGTACGTGGGTAGGAGATAGGGCCACCACCCTACCCCTTGTCCCCTTCTTACTTCTCCTGCAAGTGACGAGGCAATGAACACGACGATGACGAACCCGACGGAGGGCACGGTGTACGACACATCCACCTTGTCGCTACACCCCTCCTGTTTTCAGAGCTCCAGAAATTTACTAGCTCATTGACTCATTGAGTCATTGGTTCTGAATTTCTAATGAATGATGAATACAATCATGTCCATTGAAAATATTCTTTTATTAATCAAGATGCCTAATATATATTCACTTCATTGTATAATACTCCCTCCATCCCATAATATAAAGCATGGCCAAACTTGGCATAATCTTCGACACTAATCTTTGACTTATAATTTCTCATATACTATAAGGTTTATTGTAACAAAATTATAACCATCTTAAAGTAAATTTAAATGTCAATCCAATGATATAAATTTTAGTAAAAAAATAATTTATATTATAATAATCATTGGTCAAATGTTTTTAAAGTTGAATTTTGGAATGTGTGCACGCCTTATATTATAGGATAGAGGGAGTATATAACATCTTTAATTTGACTTTTGAATAGGCATTTCATCATTCTTCTTATTCAATTCTTTTACCAATAAAATATAAGTCATGTTTTTCAATTTATTATACAAATAAAATTTAAGCCATGTATAAAATACCTTAAATGATAAAACAATCATTAATAGTAAATAAATGACAATTACGTGATAGTTTTAAATAAAATAATTAGTTAAATATATGTCTAGAAGTTAACGGACATTGTATCTTTATCTTTACCTACTTAAAAAATTGGTAGTGTTTTTACGTCCATCAATCCAACGGTCATGACCTCCAACAGATCCAACAACTAGATCGCTACTCCTCGACTCCTTCCCCTCGCTTACTGCCTCTGCCCCCACTTCCCGAGTCAGAGTCGAAGTTGATGAGTAGGAAAGAAGCCATGTCGGACATGGAGAGGGAAAGAGGAGTGTTGATTTGTTGATGGATCCGATTTCAATCACCCTAAACAAAATCAGTATTACCAAAAAAAAGAGAGGAAGAGATCGACCGATTGATTTCTTGGGCTGAGGTGATTTGGACGATATGAGTAGGGGTGCGATGCATGGCCAACATGCAGCAACATGTGGCGACAAGAGAGCTCTCGGTCAGTGTCGGCTACTTTGTGAGGAGGCGGTGGAGGGGAGGTCTGGCAATGGCTTCCTATCTTATCGATGAACCTTATCGATGTTGCATCTTTACAATGATAAGCTACGTCATGTGATTATTATTATTGTTGTAAAAACGTGAAATAATACGTGGTTTAATATGTTTGCCTTCACTCGTTGCAAAGTAAGATATTCTTGTTAGTACGTTAAAAGAAAAGAGAAGTGCATACGATGTCGGTCGTTGAATTCGCCATATATATTAATCACCTTAAAAATTAAGATAGCATACTACATTTTTGTTCTCCAGCCTTTTTTTTATATTTTTTTTTCACAAGTGCGAGATACGCCACCACTTCTGTGATCTGTTGATCGATCTTACACATATGCATGCGTGCGTACACACATAACGCGCGGACGCATGCATGAGCTAGGTGTAATTTTATAGTTGATCAATCATTCATATCGATTGATGATCAGTTGGCTAATTATAGCTTGAGCTTGGCGGCGATGGCGAGGGCGCCGGTGACGACGCGGTTGACGTTGTTCTTGGTGGCCTTGAGCGCGAGGCTGGGCTCCAGCTCCCGCTCCTCGTAGGCGTTGCCGCAGTCGCCGGTGAAGGTGGTCGCCGCCGACATCTTGGTGATGAGGCTCGCCTTGCTGTCGTTGGCGTCGATGCAGCGCTGCACCTCCTGCAGCGCCGACACCGTGCTGTCGTACCCTTCCTTGCAGGTGTCCAGGATGGACTCCATCGGCGTCCCCTTCTCCGCCGCCCTCGCCGCCGCCTCGAACCTCGCCCTCGCCGCCTTCGCCTTCCTCATCGACAGCTTCACCGCCGCCGTCAGGAGCTCCTTCGGCGAGCTCACCCCCGGCAGCTTCCTCAGCGTGTTGCACATCTTCTTGTTACCCGCCTGCATCAACATCAATAGACAGACTGTTCATCCATGACATGAGCAGTAAGTAATTTTCTGACCATTTCTGGAGCGGGAGTGGATTTTAATCCCTCGAGGAACATCATTCCCTCATTGTTTACATGTCACTCAAATAGTTATAAAAAAATTAAAAAAAATTCGAGAAGATGTATTAACATGTTATATATCACTTCACAAATATCCAAGTTCAAATTAAACATCTATATTTGGTTTAATTTATTTTTTTCGTTGCGAGATACAGAAGTTGAATTTGAACGTGTATGTTTGTGGGGTGATATATCACAGGTTAACACGTCTTCTTAATTTTTTTAATTTTTTTATAATTATTTAAGTGACATATAAATACGAGGGACCCTCTCGAGCGATCAAAATAAGCTTCCATGGACAATAGTGTCGTCACTCACCGCGACATGATCGCAGGTCCAGGCGCACTCGTCGACGACGGCGCCGGTGATCTTGCGGCCATTGTCGATGATGGCACCGAGTGGGTTGGTGATCAGGTTGGTCGGAGCGACGTCGATAGGTCCAACCCGGGCCTCAACGACAGCGGCAGCGGCGAAGGCGGCGACGACGACGACGGAGATGATGACGAATCGCGCCATGGTGTAATGTGTTATTTTGCTCTTCCTTTCTCTCTTTTTTTTGGCCGCCCTCGATGGTTAAATTGAGGGATATAAGAGAGACGGCCAAGAAAGAGAGTAGAAAGAGAGGCAAAAGGCTGAGAAGCTAAAAGGTTTGGTGATGGCTTGGCTTCTCCGACAAGCTGAGTACGGTTTATATAGGGGAGAGGTAAAGGTAAATGAATGGCCATGGTTTCTTTCAGGTTGGGTGGTTGCATGCCATGGGTCATGGTTATTTTCAGATTTTGGTGGTTGCATACCATGGGCTCTCCTTGGTTTCAGGCTGTCTTGGCTAAACTTGGTGTTGCCTTTTTTTTTTCTTTTATTGTTTATAAGAACTTTGTACATATTTTTTAAAATTAAACTTGTAACTTATTTTTTTTTTATGAATGTTTCGACAACGCCAAAATTAGCGATGTATGATTTGTTTTCTAAAAATAAATTAGATCTAGCCGTATAATTTGCACCACCATCCAGCTAGTTTATTTATTTTTTTATAAGAGTACAGAAGGGCAACATGTCAAAAATCTATACCATGATTTCCGCAATGCTTGCCCGCCATAACATTTTAATTAAACTAGTTGGCACCATGTGTGCGCCTTACAGTGGGATTCATTAGTTCTATCGTCAACCAAAATCAAAGTTCTAAAGGATTAGATGCAACTCTATGGTTGTGTTATTTACCCTATCTGCCTAACTCATCTCCCTCATTTTCCATGTACACGCTTCCCAAACTACTAAACAGTATGTTCTTAAAAAAATCTATACGAAAGTTGCTTTAGAAAATCATGTTAATGCATTTTTTAAAAAATAGTTAATACTTAATTAGCTATATGCTAATAAATCTTTCTGTTTTACGTGCGTGACGGATTTAGTTCCCAACACCAACAACCGAACGCAGCCTATGTATATACAAAATACTAATGTAGCTTCATATGTACCTTCAATATTACAATACAAGTATTGATATATGAATGTTATTGTTCATATGTAATCTAGATATCGTTGTAATTACTACAATCTCAAGTTTGATCTGAAAATGGGTTTGGGTTAGTGACTCCCAATAATTATATGCTATCTAATTATTCATAATAAAACAAAGCTCACATCTTAAACAATAATTGGAATCGTATTAAAAAAAGATAAGTTAGCATTATATTTGAGGACTTAGGAAGGAAAAGCATGGTGCTATGTGCAAAATGGGTAAAGATTCTTGATCGAGCGACAGTTATCTTTTTATTAATAAATTTGAAGGCTTACTACATGTTTTACTCTATAGAAGTAAATGCTCCTAACTAAGAGTACCAACTCCTACCCCTCTCTCAAAGTAGAGGGAAATTTGTCCATGTAACTATATGTGCACAAAATCCCAGCTTTTTTGGAATGCAGGATTTTAGAAACACACGAATGTGAAAAAATATGGGTGAATAGCTAATTTAGTCCCTCAAGTTTTAGCGAAGGCTCAATTTGGTCCTTCACGTTTCATTTTGTCCACATAGGTCCTTCAAATATTTGTTTTGGCTTAAAATCATCCTTGGGTCCACTTAATATGCCATATGGCTATTTCTAGTCAATATTTCTATTAGAAAATATCATTTTTGCCCTTAATTTGTATACATCTATATACTAGAAAAGAGAAAGCCAACATGAATAAACAACATTATAGATGTACTTCCCATTATTTCAATATGTGCACATGAAACTTAAGCAATGGCTATCGTATACACTTGTTAGTGCATAATTTTTTTTCGTTTTACATAATATACTATGTATTATCTATAAAAAATTCAAGCATGCAATTTTTCTCTTATATATGTGAATGATGAGGGATATAAGTGTCATTTATGAAGAGAGTTGTTGGTTCAAGGATAAGTTTGAACTAAAATGAAAGAGCAATTTTACAGTCCTTGAGGAGGTACCATGAGGTACCAAAAATTTAGTGTAAAATTTGGTACCCCATGGTACCTCATAGTACCTAGGTACCAAGAGGTACCAAATTTACAATAGAAAAAAGGTACCTCATAGTAGCTCCTCAAGAACCGTAAAATTGCCCAAAATGAAAACTTGAAAGACTAATATGGATAGATTGAAACATCAAGGACTAAACCGAACCTCAGATGAAACTTGGAGGACTACTTTGGCTATTCACCCAAAAAATATAGAATTACAGTAGTGTAAATCAGGAAACCATAAGCTCCAAAGTTTGTTTCTCGATTTATCCGCATCAGCCAAAGTTTCAATTTTAAAAACATTAATTTTGATGTTTTATTTTCTAATATTTTAATTTATCTTTTCAGCATTACTAGCTTTTAATTGCTGATAACAAATATGAATGTTTTACTCGCAAATTATTTTTTCTGCTAATAAGCGCTATTACCTCCGTTACAAAATATAGCAATCTAGAACGGAATGAGACCCATCCTAAAACTACGAATCTGGACATGAGGCATGTCCATATTCATATTTCTAAGATGGGTAGGTTGCTACATTTCTTAATGGAGTGAGTATATCTTATAATTACCGCTCAACGCGCTAAGCACTTGAAAGAAAAAGAGTAGAAGTAGCAAGATGTACGATGAAGCGTGCGTAAATGTAGAGAAAATGCTAGTCAATCTGAACAACCCAATCATCGCCTCCTTGCACGATAATCTCATCCTAACATCGTGGCCGTCCTTCTCTTGTTTTATTAAAAGTTTTTTTTTTACGATTACACGATAGATACATGGTATGTGGGTTCTAAACTTTTATTATCCTCACACGTTAGTACATGTAATAATAGCGTTATTATGGTAAAGGATGTGAACACGTCCACTACACACGCTGACTTAACCTGCCACGGTTTCACCGATCGTCATCTTCTCCTCCCTTCTCCTGCGTTCCGCCGCCGGCGGCGGCGGCGGAGGCGGGGACTTGCCGGCGGAGGTAGTCCTCCTTCCCGAGGCACGAGTCCGGGACGACGACGCCGACGCTCTTCCCGAACGCGTGGTGGCAGTAGGCGGACGCGTTCTGCCCGCCGGCCATGGTGATGTTCACGTTCTCCAGCGACAGCTTGCTGCACGGCGCCGCCTCGCTGCACGCGAACGTCACCGCCCGCTCCGACGCCGACGTGCCGGTGATGTCCGTGTAGCTGATCTCCCCCACCGTCACCGCGCTTCCGTTCTGCACACCATCCAATCCACCCCAAAAAACTCAATGTTCAGAGATGTTAGGCAAAATGTTCAGAGATGTTGATCTTCTACTATGTGCTGATCAGATCAGATGCTGATCATGAGCTCACTGTACCTTTGATCCGCAGGGAATTTCGTTGCTCGAGGAGTTCTGCTGATCGATGACGATCGGGTTCTTGACGTTCTTCATAAGGATGTCACCGAACTTCATTTTCCGGGCGGTGCCGCAGCCGCCCTGAAGAACAACAGCAGAAGTTAGCTAGCTAGGCAGTTTTGAGTTCAGAGTTCAGTGTAATCTTGGGTGTTTCTGACGAAGATTCATGTGAGAAGTGGGCGTTGGGTTTACGGTTAACCTGGAAGGTCTTGACGCGTACGCCGTTTTCAGTGTTGGAAATGAACAGGGTGTCCATCTTGATCTTTTCTACCCTGTGGTAACTTCGGTTCTCGCCTAATCCTCCAATACTGACAAGCACAAACTGTTAATTAGCTCTGTTACGAACTGCTACTATAAATGGATGTGGTCATGTGGAGTGTGTTTGGGTGGAGTCATTGTCTGAATTTAGTTCAAAATCTGATGCAAATTCCACTGAAAAGATGGAGAAAAAAATGCTAACCTGATACCATGGCCAGGTCCACATGAGATGGCTCTTAGACGAACATCCGTAGAATTGCCCACAATCGAGACACAATCATGACCTTAAAAAGGCAAAAAGAAGGGGAAGAAAATGTTCTTTGTGAGCCTTTTTACTGTCCTGCAAAACATATCTGATCAACTAATTTCAAACGAGACATCTGTTTCAGCAACAGACATCATTCAGAAATTCAGAGCAAAGCTCCATTTCTTCAGAAGAAAAAAAAATGTGTAGTACCTGTGGAGATCGAGTCGTCCATGATGTGAACATTGCGCGAGCTGACGACGTGAACTCCGGTGGTGTCCGGGCTGTCCTCCGGCGAGGTTATCCTCAGGTAGTTGGCCTTGACGTGCGAGCACCGGGTGAACGTCAGGTGGCTCTCCTGGCTGTTCTGCAGCGTGATCCCCATCACGCTGATACCCTGACAATCCTCGAAGTGCAGCGCCTGCAAATTAACACCGCGAAAATGCAATCCATGCATGAATTCTCCATCTTTTTGGTCCAAATCCTCTCGAGCTAGCCAAGATCTCTGATCAAATTAAAGCGAAAATCTCACCTTTGGAGCAGCCTGGGTAGTGCAATTCTGCAGAGACAAGATTGTTCAGAACTTCAGAATAATTCAGATATTTCTGTGTTGCAATTGGCAACATCATGGTCATGGAGGAGACCATTGGTTACCTCGGTCGCGTTGTGCTTTGCCTTGCACGACCGGGCCCACCACCGGTGGCCACGGCCGTCGATGACGCCCCCGCCGCTCAGCGTCAGGTCGCTGACGCCGACGAAGTGGAGCCATTCGCCGCCGCCGCCGCCGCCCTCCGGCCACTCGTCGGGGCTCTCCGGCGCGACGATGTTGCCGGAGATCTGAGGAACCGGACGCGATTAACGAAGTGGATAAGGCACAAGAAATGGAAGAGGCGGAGATAGTGTGTGGTGGTGTGTGCGTACGAAGAGCTTGATCTCCTCCCTGCAAGGTCCGGCGAGGGTGACCGGCCAGACGAGGTAGGACTTGGCGGCGGGGACGTGGAGGAAGGTGTGGTCGCCGGTGGCGCAGGCGGCGCTCCAGGCGTCCACCAAGGCCTGGACGAGGCGGCAGAAAGAGTGAAGACGCCATTGTGAGCTGAGCTAGTGAAGCTGGAGTGGCTAGCTGCTGCTCACCTGCGTGTCGTTGGCGACGCCGTCGCCGACGGCGCCGAAGTCGTCGAGCGAGAGGAGAGTGCGGGGCTCGGCGGCCTCCGGCAGGAGGAGCAGGAGCGCGGCGGCGACCACCACCACGCCGGCGAGCGGCGGCGGCGCCATCCTTGAACTAGGTGGCATCCAAGATCAGCAGCTTCGACTTTCTGACAACAAGTGTCCAAGTCCACGAGATATTATTTTGACGAAAATCTGATCCACGATTTATTTTTTTTCTTTTCTTGGGAGAATCTTGGATCCACAATTCCACATCACCACGTGGACATCGAGAAAACACGTGGGCCGTGGGCCGTGGGCCACCGACACCTTCGTTACGTGGGGCCAATATAATTGGGCCATCGGCCCATCACTGCTAGTAGCAGAAACTCCGGTAAAATTATGTTTTTTTGTATCCATTTTAACTTCACATAATGCCCTCTAAAAAATTCTTGACACAAACGTCGTATACAGCTTACAACTCTCTGTACTCATACACTCTCCCAAATACGGCAACAGTTTCTACACCTACGTGTACGGTATTTATACTTCAGCTTTTTTCCGGTGATCGTTGCCAGGATCGGGCATTGCCGGCGGCGATCAAGAACCGACTCTGGCCGCCGGCGTGGCGTCGCCGAGCATCCTGTGGGGCGCCTTGGCGAGGCAGGACGCCGGCACGACGGCGCCGGCCGCCTTCCCGGACGCCCTGTGGCAGAACGCCGACGCCGCGCCGCCGCCCACCATGGTCAGGTTGACGTTCCTCAGCTCCAGATCCCGGCACGGCACGGCGTCGCTGCACGCCAGCTTGATCGCCTGCTCCGTCGCCGACGTGCCCCGGATGCCCGCGAACTCGATCTTGCGCACCTCCACCGCCTGCGTCTGCATCCACAGAGACGAAAAATTCCCAAGTTTCAGAGATGATGAACTAGTGCTCTGAACAATGGCAAAAGTTCAGAGTTTCAGAGATGATACGATGCTTTGCAGGTGAAAATGCAGATTATTACCTGGTTTGCACAGGGTGTTGGTTGGTCACAGTAGTACTGATCGATGATGATTGGATTGGAGACGTTCTTCATCACGATGCCCTCGAACCTCAGGTTGTGAGCATACCCCATCCCTCCCTGATCAAGCACAAAGTTGCATTTTGTCATATAATTACTCCTTTTTCTGAATAGATTGTTCTTGTCAGAACCAAGAACTGCAAGTGTTTTTTCCCCTCATCAGATTGTTCTTGTGAGAATTCAGAAGTGTGATGTCCTGCAACTAACCTGCCAACTCTTGATCCGTACACCGTTGGTTGTGTTTGTCAGCAAGCAGGTGTCCACCCTCACGTTCTCTATTCTGTCAGTGGTCCGGTTCTTGCCTAAGCTTCCGATACTGTCAATCAAACAAGTGCCACGTGTCAGTGACATTGGCAGTTCCAGTAACAGAATCCTCTTTAGAAACAGAAAAATCTATTGTTATACTGATCAGAGATCATGGGCAAAGACTGGCATGGAATCCTGGAAAGTACTGCAACCTGATGCCATGTCCAGGCCCACATGATATGTCCTTCACTCGGACGTCAGAGCAATTGCCAACCATTGACACGCAATCATCTCCTGAAGAAAGTGATTAAACAGCAGATTAATTAACCAATCATCCAAATATCAGCGGTAATCACTGCCTGCTTCAAACTTCAAAGGAAGCCCAAGATTCTGACCAAGAGCAGCAATGTATGACCTGATCTCTTATCAATCAACTACATTAATTTAACAACTTTCAAGTATTCCTTTTCCAGGTCAATTATTCGATTTTGGGCGCCGACTTGGCGGATTTGATCTTATCTTGAATAACAAAATGCGAAAAATGGAATCAGATAGCTGAATTAGTTTGACCAGAAGTAGGAGAGACACTGACACACTGTCTCAGAAAGTCAGCATCTGAAACTGAAGATTAGTCCAAGCTTGCAAGCAAGTACATTCCGAATTTTGTCATGGCATTGGCATGCACAGCACACTGACCTGTGGAGATGAGGTTGTCCATGATCTGGGCATGGGTGGTGTCGTTGAGGTGGATCCCGTCGGTGTTCGGGCTGCTCTCCGGCGCCACGACGCGGAGGAAGCTTGCCTTGACGTCCGTGCACCGGGTGAACATCAGGTGGAACTGCGGCCCGTTCTGCATCGTGATCCCCTGCACGCTCACCCGCCTGCACTCCTCGAACTGCAGCGCCTGCAATTCAATGCAATGCAATCGCAGAGAGAAGAATCAGTCACGGTCGCCGCCGGCGACCGTACTCCGGCGGCCGGAATGGAGGAGCGTTCGCTCTCGCTCACCTTGGGAGCAGACACCGTGCTGCAAGGCTGCAAGAACGCAAGAAGAGCAAACGTTCAGATGATGCTTTGATGGTTAACAATGGCGAATTGGTTGTTGTTGTTACCTTGGTCTTCTTGCGCTTGCAGGAGCGCGCCCACCACTCGGCGCCCATGCCGTCGATGGTGCCGCCGCCGGAGACGGACAGGTCGTCGACGCGGAAGACGTAGAGCCACTTCGTCGGGTCGCGCCCCGCCCACTCGTCGGGGCTCGCCGGCGCCGCGATCGTCCCGGAAATCTGTCACAAACACAATGCAGCTCGCGTCATCGAATCGAACAGACGAACGCCGCCGCCGCCGCCGGCGCGCGGCGCGACACGGGGCAAGCACGTACGTACCATGAGCTTGAGCTTCTTCTTGCAGGGCCCGGCGAGCCGCACCGGCCAGATCTGGTACGTCTTCCCGGCCGGCACGGCGAGGACGGCCGGCTCCGTCGAGGCGCAGGCGGCGTTCCAGGCGTCCAAGAAGGCCTAGACACGAAAAGACAGAGTGCACCGTCGTGCCAGAGTTCTCGCCGACCAAAAAAAAAAATTGCACCGAGCTCGAACACCTCACCTGCGTGTCGTTGGTAATGCCGTCGCCGACGGCGCCGAAGTCGTCGAGGGTGAGGAGCACGCGCGCCTCGCCGGCGCCGGAGAAGAAGAGAACACCAGCTGCAACAGCCATGGCCGCAACAACCAGCCGCATCACGGACACACGAAGAATCGCCATTGCTTCCTGCACCAAAGAACCGAACAAGGAGACGACACGACACGATTGAAGGAGAAGAAGAAGAGGAAGATTAGAGGAAGCAGGGCAACAAAATAGCAGGACACCTAGCAGCTGCTACTAATAGCAGCGCATGTGCTGCCTTGTACTAACTAGGTTGCTTTTGCGGTTGAATCATCCATCCATGGCGATGGATAGCGAGATTTAAGCATGCAAAGCGAGGGGGGGGGGGAATTTTGCATGGCCGTCTGTGGATTGGGCAATTGCACATTTGCACACCCTGATTGCGACTTTTGCTGATTGATTTGGTGACTAAAAGATTCCAACTTTTGTGCTTGTGTACGTACTTTGTGTAGGTTGGTAAGTAACTGAATGTGATGGCTAATAAATCAGCTGCATAAGTCATTTCCTTTGTGCTATTTATTAGAGATTTTTTTCAAGGTAATTAAATAGACATAAAGGTAGTAAGAATTTCTCCAAATGGGGGAAGGAATCAGGGCCATTTGGTGGCAACTGGCAAGGTTGCATGCATGACATGAGGCATGTAGTAATAATTTATGCACTGTTATGGTAAAATGTTAATATTATTTTTTTTTGCATTTCAAACGGTAGCAGAGCAAGAGTTGCATTCCATATTTCCATGCCTGCTATGCTGCTTAGCTGTTTAGAGCTCTTGCGTCAAGGAACTGAAAGCGCTGGAAGCTGAAAGACCGATCGGCTCTTCTTCAGTTTCACCTCTTATTTCACTTTTTCTTTTCTGAAGTTTATAAAACAATGATGAAAGCATTTACCTGTTATGACCTGACCTAACCAAACAGCTAGTTACAGCGTGAATTTACTGTAATTTTGTTCTGTTGTTTGTCAACTGTCTGTACCTTTTGTTCTATTATCTATCAATCAGTTTGTTGCTTTAAATCCTAACTACCAAACTTTGCCCTCTCCAGAATCCCATTCTGATTTGTCCTTGCTAAGCATTATTCCACTACTAATGCACCGATTAGACACCTGCCCTTTTCCTCCCTCTGAATCAAGTAGCCACTTTTCTAGCTCTCGTTTTCTCAGGGACACTTTTCTAGCTCTTGAAAAGCATCAAATGATAAAAACATCCACATGAGAACATTATCCTGCTTCTGGCACCTTAAATGAGTGGCTCAAGCGAATCTAAGCACTCAGTTGCTTTTGTCAGATAATCTAGGTGTAGGTGACGTCTTGCATAATTTCTAATCGGAGTATTTGAGATGCATTTGTCTGATTCTAGTTTTGATCCACTGAACTCAGTTAAAAATGTTATTAGTGAGCTGAAGCCTTCGTTTACAATATGAGAAGCAGAAGCATCAGGTAAAGAAAATTCAGTACGTACTTGCTACTGTACGGTTTTGCATTTACAGACATAAACCAAACACACGCTCAAAAGTCCACCTTCAACTACCAAACAGTGCAGTACTGTTCTATGTGCTAAGAACACAGAATTATTTGGCCGGCATCCATCTTCATGCTGTCAAAATGCATCCATCTTCATGCTGTCAGGACTGAGAGTAACTCTGTTACTAGGAACAGAATCATTTCTGCATTGAAAACACTAGCTGATAAAGAGCCGCATAGATATCCAGGGTTGGCATTGCTAAATGCTCTCCTCTTTTGCGAATTATTTGGCCGGCAAGTTTGAACACGATCTGTCCTTGTGCAAATGGCAAATTCTGAACAAAAACGTTCAGCTTTCTGACTCCTGAATCTTCAAAGGAAGCAGCTCACCATCATCGCAGGTGCCGTGCTTCAGAAGGGTGCTGGAGGATGATTAATGCCACGCGTAACAGGAAAGAAAGAAAGAAGAAAAAGACGAAGAAATGCCATTCATTATTAATCCAAATTACAGAAAAGGCCAAACAAGTTTCAGAGAATTCAGAAAACAAAAAAGTTGATTCACACCAGCTGAGGAGCAACTTGGGTAGCTTCAGGTTTCAGCTCTCCTTCGTCAGAAAGAAAAAATGAGTTTCAGTTTCAAGCAGCACAGGCATAACGCCTGCCAAATTCTGCACTAGCACATGAGGTTCCAAAAAAAAAAAACTATACAAAAAGTGGAGGAAAAGGATATTGCAGAGCAATTTTTTTCCCAGATAACACAACATTTAGCACGTCGTTGCATATGAAAAAGAAAATCTGATATCGTCCGAATAGATTAATTACAAGAAATAAGATTATCAAGCTCTGCAGATGATACTCCACGGACACATTCACTGTTCACATGAAAAATACTTAATAGTTCATAGTTGCTTGCACGTCATAGTTTTCTAGTGCTAATCACCTACTTGACATGAAACAATTTACAAGATAAGCAAAGAAACTATATGAAAAAATAAAAAGGCTACGAAATGGACTAATGGATTGGAGCATGATCCGATCAGATGGGGAATTGCATGTATGTACAGATGATGAGACGATGAGTCGCTCTAGCTCTCGACGGATCACGACGACGAGTGGCGCCTAGCCTTGGCCTTGCCGCCGGCGACGGCGGCGGCGGCGCCGCCGCCGCTCCTCCCGCCCTTGCCGCTGCCGCCGAAGAACCTGCAGAAGCCGCACACGGCGACGCGCGGCGACGGCGGGTCGAGCGCCGGCTGGACGCGCCCCGCCGCCCTGTACCCGCCGTGCCCGGCCGACCGGCTGCGCTCCACCCTCGCCGCCGCGCCGCCGCCGCCGCCGTCCGCCGGCTTGATCTCCCCGGACAGGTGCCTGTCGTCCCACACGAGCCCCGACGAGCCCGACCGCCGGAACGTCTCGCTCGACCGCTGCAGCCCCGCCATGGATCGATCGATCGATCACAAAAATTCCCGAAATTCACAGGATCAGAGACCCAGAAGATCCGCTATATACGAAGAAAACACGGGGGGTGGTTCACCGAGAACCGAAAGATCGAATTCTTATTGGGGAGGGGAAGATAGTGGATGAAACCGATCGATGATGAAACCGAAAGGGACGGCGACGTGTGATGACGATGAGCGTAAAAATAAAAATAATTCAAAAAAATATAAACTAAAAAGGAAAAATAATGGCCGCCACCGGTCACTTGGCTCCGGAGATAATCTACTCTGATCCGGCGATCGATCAGCTCAACTGTTCCGAGGCGAAAAAGGAGAGAAAATAATGGATTTTTTTTTCTCATCGGCAACGCTGGTTGGCGGGTGGGCAAATGGATATAAACGGTGGCGGCTTGGTCCAAGAACGTGGACCTACTCCACCGCAGGTAGTTCATTCATATTTGACCAGAAGAACAGGCATGGATGATTTGATCAAGCTCTAATCCGTTTTGGGTTAGGTTAACCACGAGGTTAATTCTTTTTTTTAGTTTTATAGAAAAATGCCCGTGCATTGCAACGGGTGAAGACTATTTTAATCTTATTATTGTTTTACGGTTTAGCTAAGGTGAAATTCACCGTGGGAATTCGCTTGTATATTCTTTTTATAAAATCATGAGCCGCAATTAGGGGTCTGATTGTCTCAAATTAGCATGCAAGTTTTTTTAAAGAGATTTCTTATACAACTCCTTTTGTATTTCTAAAACGAACAAAATTAAAAACCGGCTCAAATACAGATTTATATTTCTAAAAACGATTGAATTTAAAAATCGATTCAAACATGGATGACATACTAAAAGCTGACGTTTTTATAATAGTAGAGATTCTGACCTTGTGTGTGTGGGAAGAATTATTCTAGCACTAGTCCACTGTAGTGTGCAGTGGAGATTGGGAAAAACGGATGTGATTCGAGCGGACGAGCACCATCCAGTGTTTGCACACTTGCACCGTTGGTGAACCTGGAGCTGCATTTTGCAGCTTTCATGATGGATTCGTTCGGCCTAAACAATGATTGGACGTGGATATAGGGGGTGTTTGGGAAGTAGGGACTAAATTTAGTTCCTCTCACAAAAATATAAGTCCCTATGATAGGGACTTATGTTTTTGTGAGATAGACTACACTTTAGTCCCTACAACCAAACACCACCCTAGGTGGCGTCTAAGCTTTCATGAGTAGTACGGCACGGCTCCGATCTGGCATCCTCCGTAACTTGGACGCGAGATGTATTGTCTCGATCGATTTTGCTTTCCAATTCGATCATTACCGGGTGGCGATGTCAAAGAACAGGGGCAACACTGGCCCATGTGATGCTTGAAGTGTGAACCTTGGAACTGATAGCTTCTGCCGGCTTCCATTCCAAGGTGGGACATTCAGTTTCGTTCACGGAAAAGCTCCAAATACATTTCCATGCCATGGCACCACCACTGAAACGAATCCGTCATCTGTCGAAACTGCAGGTCGACAGCATGTTGTCGTCACTGGACAAAGACCCCATTGAATACCATGGTTCAAGTACAGTGGATAATTGCAGATATACTGATCATAACAGAAGTCTCCATGCATTGTATACACAAAATACTCCCTCCGTCCCATAATATAAAAGATTTTAAGTTTTTACTTGCAACGTTTGACCACTCGTCTTATTTAATTTTTTTTAAAATTATTATTTATTTTATTTGTGACTTATTTTATTATCTACCGTACTTTAAGTATAACTTTTCGTTTTTTATATTTGCAAAACAAATTTGAATAAAACGAATGGTCAAACATTGCAATCAAAAACTTAAAATCTCTTATATTGTGGGACGGAGGGAGTACTTCCTATCCAGTCAATGTCGCCCACTTGACACTTTGGCAGCAAGTGTGCCTGAGCATTTCAGCTTTTGGATTGGTAATAGTACATGATCTGTTCCAACAGCAAAGCAAAAACAAGCTTCGTCTTTGCCTGCACGGGAAATGCATTGCATCTTAATTAGCAATAGCTCAAAGAAAGCAACCACCCCAGCACAAACTACAAGCTCATGGAATAAGCCCTCGGAAGGGAAAGGGATTTGGCGCAAATTAAGCAGCAGCGCGAGGAACAGCAGTACAAAGCCAAGGGAGGCCGCAGTAACTTTTACAACAGCACTGGTGCTGAGGAGTTGAGGTATGTACAAAGCCACTGTACACACCTTCATACACCGGAAAAATGGGGATTGCAGATAGCAAGGGGTGGAACCGCAGCTCACGATATTCACCATGTCAAGTGAACAAGATTGAAATCAGGAAGCCTTTCTCCGGCCGGTGCCGCTAGGACTTCTGGGGCTCATTTGCTTATCCTGTGCCATCAGAGAACTGGTGCCACTAGTCCCATGATACATCAAGCGACGAGGAGAATCATTTCTCATGCTCTGGTTCTCTGCCTCAAGTTGTTTAGCCTCCTCCATTAGCATAGATAACTGTTCACAGAACCAAGTAGCCATTAGTGGCAACTCCCTTTAAGAGCAGTGTAATAAGATGCAGGCTCCACTCACCCGAAGTTCATTTTCCTTCAGACGATCCTGAAGTACAGTTATAGCAGGGCTCAAACTAGAATAGCAGAATGCAAGATAAGTTAGCAGAGGGCTGCACATAAATAAACATATCAGCCAATTAACAGACAGAGATTGTGCTACTAACCAATATTCCATTAATTTGCAGAGAGATGAGTTGTATGTAGATGCATGGTGAATAGATGTAAGTGGGTGGATCTTCCCATCACTGCAAAAGAACCATACAAGATGTGCATTTTACCACATAATAAACACGTAGTACTATATAAGGCAAAGTAAGTAACTTTAGTTACCGAATATTTTGATGCATGGCTTGATTATATGCTGATTTTTCCTCTTCGAAAACGACATGTTGCATATCACAGTAAGAAGTTAATGTGGTGTCCAGCTTTAGCAGATGCCTGGTCGGAAATACATAAAGTGGCACCTCCTTTCTTACATATTCTGCACCACTATTGGCAACACATTCTAGTTAGAAGTTAATATATGATTATATTGCACCACACTAGCTAAACTGTTTGGCATGTACAATTTTGATATATAAAAAAAGACAATAATCCAAATACGCCCTTCTGGTGTGATATATCATACACTATTTAGAAAATGCAGAAAACTACAGCTGTTCTTTTATAGTAGAACATGCTTAGAATTTAGACAAGAAGTAAAATAAAGCACAGTCTATTAGATAGCATCTTAGGGATTGCCATGCTTTGCTCAGGAAAAAGAAAAAGGACACTGCCATTTGGCAAACTTAAGAGACCATAGATCAGTCATGCTACAATTGGTTTGTTTCAAAACAGAACATATGTGACGTGGATATAGCTCCATGAGAAAGAAGTGTCACTGGAATTGTGTTTATTAAATGTATGTTTCTAGCTGATAGGGACTTAGAGATCCTATAGAAGCAGGTGTCACAGAAAGTAAGTCAGCCTGATCATTCAACTGACATTTCTACAGCATAAAAAGGATAAATGCATTTTACGGGAATAACAAGTTTTCAACTATAATACCTAATGTCCATGTTTGACCTGTGCAACGCCTCCTGGATGCTTGGGGTCATATCTGATTCATCTAGATCAACAGGGGTCTCAGGTGCATTATTGGGATCGTATGCAACTATAGCATTTTCTTTGGATTGATGTTTTGCTGAGTGATTGGCGTCAAAATGAGGATAGAAATCCACATCAGAAGATTTTGCCCACACCTAGATAATAAGCACAAGCACAGTAAGTTTACCAATATTAATATACTTGCAGGAAGGCACACAGACAAATTGTATTGCATAAATAGACATCTAAACAAAATTATCATCTCCCATTTTAACATACATAGTATAGAAATTTCCATGCTTCACACCTGTCGCATCACAATAAGGAATTATCATTAAATGATACCTAAAAGCTACGTAGATTCAACAAAGCTGTGTAATTTTCAGACAACAATTACAGTAGAGGTAAAATGTGTCTCCAATTGATATGGATCAGTGGACAGGGTTGCCCAAACAATGTAGTGCATGCTATCTGTTAATATCTGATGTACATTGGTTCATGTAAAACCATATCAGGACATGTATAATCCATCAGAAGAATTGGTCATAGTCATAAATGTCAGCAGTCATCCTGTGGATGTTATATATCAGGCTGGTGTATATTCAAGAATGAAAAAGCATCTGCCAGATACTACTGAGCATAACAATCATAACTGTTATGGGGCTTGGCTGATTTATTGGTGTCAATACTTAAGATACAAAACCCATATACAATATCTTTATTACATAATGTTTATCACTTATAAGAGACAGTATCATATCCCAATGTAAAATCAGATGGATATTTTATGACTACAAATATATATCATGAGCTTATTTCAGTTTGTTTTCAAAATGTTCTACATCATGTCATGATGTTCATACCTAAAAAAGAATAGAAATTCTATGTTTTCCATTGACAAGTGATCGCTTTTAGAATTGCCATCAACGAACATAAGTTACACAGAATACCATCGGTGTCAGTTGACCATTAGTTTAACTCCATTAACCCTGTGCAAACAGTCCATTTTACCCCTAGAATATACTCCCTCCATCTCAAGATATAGCTACTTTTGGAATTCAAATTTTGTCTCAAAATATAGGTACTTCTCCACCTACCCCCTCACATTGACCAATCAAAACCATCCCCCATTCAATCTCTCCACCTCATTTCAACCAATCACAATCATCCCCTATTCAATTCCACCTACTTTCTTAATATTCCCGCAAAAACCTGAAGGTAGCAATATTTTGAGATGGATGGAGTCCAAAGGGTAAAATGGACTTTTTGTATGGGGTTCATGGATGTCAACTAACGGTGATGGCAATAGGGAAGGAAATCTCTTGTGCGATGGTATTTCATAGAACTCACGTTCGTCGATGGCAATTCGTAGGATTGATCACTTGTCAATGACAAAACATAGAATTTCTCAAAAAATCAAACTAGGTTGCTATTAATAAATGGCAAAGCCCAAATGGATTTGGATCTTTGCACATTTCCTATTTAGCTAACTGTTTCATCTTTATTCATTCATTAATTAGATGTTTTATTTAATCCAAAAAATGTAACAATGCCACTTAGGTATCCTTGCATACTATGCTATGACAGTGCAACGACTAACATTGCCACATGATCAGGTAGTTGTAGAACATTGCTAGTGTGGTTTAAATGTTGCCCATCAAAAGGGAAGGCATGGGAGGCTTCTAGAAGGACACATATCACTGCTATGTAAGAGAAAAGGTCATTCTTGGTCTATATATATTGCCCAAACAGATGGAACTGTTAAGTTTCATAAACATAATTTCTATAGCGCCACAAAGAGCCAGATCTAAAATCCACTTTTCACTCTTATTGCTTACTTTTTTAGTACAGAAATTGCGGTTGTGGAATCCTATCTTAGAGACCAGCCCTATATTTTCTTAATAAAATTGAAAAGAAATTTCATGACATGAGAGTACAACGAATACAAGAATAAACCTTGCTATTTCTTGAAGATTTAGAATCCCCCGTGTCTTGTTCAATGCCTTCAATCAATGCCGGATGTGAGGTATCATCCAACGAACTCCAAGATGATTCAAGGTTAATGACTGGATCATTAACAGGAACAACAGATTGCTGATTTCCACCAAGTGACTGAAAAGCAATCACTTGGATTTTTCCAACCTGTGGGAACCAAAAAAGAAATCAATTCAGCAGGGCTAATTAAATGTCATGGGTGCCCCAAACTAGAAGTAAACATGATGTGCATATGAAGTACAAGAATCATACCTTTTGAGCATCTTCGCTAAAACAAGAGAATATCAGACCCACAAAACCTGGCTCCATCAACTGAAACATTGCCTGGGTCCGAACATCTGCAGTATATGACTCATGTAAGTCAGATATAACAAGCAAAGTCCAGCCCTCACTGCAAACGGGCAGCATCTCATAAGAGACAAATAAAGCATAAAAGCAGATGCACTAGCGAATTCCCTAGATCTACATTGTCATCGTCAATTTGTCCTGATATGGACCCTCTACTGCCTTCGTACTCAGGGAAGTATAAGTTGGTGCCATAACGGAAAAAATGGAGTAAACCCACATGCCTAAATATAGCATTCCCAAATACAAAAAAAGCATACATTACCACCAACAAAAAGGAAATGGGCTCTAGCATAATTAACATTCGTTTTCCAAACATCAGATAGGATAACGAAAGGTTTCACATCACTTCAAATTCAAAATGGCATTAGTACAATAACACAATTGCAATCAAATTTCAAAACCGTGCAAAGTTCCATATCATCTCACGACATCACAAATACGGAATGCGACAAAGTACTGCACACCAAGGGGGTTATCAGAAGGCGCTCCAGCCTTAGTGAAGCACAGCAAATTGGAGGTAACTTGAACCACCTACCTACATGGGAAGGCAGAACGGTGATATGCGGGTGCGAGTGGTACCATCCAATCACCCTCGTTTTCTCGCCGATGGTGGCCGACAAGCTGTGCGAACAGAGTTAAGTCCAACTCCAACTCCCGAAACCCCAACATTAGGCTTCTCAACACAAAACCAAACACACAAAATCACAGAAATGGAGGGGAAAAAGGATATCTCGGCCTGCGCCGTCGCCGCCGCGAGCAGCTCGGGGTTGACCTCCACCCTGTCCTTCTTCCGCTCGCACCTCATCTGCGGCGACGCCCCCCATATCAGAGCAGTCACCCCGCCCCTGCTCGAATGCTGCGAAGCAGGCAAAAAACCACCATGATCTCAACACCAGCAAGCGCCACGCATTCGCGCTGGAGGAGGAGCAGGAGAACGGGGAGAGAGGAGAAGCAGGTGACCTTGATGTCGCCGAAGAGGAGGCCCATGACCTCCTCCGTCTCGGTGGTGAGGGCGTGGGAGAGGCAGGTGAGCCACACCTCCTCCCCGATCCTGACCTCCGTCAGCGACATCTCCTCCGCCCGCCGGCCTCCTGCCGCCGCCGCCGCCGCCGATCCGGTGGGGTTTCGGGCCGCGGCGGAGGAGGGGTTGGGTTTGGTTTGGTTTGCCTCTTCGATTTGGCTTGTAGCGCTGCGCCTCTTTGAAGCTCGGTTTTTTTTTTTCCTTTTCTTTTTCTTTCTCGTGCGAAATGGGCTCTCTCGCTCGCCTCTCGGTCGGATGACGGCTGCGCCGCTGGCTCCCTGGCCTTCTGTTACGTGTTTCGCTGCAAAGTGGGGCCCTGGTCTGATGTAGCCGGCAGATACTGCAGGTGGGGCCTACCTCAAAGTAGATTTTGCTACGGCTTGTTTGGTAACTCGACGTAAAGGGATTAGGAGTTTACACAAGGGAATTAATGATGAGATTAAGATGGGAATTTGATTTTTAATCCCAATATCTTGTTTGACAGGGGAGATGGAAATTGATAGGGAGTTTAGTTGGAGATTAGGTCATTAATAAAAACATATGTCTGATATTTGCTTAGACAAAATAAAGGAGGAATTCCCTCCTAATTACCTGCCCCTACCCAGTTATTGAAAATGAGGTAGTTCCTTTCTCAATTCCCCATCCCTATCCCACCAAAATTTTCATGTCTCCCAACCAAATAAAACACTTAATAGCCCATCCCTCTAAACTCCCAATCCCTCCTTAAAAACTCACTCCAACCAAACGGGCCGCTATAGTCGTGACACTTCGATTTGGCACGTCAGCAGCAATCCCGCTTATTAGGCCCCACCCCTATGTTGGAGAAGGCTAATCCACGACCAGTTCCCCACTGTGAGCCTGCCTGTTTAGGTCTTTAGGGGAGTTTAAGATTTTGAGAAACTATTGTTGAAAAACTAACTTGTGGGAATCTGAAGAAGCTAGAAAACCTAGTTTCTCGCTTTTTTTTCTCGCTTCTAGTTCATTTTTCAGATTTTATAACTACAAATTCTCAAAATTTGGGAACCTTGAGAATTTAGGTAAAAAACTGGACTGTTTGAGAGAGCTGTTAGCACCTAAAAATTTTAGGAGAAGCTGCAGGCGCTAAGTTCGTTTGGAGAAGTTCCCGACCTTTCCCTATGCACAAACAACGGAAGTTCAGGCCCAAACTACATGGGCCACACGTCAGCAGCGATCCCGTTACGGCCTAGTACATATGGGCCTCACATGAGCCGCAATCCCGTTACAGCCCAATATATATGGACCGGAATCCCCGTTCCAGGCCCGACTGAGAAGAGCTGCAAGTGTGTTACGGCCCAATTAACCGATGCACCGTTGTGGTCGTGGCAGTGCCAAGCGTGGTGAAGTGCTGGCTTGCTCTCGGCCGTCCATGGTCGATCCAACGGCTGACTAGGGGAATCACCTGATCCCCTTAGGAGGGCCTCATCGTTTGGCTTTTTTTTTTAATAAGCCAAAACGGTTTATTAGAGAATAAAAATAAATTTGTTGGTTAAACTTTTATATATGTTCTCGTTGACTTAAATACCAATGCTGAAAAAAATACATTAAAAATATCTCAAAATCAATGTTACAATGTCAAAATTAAGTTTGAAATTTTAAATTTTAGCTTTCTCTTAAAATTTAAATTTTAAATTTTAGCTTTTTCGTTGGCTTAATAAATAGGGCATCTAGGGCATCCGATGAGAGCCTCTTATGGTCGAGTGTATAAAAATATGAATGATCCAAAGTATTTTTTAAAAAAATTCTGTGATCACGAGTACAAGGGAAGATGATACGGTGAATGTAAACACATCGAAATGATAAACCACAAATGCGGGCTTTAGGCCCAAACTTTTATTATTGTTACGCCATAATAAACAGAACACAGACGAGAAACTCTGACGAAAACAACTGAACATCATCAGTACACATCACCCACACCCGTCAGAAATCCTCCCCTGCGACGACCACCACTTCATACAGCATCGATACAGACTCAAAACGACACAAAAACAAATTCAAACTTGCACCGAATTTGAAGTGAAAACATACATAAATAGACCCAAAGGGAAATCATTCACGGCGTCTAGTGATCCCTCGCCGTCGTCTCCGTGGCGGCGGCGGTGGCAGAGGTGTCCTTGTTGGCGCCGTCGTCGGTGCCGGCCTCGTCTTCGGTCATCCCCAGCGTGCTCATCACCGCGTCCTTGGCGCCGACCACCGTGCTCTTCACCTGCTCACTCGCCTGAAACACAAACAATTCTCCTCAAGATCCACAACAATGGTGTTCGACGAGGAGAAACTAATCAAAGAGCAATTTTACAGTGCTTAAGAAGGTACTACTTTTTCTATTGTAAATTTAATAACTGGTACCGTATTTTTTTATCTCACGGTACCTCTGCTCCCCGCAAAAAAAAAAAAAAAGGAGGTAGAATTGCTTTTAATCCTGTGTGTACCTGTTGGAGGACGCTGCCGGTCTTGTCCTTGCCGGCGATGGCAGAGTCCTTGGTGTACTGCGCCGTCTCGGCGGTCTTCTGCTTGGCGGCGCCAGCGGTCTCGGCGGCCTTCTGCTTGGCCTGCTCGGTCTTCTCGCCGAGGAAGCCGCCGGTCTGGTCCTTGCTCTCGGCGGCTTTGTCCCTCGCCGCCTGCGACGTGCTGGAGGTCTTGTCCTTCGCCGCCTGCGCCGTCTCCGACGCCCTCTCCTTCGCCGCCTGCGCCTTCTCCTTCGTCGCCTCCTTGGTATCCTGCCCCTTGCCGGCGGCGTGCCCCGCCGCCTCCGACGCCCTGTCCTTCGCCTCGCTCGCCTTGTCCTTGCTCGCCCCCATCACCTGCCCCGCCTTCTCCTGCACACCAAGAACAATCAAGTGATCAACAAATTAACTGGAAGCTCGCCGGAGCTGGAGAAGATGGCCGGCCGGTGGTGGCTGACGCTGACCTCGGTGTGGGCCTTGGTCTCGCCGGCGCGGTAGCTAGCCTGGTCCTGGTGGGAAGCCATTGATCCTAAGCTTCAAAAATTAACCTCGAAATTCACGCGCGAATGTTAGAACTCTGATGGATTTTGCTCGATTATCTTGATCGATCAGATTTGCACTGGCTGTGGCGATGGGATTGGAATGGAACAGTATTTATAAGGGTTGGCATCGAGACATCCTCCGGGACACGTAGCATGGCGAGACGCCTACACGATGGCCACGTAGAAAGGACACGCGTTGTGTAAGGTTCCGTACCTTCGCGAAGCCCTCTCATGCGATCCATCCATCCATCCATCGATGCAAGCTAAAAGCCAAACAGGAGAGGACTACTATAGTATACTGTTGCTACTAAACAAGTGTATTTATGAGCGGCTGAGAGCTCAGGCACGTGCCGATCTCTCGACACGTGGGCACAGCGAGTTGAAACTGATCATGATCAGATCGATCAGTGTGTCGATACAGGCGATCGAAACGTCGATCGATCGGTGGCTGTTTGGCGAGTACAAGTTGGATGCGGCTTTAGTTTTTACACTTGGTGATCGATCGGGTGTCGTTGCCATGTGCGGCGCCTGATGTCGCCGATCAACGTGTTCAGGTCTGATTGTAAATGGTGTTGTTGTTAATTTGGATGCCTGATGTGTTCTGCTACCTTTCGCTTTTGAGTGTACTTCTGCCACAAAAGTTTGGAGTGTGTAGTAACCACTTTGGCGGCAAAGGGAGTAAACAATGTTAAGGGGACACATGTTAGGAAGGTCTCGCACTCAAATGAGTAGGCACAGAAGCTTCGGGAGATGCATGGCATTGTTAACGATTGTTATCATTACATGGGTGGCAGATGTTTGCGGTTTAATTACGAGTATCTGCTCATCTTTTCGAGATCGAGAGAAAAAGAGAAAGACAAGGTCAATCATGGGGAATGGATGCCATGGGCTCACCATGGGCCAGTAATTCGGCCTGACGCTGTGACGAAGTGGGCTTCTCAAACCAAAATTACTGGGCCAAATTCAGCCTGGCCCTGACCTCAAACCATGGGCTGGGCCTTGCCGATTAACTCAAGTCGATCACCACAGATCAACAAAGGATGAGTGGTGTGTCACCGTACGATGACACATTGAGCGGCCATTATTGATCGCACACAAGCATCCTTTGGTCATAGTGGCAATCCTGACCTGCACTGCACTGCACACACCGGCTAGGCTACATCGATCGTCGCCGTCGCAGCGTAGCACGCACTAACCCATGCAGATGCAGGATGGGCACGCACTGTGCCATCCATCGTGCTAGGGCTAGGCGTAGGTTATGGAGGCCCTTTCGTGCTGCTAGCCTCGGTGCAGCATCGACCATACGTACATATTGTGGCATCGGTACACGCGCGTATCTCACCTGACACGTCCAACTTCGGGGCTCATGGGTAAGCCCCATAGGTCGGTCAGTCGGTGCGCCGTAGTGCTCCCTCCTCCCTAAATATAAGGGATTTTGGTTAGATATGATAAATCCTAATACGATAAATCTAGATATGAAATATATCACATCAAACCAAAATCTCTTATATTTAGGGACATAGGGAATACTTACTTTGCACGAGTGCGATTAAAACTAGGGTGAATAGTTAATATGGTCCTTGAAGTTTCGTTTTGAGCTCAGTTTAGTTCTTGAGATTTCAAATCGTCCAAACAAGTCCTCTAAATTAATCATTTGGGTTAATATAGTCCTTAGACCAAAAAAAATGCCACGTGAGCATGCCAAGTCATCCTCAATGAAATGACTATTCTACCATTATATACCATATAGAAAAGAAAGAAAAGACAAACAGGAAAAATAAACAGGCCAGCCCATGCCCAATATTATTGCGGAGGGTGGCCGACAAAAGAATTTATACGATCAGTGCTTGGTTGTAGCAATCATAAGTGACAATTGTAAAACGATCATACACGCGTGAAAACATTTGTTTTCTTTTTTTATTCTTTTCTATATGGTATATAAGGGTAGAATGGTCATTTCATTCATATCGCTGCATGTGAGGATGACTTGATATGCTCACATGGCACTTTTTGTGAGTCCAAGAACTACATTAACCCAAATGTTTAATTTAGAGGACTTGTTTCGATGATTTGAAATTTCAAGTACTAAACTGAACCCGAAACAAAACTTCAGGGACCATATTAGCTATTCACCCTTAAAACTATAAATTCCTTACCACTGCACTATTAAGTGCATCTGATATTCTGATAAGTGACGTAACTACAACCTACACAAAGTTAGAGGATTGTATTTTCTGGCTGGCTACCTTACGTACGTTGCACTTGTAGTCGGTAGTCCCCTTCCATTTGGGTCGACGACTAGCACCATAGCATCGATTCTAGGTACTGCTATACAGATACAACGTAGGAGTACTGCTATACAGATACAATGCATGCAACTATATATGTTTTACGTTGGCCTGCCATGTGTAAGTGCAACTGCAACCAACAGGACCAGCTCCACTATAGAAAGCACTATGTAGACGAAGACACTTATATTATAGATGATGAAAATATAATGGTGGCGAAAATTTCAGGCCGTTTTTTATTTTATCTATATAAAAAAGTAACTTTTACAATTTCTATCACAGACGTATGGCAGTCATCATTAAATAGTTAAATTGACAAAATAAAAAATCCTTGACCGACTGACTATCATTTCTATAGAGATGATATTGATACAAACTGTTTTCATACATATATGAACTGCGTCCATCTTTGAACCTCTCATAATATATAACAGAGGGAATATGATATTAAATAAATACACATTTTAATATATCTGAAGGGAAAGTATTCTAAACCCTCAAGGGATGTCCTCTCGTCTTTTGCATATCACCTAAATAGTTATTAAAAAAATAAAAGCTTGGCGAGATACACTAAAATGTGATATGTCATTTCACAAATATGTGAGTTTAAATGGCTTCTTACAAGTTGTAACAAAAAAAATAACTATAAATATACACGTACAGGTAAGAGTTTAATTTGTCTTTTTTTGTTACAACTCGTAGAACATATTTAAACTTGTATATTTGTGGAGTGACATATCACACACACACACACACACACACACACACACACACACACACACACACACACACACACACACACACACACACACACACACACACACACACACACACACACACACACACACACACACACACACACATATATATATATATATATATATATATATATATATCTAAGTTACTATTTTTTTACAACTATTTTCATGACATGCAAGAGACAAGGGGTAATCACCTTGAAAGTTAGAATCCTCTTTTCATGGTGAATTCGAATGAAAATAATTTAGTGATGTACTATGTGAAAGGGCATGTAGCCTAGTGGTTGCAGTGACCTAAGTAACACCACATGGTCCTAAGTTCAAATCTTCATAAGAGCGAATTTCAGATAGAGTTATTTGAGGGCTAAGTTCCTAATTTAAAAAGGCTGCATATATCCGGTTGGATGTAGAGGCCAAGTAAAAAAAATACCCTTCTCTAAAAAAATAATTTTCTTTTAGCTAAAACAGTACTCTACAATCTACATTCTAAAACGTTGAATTTGTGGAAAACTGCCTAACTATTATCAGCAAATTTCCATACAACTGATCAGCGATCAGCGATGACCTGCAGCAAAACAGGGTATAGTGGACTTACACTCGCCACCAGCAGCGTTCACCACCGAAAGCCTGGTTGTACTCGTACTTGCCATGATCCAAAGACCTTAGAAGAATGCTGATACCTGATAGCTACCCAATGCTAGCTATCAGATTCCCCCATATATAGCGCTCCCACTAGAATGTGCATTGTGCAAACGACAGTACACTACACTACACCTTACAAGACAGCAACAAGCACGAACTTAAACTGCCCCTTAATTAATTGCAGCTAATTAATCACCAGTTCTCTGAAAGAAGTTAGCTCAAGATTAATCCTGTCAGTATTACTCTTTACTCTTTTCGTCCTAGGTTAGTGAAAAAGTTGAGCACTTGCATAAGCAATAAGTGGCTAAGTGACTTCTTCTTCTGGTAGTAGTTTCTGAAGATCGAGTCGATCTGGTATCTTTCTGCAGGTAAATCATGCAAATGCATGTATGATAGTTGACCCTGCATTTGGGCCGGCTAGGTAGCGCATACATGTGGATTGTGGAGTTGTGGACTTCGCTATCATCGCTATCTCGTAGAGCAAAATCATTGTTGGTATGCACCATTGCACCATTGACAAAAGGCTGCTGCTGTTCACTTGTCCTTTCCAGCTGTAGATCATGCAAATTCATCGGATGGCCATCGGTAGTATATAAGCAAGGGCAATGGCACTGCAGCTCCTCAACCAACAGTGCAGTCACACTCTCGCACACTATCTGCATAAGAAGGGGATAAGCTACCTGATTCATGCCATCAGTTTCAGTTGCATCCAGCATGAGCAAGCTCAAGTTCTTGGTCACTGTCGTCCTCGTGATCCTGCTACTGTTCGATTCATCGTCTTCAGGCATGTTGTTTATCATGTTCTTGTTCTTTTGTGTGTTGGTCTGTCGGGCTGTGTAATACTGATCAGTGATTTTTTTTCTTTTTTGCTTGGTCCGTAACTGATTAATGGACAGTTTTAATTTATCTGTCGTCTAAATGCAGGGCAAGCTGAGACAGCATATACCAATTATGAAGTGACTTCTAAAGTGAAAGAGGTATGTACTTAATTATCCATCAATCTTTGTAGTGACCATCAGAGAGATGTTAGGGTAATATATATTTCAGATCTATCTTGGTGCTTTTCACGATTCCGGTCTTAATCAATAACTCCGTATGCTAGCTGACTTTAATTTTTGAAGGACCCAACATGATTCATGACAGCTGACTTAGTATTAACGAGAAGAAAACTGTATAACTTGCCCTGTTGTGCATGCTAAATGTGCAGAGGCGTGTTAGCTGATAAAAAAAATGACTCTGAAACTATCTAATGTTCGCTGATAAATACATGTGCTGGCTGCTGTTGGACACAATAATCATCAGAACTGTGCTATGATCAGTGATGTTTTCTTTACAGAAACTACAGTTTTCAGTCAAGTATGTATGTACTAATTAAGTTTCATATGTCCTTACCACCTCAGAGAATTCAGAAACATAGCAGGAGGGTTCTGACAGATGTTCAGGACTATGACTATGGAGGACCCAACCCTAGACATGAACCACGTAAGAAGCCTGGAAATGGACACTAATCGCCTCTTCTCCACACTGAAACCTTGACAAAGATAAGTCAGATACTCAGATGATCCCAAATGCTACAATCACCAGACCACTATCTTACTGTAATGTACTAGAATTAAGCAGAACTGTTAGGTACTATTGTGTCGTTAATTACCTTGTAATATGTTGGTCAGGTGCATGGAGTTCAGGTCATTTTAGACAGTACCTGCGTGTATTCAGGTGTGTGCTTATATAACTAGCAACTGGTAAAATACAACTACTGAGGACATTTTGTAAGTTGAGACTTCAGATATGTGAGCTATCTTGTTTGCAAATCTTCGGTTGTGTTTTGAATAAAACGAGCATTTTGGCTCCGTATAAAGTTTGAATGTTCAGAGTACTCGTCAAGTTGAGAGCGTTGCTCGTAAAATTCAGTTAAGCTGTATGTATTACCCTCCACAGCCAGCGAAGATGTAAGAATATCAGTAGCAAAAAATCTGAAACACATCTTCTCTCTTAACAAATGTGCCCTTCTTATATCTGATAAAAAAACAAGATAATATTTCACGTGTAACAGACATCCTTAGCTGCTGAATTCAGAACCGAGCAGTCATACTCATCTGCAGTAGTTCAGCAGCAGCAGATCCTCTCGTCCTCTTCTGAAACACAAAACAGACAAGCTTCTCTCGTTACTCCACCCTACACCATCCATTTATTTCTTCATTCACCTCGTCATTAGGAAGCCATGCAATCCTAACTAGTTTAGACCAATTCATACATCCAAAGAAAACGCTCCAATATATATAATATATTCAGGAAGCATCTTAGTACTTGCGACAAACTCTGAAGACTGTTAGCTAGGTCTGAATCTATTTGATGGCGTGCTGAATTTTGCCTGTCTCTTGATTTTTCATTTTTGCATAAATCCGTCATTACACACAAGGCAATCATCATCACCATACTAGGACAAGTTTCTATCCGTTCTCGTTCTTATCCGTGATCGAAGCAGTCGTGCAGCAATTGACTCTGCTTCCAGAAGTTCAGATACCTGAACTCTCGAGAATGAACAGTGCTGCATCTGTGAGCTTCTTTACCCTCGCAGATAGGAAATCACAACTGCACACAAAAGAGGGTAGCAACACCTGCAGAAAACACATGAAGATGAAGGGGGGGAAAATGGCAACTGTATCGTTGCCTTGTAGTGCAGCAATGCTACTAGTTTTTTTTTTTTTTTTGGAAAGATTTCTAATCAATCTCTAGAAGCGTTGTTCGGTCAGAAACTTCAACTGCCAAACAGTAGTTTATTAATGATTTCTGGTGTTTATTGGCTATAGAAATTATGAGCAACGGCCTCAAATTGGGACTTCTAATTTTGTTCAGCAGAGACACACAAAGTCATGGTCAAAGGAGATGGCTTGCAGTACTTGGTCGTTCATTAAGCACATGATGTTGAGATAATTACCCGGACTTGGACTAGGCTCCTAAAGCACACCTGCTCTTTATGATTAAAGATGAATTAAGTACTACTAGTATAGTATTAGCTATCGGTTACTAGTAATACTATTTTGGTTAGCTCATTTTACTATTAGGAAAGCAATTAAGTACACATCGCTTTAGACTCCATCAAGCTCTTCAAGCACCTTGTGATGATTCATGCACAAGGCTCTTAATGGAGATATTGCCAAATTGCTACGAAAACAAGAGGCTTTCCACCGTCCACGTCCCTGAAAAAATAATAGTGAAAATTGATCTGTCGGCCATTTCTCGTTTTTCTTTTTCCTACGCAAGACGTTTCCTGATTGGATATCTCATCCTCGTCTCATCCGTCGTCGTTGTGCTGGAAGGAACAATCTGCATGTAGTAGCTTTGACACCTCATGAGGCAAAATATAACCGGTGGATCACAATTTTCTGGCAAAAGGATAAACTATTTTTGTTTGATAAAATTAAAGCCACAATTTTCTAACTCAAGATAAACAACAAATGGTGGTTTGCATTGTGCTATAAGCTAGACAAGCATACGCTTTTTTATTTCAGATGGTGGTTTGCATTGGTCTATTCTCCAACAACTCCATGTTTTTGGTGGCGGCAGGTCAGCTCATCCTTTTCCTCATGTTGCGTAACTGCATAGCTTCATCCACAAATATGCTCCGTACCTGAGGTTTGGAGGATGGCAAGAACATTCATCGCAAACATGGTTCGGATTCGCTGTAATTTTGCAAACCTGTGGTTTTGCCTGACAAAATCTGACACATTTTTCGACGCGATCGATCCCGGCAAGTTGAATCGTTCTCTTCGTATAGGCATATGAGTTCAGATTCCTTCCTTGCCAACCCTGAAACCGGAGGAGATCGAATCTCTCAAATCTGAACGTGCAACCGTTGCAGTAACAGCGTACGCAAGAGAGAGATCCCCTTGGAGAAGACACACGATTCAGCTCACCAGTTGGTGGTTGACATGAACCGCTGATGCAGAGATCACTCCACACGCGAAACACAAGCGACTCTGACTGACGTACACACGGCGATGCGATGCAAGTGCATCTTAAGAAATACCGCCTCAATTTCGAAATGCACGACACTACTTACTTTTCGCATAATATTACACTATTCATCTTATTAATTTTTTTAAAATACATAAAAGTATAAGTTAAGATTATATTTTCTTTGGTAATAAAACAAGTTCAAATAAAATAAATAATACTCCCTCCGTTTTTAATATATGATGTCATTGAATATTTTAGATACGTTTGATCATTCGTTTTATTAAAAAAAATAATTATCATTTATTTTATTGTGACTTGATTTATCATAAAATATTTTTATACATGTAATTTTTTTGAATAAGACAAATGATTAAATATTTAAAAAAAGTTAATGGTATTTCCTCCGTTTCACAATGTAACTCATTCTAGCATTTTTCATATTTATATTGATATTAATGAATATATATATATATATATATATATATATATATATATATATATATATATATTGCGCGAGAGAAAGAGAGAGGATTCTGGTAGCATCAGCGAGACGTGAGCATGCATGGCACTAGCGGGGAGGGAGCGGCACAGCGCGGCGCGGGGTCCCAGCTGAGGGCGCAGCGGACGACAGGGACGGTGCGCGCTGGGGCGAGGGGGCGGTGGCGGCGAGTGGTGGACGGCGACGCCCAACCCGATCGCCACAGCCTCGTCAGCGCACACGCGCTTCACATGAATTTTTATGTCGCGCCCGCGGCCCGCCCAGCCACCGCACCGCATCACTGAGCCCGAGGCAAGGAGCAGCCGCTGCCGGCCACACGTGGAAAGAAATAGGTGATAAGAGCAAAATTAATTGGATAGCCAACTACTTGCTCTAATTCATCTATAGCCAATTTAATAATTCATTTATATAATAGTTACATACTATACTATTAATACCTGGTCCCGCCTGTTATACACATACTGTGTCTTAGAGTCCGTGCTATAGCCGACTACAAATTTGTAGCCCGTTGCTCTTCTCTCTTCTTATTTATCTCCTTAAAATATGTTTGCAGCTGGTTTATAGCCTGTTATTGTACCTGCTCTAATCCTCCTGAGTGGTTGGGAATTTGGGTTTGTTTGGTTTAGTGTGGTATATTTTGAAGGGTAGTATTTTAAGTGGGTGTGTTTAGATTATCAAAATTTATGTTATGGTGGAGAAAATTTTAGAATGGTGCCAAATTAACCATAGGCATTACCATTCACTTGGCTCTAAACTAAACCATTACATTTACTACTCCATCCGTCCCATTTTAAATGCAACCATTAGTTTCTGTGCCCATCTTTGATCGTCCTGTCTTATTTGAATTTTTTTTATAATTAGTATTTTTGTTGTTATAAGATGATAAAACATGAATAATATTTTATGCGTGACTTATGTTCTATTTTTTTAAAAAAAAATTTCAAATAAGACGGACGATCAAAGTTGGGTACGGAAAATCATGGGTACACTTATAATGAGACGGAGAGAGCACTATTAAAAAAAAAGGGTTGTTCAAATTGTAGCCAAAATAAGACTTACCAAATTTTTACATTTTGGCAATATTGTCAAATTTTGTATTTCTTATATATTTAACAAAGTTTGGTAAAAAAAAATAAATGGATGCAATTTTTTAGAATTTTACTAAAAATTAGTATATGATTTAAAATGACATTAATCTGAACAACCTCTAAAGAAAATGGTAAGACATAATTTGACAACAATCCAAAATAACATTTTTTTTCCTTTGAATTGACAATCTTTTTCACCGGTCCGGTGATTATCTTCCAATGGTTACTCCTTGACTTATTACTTCTTAGAATTTACTGTGGGCTAAGATGTTGTGGATATTTTAGCTAATTTTCTGTGGAAGGTGAAAAAGGGCCGGTCTTTGTCATTGCTTTGTCATCTGAGGACGAAGAAAATTGTATCCGTTTGGACTGCTTTTGATAACTAAAAAAGGCGAACTTTCTTTTCTCAGCAGGGGACAGAGGTGATAAAAAAAATCGAAGAACAACTCCACTTGGAGTGATAATGAAACTGATCTTCATATAAGAATATGAACCTTTTCTTTTCAAGTAAAACATGAACTGAACTTGTTTCAACTTCATGCAGCTCAGCTCTACAGTAAATCAAACAGTAATCACACTCCAAACAAAAACAAAGTGTTTCTTGGGTGCCCATCTCAAAACAAAATGAACGTCTATCGCCGGGCCGAAACAAAATCAACTTTGGAACGAGCAACTTCGCAGATCCTACCAGTTTACTCCAGCTTCTTAACTTCTTGATACTGACTCACAATCTGTTCGAACAAACTCTCTGTCCTCCAAACGTGGTCCAAAACCAAATGCCCTCCTTTTCTCCTGATCAAGTATTCCAACCAACACGATCAAGGAAAACCTCATAAAAATGCAAGCTTTCTCCTCTTCCTTCAATTAAAAACGCACAAACTTTCTCCAGGTCAGTACGTAAGCCACTTGATCCATCCAATCAATCTCCAGTAGTATTGTACTAATCTCTCACACTATTACAGGCTTACAGCACGGTCCTGAAACTCCGAAATTCGCCGAAAATTCTGGACCTCAAGCTCACGACTCTCAAGTACTCCGAATTATCTCATCCTTCTTCTCCCTCCTCCCGTCCGCGCCGCGACGATGCGAGCGCAACCACGTTTGACTCAGCCGACGGCGACCGGCCGCGTAGTACGCGTGTCATCGTCGAGCTCGAGCCCATCCATCCACGTGTTCCTCCTCCTTCCTCGCGGCGACGCCGACGACGGCTATAAATAACCCGCGCCCCCATCCCGACCACCGCTCCTCCGCCTCCGCCTCTCATATTTTTCCCATTTTTCACCTGCCTTAATTCGCCCTCCTCCCATAACCGTAGTAGTAATCGTACTCCTCCATTCTCGCCGGAATCCAGAGCGAAGCTGTAGGAAATTGTTGGGAGGAGGAGCAATGCCTTACTGCGAGGTGGACAGGTACCAGAACGGCGACGAGTGGGACGGCGTCCGCCTCTTCTACCGCCGCTTCGGCCGCGGCGCCACCAAGGTGCTCCTCGTCATCGGTATGTCCGTACGCCGTCGATGAACCCATCGCCTTTGCCGGCGATCGAAAATTTTCTGCGTTTTTTTTTTGCCTTTTTGTTTTCTTGGTTCTGATTTGAGAAATGGTGGGTGTGGTTGGGGGCGTGAAGGATTGGCGGGGACGCACGACTCGTGGGGCCCGCAGATCAAGGGGCTGACCGGGTCGCTGGAGCCGGCCGCCGACGACGAGGAGTCCGGCGACGCCGCGGCGGCGGAGGGGGACGACGGCGATGGCATCGAGGTCTGCTGCTTCGACAACCGCGGCGTCGGCCGGAGCTCCGTGCTCCCGCACAAATCCTACTACTCGTGAGTTTCTCTACTTCCTCCTCTCATCGTCGTCTTCTAGATCCAAATCTCCACCTTGTCTCATGATCGAGGAGGCAAAATCGTTCGTCGTGAGGTGTAGAAGCATCGCGCCCAATCTTGAGAGAGATCTGGAGGAGGGTAAAGATTGGCGTCTCATGTAGCTTTCGATGAGAATAAATCCACGTTCTACTCGATTCCAGCCGCGATTGCTTTCCACGAGAAAATATGTGACGGAGAGGAAAAGGACGGAGATATAATTTTCCTCGAACGCACGACGCGGCTGTGCGGGAAAAGTCAGACGAGTGGCGGCAATGGCGGTGTACTGGTGTTAGTTACTGTCTGACCATGTGAATGTTTCCATTGTCTTGACAGGACGGTGATCATGGCGAGGGACGCTCTGGCCTTGATGGACCATCTGGGGTGGAAGAAAGCTCATGTATTCGGCCATTCCATGGGTGAGTTCATGAGTCTCCATCTCTGCGACGCTGAATGATGATCATCAGAATTTTGGCGGATTGACTTCTTTTGAGGGGAATTGTGTAGTAAGTAGGAGTTTCTGTAAGCATTGCCATTGATGTTGGGTGGTCTTTGCAACACAGGCGCGATGATATCCTGCAAGCTGGCAGCCATGGCGCCGCACAGGATTTGCTCGTTGGCGTTGCTTAATGTTACTGGAGGTGGCTTCCAGTGCTTCCCGAAGGTACCGGAATGGAGAATTCTGCTTGTTTATACCTGGAATTTTGCAGACCTTGCAGGACTGTCGACTCTAATTTCCTCTGTAGTTCTCATCAATGAAGCTTGTCTGCATTTGCAGTTAGATGGGCAGATGCTCTCGCTTGCATTCCGTTTCTTAAGGGCAAGAACTCCAGAAGAAAGAGCTCTGGTAGATTTGGAAACCCATTATACAAAGGTGAAAATGCATCCATTTGTCATATGCCAATTGATGTAATTTTTTTCCCTTGACATTTTGAGTGTTAACATCCAATGCACCATGCTGCGATGCAGGAATATCTTGATGAGAAAGTTGGATCATGCACGAGGAGAACAATCCTCTATCAAGTGAGTTTAAAAGTGTTTGTTGTTGATGGTGTATCACCTAGATTTAAATCTTCATCATAACTTATGTAGCACCAAAGTCCAAAATTGTGGGAGGAGGAGCTTCCCAGGATTTAATTTTGGGAGGTGGTGAGTACTAAGGAGAACAGTATGTTGTTCAGCTGGCAGGAGCTGCAAGGAGCAAGCCGCTGGCCAGGGTTTGATCCTTGGTACTCATTACCTCCCGACATTAAATTCTGGGCAGGATTAAGTCCAAAATTGATTTGGACAAAATTAGTTGCGTGTACACATAGAATGATTCCTCTATGTCTGTTCTTTTGAACTGTATAAACTGTAAAGTATTACAGTCACAAGATCACAGCATTACAACTAGGCCTTTGTACCGGAAAAAAAAACAAAGCTTTACTTATTTCATTGATGTACCAAATTTCAATTATTCTGTACTATGTATTTTCAGGAATATGTGAAGGGCATATCATCGACAGGGATGCAGTCTAACTGTGGGTTTGAAGGTCAAGTTAATGCATGCTGGACTCACAATATGACAACTAAAGAACTAGATACAATTCGGTCTGCCGGTTTTCTAGTTTCAGTTATTCATGGGAGGTTAGTGGCGACTTGAGAAAAGCACACATCCCTTCCCCACAGTTCGCAAGCACACTGTGTGTTTGTTTCTCATCACTTGGTTTAAAAATGATGCAGGTCTGACATTATTGCGCAATTATGTCATGCGAGACGACTTGCAGAAAGGCTTATTCCTGTTGCTAGAATGGTCGAACTTCATGGTGCGCATCTAGTAAGCCATGAAAGACCAGAGGAGGTAAGCATGGACTTTGACAAAATGCTATATTGTTAGGCAGCTGAAATTATGCTGGAATGCTGAAAATATTCCTAAATAGCTGACCGAGCGAGGCAATATTAGAAATCATGGTTCCCTGCAAGCATCAAACTCTAACATAGATGCACTAATGGGCATGTAACTTTTGAGCCCAAACTTGGAAGAATGCTTTTGCTTATACCAGTTAGAACGTTACTAGATGCTTGTGCTGTTGCAACTTGCACAAATTCTTCCAAAGTTGCCAAACCGAACTAAAGGCAGGCCGTTCTCTGAAAGCATCATTCACCACCTAAACTGTACAAGGGAAGATGCTACTTTTGAAGAAAATTGTTTGGCCAACTCTGAAACTGCTTTTTAGGCACCAATGAAATGGTTATCCCAAACCTGAGATGGAATCATAAACATGTAACTTACAGAGTTATTTTAAGGCTTATACCTTCTCCAAATCGCTGTTCTTTTCTCTCATTATTTCATCACGCTTACAGAGTTGCAGGAAATTGTAAGTTGACTCATCTGAGTATTTCTCTATTGCAGGTCAACAATGCACTAATGGAATTAATAAAAGCCACAAAATCTATGATGAAACCTGAGGAATGGTCATCCCAGCCAGAGAATTCATCAGGTGAGCTTAGAAAGGCCAAACACCCCCGAAATCTCTTTCGAAGGCTATGTTCCAAGGCACACTTCTTACGCTACGTCTTTATCAGAAACCGGGGCTCTTATTTCTGCAAGACCTGTTTCCGTCACAATACGAACAGATGATGGGGGAAATGCCGCAATAGCAGTCTATAACTTACTTGCCAAGCTGCAACTAAGCTTTCTTTATGTCATAGGAGTGATACTGATGGGGTTTGAGCATATGAGGAACATTGTAAAAGTAATGAAGCCAGTAAGGGTCGCAGCAATCGAATCATAAGGTAGGTTTCAAGAACTACATCAAAATACCATCCAGAGTGTTTCTGAAATTGTAGCAAACACTTAACCGAGCTATGTTGCTTTAATCTGCAGAAACAAAACTCATGTAAATTACTCTCAGAGCCGTCGAGGAGACCTGGTATTTTCATGTCTCCTCAGTACTGTGGAGATGATGGTTTTAGAATAGCATCTCCGAAGACTTCCTGAGAAAACTTCTGCTCTAAGCAGAATAAGTGAACAATACGGAAGAAAATTGATGAGGTATTTGGTGCGCGCCTTGGACAGAAGCGTCCCAGGGCAGAAATGCACAAACTGATGTACCCGTATGAGTGTAAATGTTGTTACCGTATCACGGCCTTATGCTGTCGCCATTCTTTTGTATCAGCATGAAATGTGATTATTCCCATCAATAATAAACCTGGTTCCCTGCATGATATATGTATGTAATTATAAGTAACAGTAATATGTGTAAACGCCCACTGAACGACACAAAAAGCTATAAAAGAGTGCATAAATCGTATCATAATTAACTGGTCTAACAAAACAAGAACAGTAACCTTTTCATTCATTGCCAATTCACCCGATCGGTCTGGCAAACAATCTGTATATGAAAAGGTTTGGACTAACTTGTTCCTGATCCCTCTTTGGAACACAAGGATTGGTGGATCTCCTTGTCTATGATTAAGCCCAAAGAGCCTAAAGTTACCAAATCTTCACAATGTGCAACGTATGGCTGGAGAGAAACATCTTCCAGGTTACATAAAAGCATGTCGGCGAATCAGGTGGCTTTTATCTGATTTTCGAAAGGATGGACCAGCAAAAATTCATTTTTGAACCTCCCTAAGCTGTAATCTGAATTTTTTTTGTACTTCTGATTATCTTCTTAACTTCAAAGGACTACGGGCCTGTTTGGTTTGGGGACTAAAGTTACCATGCCTAAAGTAAGCCGCACTTGTGGCGGAGAAAAAGAACGCCACAGATCTGGCAAAAAAAAAAAGACACAGCGAACTTGCAGAAACATGCCTATCAAGTTAGGGCAAGCCTATGGTTAGTAGAAAAGCAAATACCAACCTAAGTACTTGCTGCAGGTCTAAGCTTAGGTTTGGCAAAACGTGGCCAAGAACCAAACAGACCCTACGTCGTGTAAAAGCTCTGCTATGGACCCTTCTACAAATTTCGGCAGAGCTTTTGCCGCCTTACCGTTTCAAAAAACCAAAAACAAGATAAAACTAGAACAGGAACTTCGCAAATTTGTAAACTCGATGCAAAATCCATGTTCATTAGTTAGCAATATTGTGACGCCAAGGTTGTCAACCGGAATCTCAAGGCAAATTTCTACGAAAAGCCCCTCATCACCATCCAGACCACATGTACCCAATCGGACGGCTCGTACTTTTCAATCGCTACACGAACTGATCTGACCAGGATAATAAAAACAGTCCCTTTATTATTTGTATGCCATTTAAATGATTATGAAAAAATTAAAAAAATCAACGAGATAAATTAATATATGATAAATAACTTTACAACATCAAATTTAACTTCTACAAGTTACAACGAAAATAATAAATTTAACTATGAATATATATATTAACTAGCCATAGTTTAATTTGTTTTTTATTACAACTAGTAGAAATTGAATTTTAACTTACATGTTGATAGAGTGATCTATCACATATTAATCCATCTTGTTAAATTTATTATCATTCTTTTTATAATAATTTAAATGACATGCAAACATCGAGGGATTAGAATTCACTCTCCATATAGTAGTATAAAGGGTTTATACTCTAAACGTACCTCTAAAATCTCAACTGTTCCCAATCTGAACCGCGCGTATCCGATCGGACGGTGTAGGTGACCTCGCCGCCGCTGCCGCTTTGCCGGCCTGCCGGGGTTTGCCGCCGCCGCCGTGTCTCACTCTCACGTAAAATGTGGCCTCTCCAGGAATTTCTAGTTCAATTTTTCAACTCGAAAAACTGCTGCCGGATTCTATATAATTATCTCATGACCTGAAGTACGCAAATATTAGGAAATGACAAAATATCAAATAATTAGAAGGGGTAAGGATTTAATCTCAGGTTGTCTAGCCCACCACCTTATAAAACTAGCCGGAATACCTCTGGACGTTTCTCCTCCATGGCATGAAGTCTGAACTCTGAAGTTGCAAATTGTCCCAAATTTGAATGTGGAAAGGCTGTTCCAGGTGACGTGTGTCACAGATTAAGAGGACATCATTAACTTCCACACTCGAGTGGATTAATCGAAGCCAATAATAATGGATTCATCATTAAAATCGATCCTCATCCACAGCGCCTCGCTGCTCTTCCAACAAGAAGTTCAGAACACACTCTGACATGGCTCAGTAATTCTTTACTGTTCGCTCAAATTGCTACATATTATACAGATTGCAGATCAAAGTAAGAAACGCTGCAGAAACAAACTGAAAGTTTCCGGCGAAAGCACGGGAGACTAACCTGGACAAAACAATCGATCATGGCAAACACGCACGGTTAATTTCTCCCGGCTTCGACGACGAGGAGACATCTGAAAACGAAGCTGAGACGGAGGCAAGCGTACACCACCAATGGAGGAAGAAGAGGGGTGGAGACTGGAGACGACGATGGGTGGCCGTGCGTGCAGAGCGAGGCAAAGCGAAGAAGAGTACAAAGATTCGCACTTCGCGGCAAAATATTCCTACCGCGCGAGCGAATATTCCTCCGAGCGATGCTGGATATGCCCTATACGTTTCCCTTTCACGAAGGCGTCAAATCGTTCGACCACGTGATCCACTGGACTCTCTCTCCATCCAAGGCCCAATTTACCGCCTACAAAGGCCCATATTTGAATGGGCCCTAAATTTTGATCGGCCTTAGGTGGGCCTCGCTTATGAGAGCTTCGAGAGGGCCCACGTGTCCACTCTCTCTCTCTCTCTCTACAGCGACGGCGGCGGCGGCGGCGAGGTGAGAGGAAGGAGAAGGGGATCGAGGAGGAGGAGGCAAGCGCAGCCACCATGGGAGTGATGGAGAAGCTCAAGATCTTCGCGGTGAAGGAGCCCGTCGTCACCGCCTCCTGCCTCATCGCCGGATTCGGTGCGCTTCCCTTTCTCTCTCGATCCTGCCGTGGCCGAAACCCTAGTAGTGGCCTGGTCGTGATTCCTCGCCCCCATTGAGGACGCTGGTGTTGCCTTGCACTGGGCGCCTCTGTTTAGCTCGAATTCGGTGACCGAGGATTGATTCTAGGACTCTCTGGGCTGGGGTGGATGGGTTCAGAACGCCTTGATGTGATTTTTTCGCTTGCTAATTTTCTGTTGGATCTAGGGTTCTCAAATCGCTTCAGAGGTGTTCTTCTTTGCAAGCCAGTAGCTCTGCCTGTTCCCCATGCTGCGTGGCTCAAGATCTCAAGTAGTCTCATAGTTCATACTCCATAAGCTATACTTTTTTTTTTTTGGGAAAGATAAGATCCAATTGTTCCTTCCCAGCCAAACAGTCTGGTCTGTTGAATGCCACAAGTGTTAAGCAGTGTGTTTTGTTCAAACAATTTCATTCTTTAGCTCAGCTAAATGGAGTTGGCCTGTGTAAGAACTAAGATGCACCTTGTCGATTTGGATTAAAAAAAAGAAGGATATTCTATCAGCTGCATTTTTTCTTCACTGGTATTTACTAGTAATATATGTCTCTACGTTGTAATGCGCCAGGCCCATATAAGTAGGGATGGGTTATAACGAGATTAGGGATAAAACATTGGATCCGGTGGTTACCTATGAACGCTACTCGTGTAAGCGGTGCGTGCAGTGGGAGGAGGGGGCAGATTGGCAGAAGGACTTAGGAGGACGACTCTGCTTTTAAGGTTGTAGAGAAATAGGTTGGTAATAATGACTGATAAAGGTCCTTTGAATCTCGTGCTGAAATGTAGTATCCCTGGGGTTCCCTGGTAACTCTGAATTGGTGTTGAAACGCTTGCTTAGTTTGCATTATGCTGCCAGGGGTGAAACTTGAAACGGTGTTGAAAAGGTTGAGGGTCTTCCTTTGTCTGAACTAACTAAAGTCTCTTCCTAAATACCAGCACTGGATGCCTTCTATTAATCACTGGCTTGCAGAAAATGGTTGATGCATAGGAATACATTGAGGCCACATGAACAATGAGTTGCTTTGTGGCTTGGGAAAGTGAACTAGCTAGATTCCATGTGGTTTTGTTCTATTTGAAAATTACAATGATTAGCAATTTTTAAGTTCAATACTTTGCCCGATGTATGGGCACACTAAATTTTCTTTAGGAAACCCTGATTGTGCAAAGTATCATTCAGAATTTTTTTTTGAGGCAAAGTATCATTCAGAATTTCAGAAACATGTCTGGAGCTTTCCCGTATAATAGTAAAATTTTAATATTATGAAAGTGCTCTTAATGTAAAATCTAAGTATATAATTTGACGTAGCCAGTTTAGATAGTTCTACATGTATTTGGTGATCAAGCTTTAGGGATGTTGAGAATGGAAGCATTAATCAGTCGATTTCCTGAAATTGCCTTTAAGGCTTCAAGTTTTTGTCTAGTTTTGTTTTTTGAGAAAAAAATTTGATTAGCTCTTAGTATCTTTCTGCTTGTATTTACCAGAATTTCTGCCTTTGGTTAGCTGGTTTGTACTTCGTATCGCGCCTTCATTGAAGTTCCTCAGTAGCGCATTGTTATTTCTATGTTTTAGGTCTTCTCTGATTTGCTTCCTTTAGCAAGATTGTAATATTCTTCCCTGAGACTTTTCTCAGTACTCTTCATGCTAGAAATGAGTGTGTAGAACATCCATTTTGTTGCATTAAGCCATTAACCAGACTGCTTTAATGTTAGTTAAACATTTGAACAAGAAACTAGAGCAAATTTGATTCCTGAGATTTTCTGGTATGATTGGATTGGTCTATGGAATTATTGCTCATCAGAGGAGCACTCTGCATGCTTCTATCAAATAGGTTCAGCTGATCTTATTATTTGCAATTTCAGGTCTTTTTCTTCCAGCAGTTGTCAGACCAATGTTGGATTCTTGGGAGACAGCAAAACAAGTTCCTCCACCTGCGCTGAATGATGTATGTGATTCCTCTCTGTTTTTTAGTACATCAGAATGATCTGCAACCATATCTTAGTTTCTGACCACATCATTTATCATGTCCTTATTTTGTCATGTTCATAATGTGCCACCCAAGATATGTGCAAGCACTAGACAGTCTTATGAAAATTATGAAGTAAACTTATTCTTTGGGCGTTGTTATTATTTGGGGCAATTGCAAATTTACCACTACTTTGAATCGTTATTGCAAAACTGCCACTAGAAAATTGCAAAAATGCCATTAGAACTGTCATTCGAGTGGCATCCTTGCAATATTAAAAAAACCAGTGGTAAATTTGCAATTGCCCCTTACTTATTATTTCAAGTAGGCTGTAAAATTCCAGGATTGAGCACTCTGAATATTCGACTGGCAACCTAGACTGAATTGCACAGGACCTTTAAAAGATTGTGCCATGTTACCGATTCCTTTGTTGACGACTTTGCCATGCTTCACCTGGTTATCTCCAGATTCACATTATTGAAGTACTGGAATATCAACCCCGCTCCATTGAGAACACCAGTATTTAATTCCTTCTATTTTTGGTACTTCTGCAGGTTGTTGCAGGCGTCACCGGCAAGAAAAAGGAGTGACTTGGCATCTTTTCCACTTGCTAATGTTGTCGCAACGATTTCTCTTTGTTTTGACTCCGGATGGGAAGCCTCTCCCAGTCCAGATGATTAGGATCATCCATTCATATGTCCAGCACAGTGTGAAAACAGTACTACATGTGATCGGCAAAATAATCGTGTTGTACCTGAACTTACTTTCAACATAATGAAATTAATGCTGCAATTTTCAGCTTTGAGCTTGCAAGCAAAGCGTGTGGATTGATTGGTAGCCTTAACCTATATCGTAAAATTGCTGGTGCCGATTGGTTCTGTGAAGATTTACACCAGCAGATTAGTTGTGGCAAACATTCTCTTGTGTGCAGCACTATCGTCAGTGGCCACGCTTGCTTGAGCAAGCTGTGAAGTCAGTACTGGCTTGGAAGCAAAGCCTTGGAGCATCAGGGAAGAAACCGTCGTGCCAGACTCTTTTGATGACGTGCGGAGCATCGTCGTTGTCGCGAGGTATAAGAGCCAGCGAGACGCCGGCATAGCTTGTACACGGTGGCTGATCGGAGCTCCGGCCAATGTCCGGCGACCAGATGGGCTCAGAACCACCGCGTGTCGCCGCCGGCGATGCGCCCAAGACGGAGGGGCGCATTGGCAGCTTCAGCCGCCTCTTGTCCGGGCTCGACGCCGGCGGCGTGCTCAGGGACGTCGAGCCGGAGAAGATGAAGGACGAGATCCGGCGGTGGGCCAAGTCCGTCGTGTCGCTGGTGCGGCAGCTCAGCTTCGGCGCGCCGCCGCCGGAGGATCATCGCAGCAGCAACTCGATAGTTCACACCAGCTAGCTGAAGTAGCTTACTCTTGTTTTCTTATTTAAATTTAACATTTTTTATTGTAGATGAAAGATCATTTCATCTACAATTCCCCTGGTTTCTGGCGATGGAAGAAATACTGCAAATCTGTTAGCATGCTTCCCTAACTACTACATTTTTTTCAAAAAAACCTATAACTTAATTAATCATGTGTTAATTTTAAAAATTCTTCCCGAACTACTACTACCTTTTTTTCATTCTGTAACTTAATTATTCATGTGTTAATTTAAAAATTCTATAACTTAATTAATCATGTGTTAATAAGCCACTTTGCTATTCGTGCCGAAGAGGAAAAATTTTGAACTTCCTTGTTCGATCACATTATTAGTGCAACGACGACTGCTTATGGAAATATATAAGTTTGTCGTGATGCAAAGTTTGATCACGATAGCGCGACGCAATATACAAGTTTGAATACGTTAAAAAAAACCATGAGAATTTGTTATAGTGTACAATATTCCTAGTGGTTTAATTTATTATGTTTCTTTCTAATATTAATTTATTATTGTATCATCACGCACGGGTTGATATATTTAGGGGGAAACTTATATTGTTATTGGATAATGCTCTAGATCTACTCATATATAGAGGGTTCGAGTTAAACATAGGGTTAAACTGAAATCTAGAGAGGGTTTTTACCTCTCTTTTTTAATCACTACTCCTGTAAGCATTTGTTGTGTAATTTAGAAGAGGTAAAAAGAGGTAACATTCACTACTAGTGGTTTTGCTATTTCTATTATCAATAGTCCTGAATTTGTTGTGTATACAGTGGTCATGACTCTCTATATTGCATGAGTGCATGACCTTATGGGTCTTGGTTTAGTAAATCACTAGAAACGTTATATGTGTTGTTTGGTTAATTTTATGAATGTTTTGAACTGAGGATATATCTCAGGACAATTGTATTTGGATTTTGGAGGTACAATAATTGGCTTTAAGATATTTTTTGCCGTTTTGTTTGTCTTACACAATCACCCATACAGTCCAACACAAGTAATTCATCTAATTGTGTACAGGAGGCGCGCCCATGATCTTTCTTGCCGTTTTGTTTGTCTTACATAATTAGTTGAATTATATGTTGTGCCTCCACGTCACAGGTGGCATGTTGTAGCCTGAGTGAAATGTCATATCCAATATACTCTGTTAAAAATTGACTAGGAGACCTTTATACTCTCAATTGTCAAAAAAAAAAAAAAAATCAACCTAGTATTGGATTTGATGTTTTCTATATTCAGATTCTTTGTACTAGAAAACGTCTCATCCAATACTAGATTGATTTTTTTTTGGGACGAAGGGAGTAAGTTATTATGCGGATTATATATTCTCTCTCCGTCCTATAATATAAGAGATTTTGAGTGGATATGATATATCCTAGGACAATAAATCTGTACATGAGATTTTGAGTGGATGTGATACATCTTAGGACAATGAATCATTGTACTACTTCCTCCGTCCCCAAAATAAGTACAGCCATGGTTTTCCGCACCCAACTTTAACCGTTCGTCTTATTTAAATTTTTTTTGAAAAAAAATTAAAAACATAAGTCATGAGTAAAGTACTATTCATGTTTTATCATCTCATAACAACAAAAATGCTAATTATAAAAAATTTCGAATAAGACGGACAATCAAAGTTGGACGCGGAAACTCATGGCTGCATTTATTTTGGGACGGAGGTAGTATAAGATGTGTCACATCCGCACAATATCTCTTATATTATAAAACAGAGGGAGTAGGATCTAGACAGAGTTAGGATAGAATACAATAGACCAGGGGTGTGTTTGAGTAGAAGGAGATCGGGGAGATTGGAAAGATACGCAAAACGAGGTGAGCCATTAGCGCATGATTAATTGAGTATTAACTATTTTAAATTTCAAAAATAGATTAATATGATTTTTTAAAACAACTTTTCTATAGAAATTTTTTGCAAAAAATACACTGTTTAGTAGTTTGGGAAGTGTGCGCGCGAAAAACGAGGCGCTTTCTCACCCTATATCACACAAACGAAAGCAGCCTAGGAGACCTTATGCGATAATACAAGAAAACCAGTCTAGCAATCAACGTGCAATTTTGTACAAATACTCTCCTCCAACCCTTGGGCTCAATTAGTGGTAACTGGGCTGGGCCTCCGTGGGCCGCCTATTTCGCAACAGTCCAGTTAGTCTGGTGTTTCAGCCCATTCAGTAATACATGGGCCAAGGCAGATTAGAGCAGGGTCCAATAAGGTCCATAAAGACCCGAGCAAACCTAGGGTTTATGAGCACGGAGCGTATAAAAGCGAGCCTCCACGCCGCCGTCCCTCCCTGCAGCCACCACCACCACCCCCACACCGGAGCACAGCGAGGCGGCGCCGCAGCCCCATCTTCTCCGGTGAGTCTTCGTCCCTCACCCTCGCCTTCTCTTACGGAACCCTAAAACCGTATGATCTCTACTAGTACGATGGATGGATGGATAGCTCTTAGTTTTGGTCAGTTCGATGGCATTTGCTCGTTCTGCTCGTTGTCTAATATCTTCTACGATCCTATCCGGCTGTTGGTCCAGTAGTATTACTGCAAGAACTGTAAGCTTAGTTCGAGATTTTTCTTGTAGACGATTTGTTACCTACTTAGATTTTGTTTACTAGCGGGTTATTTGTTTCGCTCGGTTAGATCTGGTAATATAAAACGAGCCATGTAGCGATTTTGATGTGTGGGGGCACGAACTGTTCTTGTCACGAGAAAGGTTGTACCCCAGATTTCATTTGCAATCGATGCCAATTCTGGGCAAATGTTGCGTTATAATAATCATATATATGGGTCACTTTTTCCTGCTGATCATTAGTTACAGGATCTTACAGTAGGTTGTTGGTTTTGGTTATGTAGGCGAAGCGAAATGGCGACGGTTCCGGAGCCTTTGATCTGGGAGATTGTCAAGAAGAACAACTGCTTCCTGGTGAAGCAGTTCGGGAATAGCAATGCCAAGGTGCAGTTCACCAAGGAGCCCAACAACCTGTACAATGTCCACTCCTACAAGCACTCTGGTCAGTAGTCGCTTCTTGCAACATTGCTGGCTTTTTGATGGAAACCAAGCATTTCATTCAGCATCTGCAAAGTGCTGACTTGGGTGATGATGTGTTTTGTAAGGCTTGGCGAACAAGAAGACCGTGACGATCCAGCCATCAGGCGTGAAGGACGCGGCCGTGGTCCTCTCCACAACCAAGACCAAGAAGCAGAATGCCCCAGCGAAGCTCTACCACAAGTCTGTGATGCGCAAGGAGTTCCGCAAAATGGCTAAGGCTGTCAAGAACCAGGTATTAGCACGTGAAACTACTTCTTTGCATAGCTTCTTGTCCTTGTTATGCCTTGCGATGCTAGAAGCTTTAAATGCACTGCTATGAACATAAAGCATCCTATATTTTGGCTTCATTACTCTTTTCTTATTTACTGCTGTGATGAGCCGTAACACATAAGGAGGCCAACCGATCAATTGGTTCTTCAATGAAATACTCTTGTTACGCTTGGCTTCTGAGCATTTTGTATTGTCTTGATATGTTGAAGTGGCTCTCATTTGTGGGGTTCAGACGTTAGGATGGAACTGTGAGATCTTCATACGGAACAATTAAAACTCATACAATGTTTTTTACAGAAGTTGGTATAACTTGCTGTTAAAAAAACAGTTAGGTGTCAATGAACTGCAAGTTAGTTTGTGAGAATTCCTGTTTTTCGTTTTCAGAACCATCTTTTTTTCCCTGTTTTTGTTACATTGCTAATTCTAACTGCTGCTGTGATAAGCCGTAACACATAAGAAGGCCAACCGATCAATTGGTTCTTTGATGAAATACTCTTGTTACACTTGGCTTCTGAGCGTCTTATACTGGCATCATGCCTTTTTGATATGTTGAAGTGCCTGATCTGTGAAAACCTTCAGATTTTCAAATGGAACATTTTGATACTTAAAACACCAGTTTTAGCAGCAGTTGATACAACTTTATCTGAAAATTCAGGTATTTGACAATGAATTGCAAGTTAGATTTTAAGTATTTGCTTTTTAATAACCAAGTTTTTGCCCTATCTGAGTTAAATTGATAATGCAAGATGCAGCTGTGATGAGCCGTAACACATAAGGAGGCCAACCGATCAATTGGTTCTTCAATGAAATACTCTTGTTACGCTTGGCTTCTGAGCATTTTGTATTGTCTTGATATGTTGAAGTGGCTCTCATTTGTGGGGTTCAGACGTTAGGATGGAACTGTGAGATCTTCATACGGAACACTTAAAACTCATACAATGTTTTTTACAGAAGTTGGTATAACTTGCTGTTAAAAAAGCAGTTAGGTGTCAATGAACTGCAAGTTAGTTTGTGAGAATTCCTGTTTTTCGTTTTCAGAACCATCTTTTTTTCCCTGTTTTTGTTACATTGCTAATTCTAACTGCTGCTGTGATGAGCCGTAACACGTAAGAAGGCCAACCGATCAATTGGTTCTTTGATGAAATACTCTTGTTACGCTTGGCTTCTGAGCGACTTATACTGGCATCCTGCCTTTTTGATATGTTGAAGTGCCTGATCTGTGAAAACCTTCAGATTTTCAAATGGAACATTTTGATACTTAAAACACCAGTTTTAGCAGCAGTTGATACAACTTTATCTGAAAATTCAGGTATTTGACAATGAATTGCAAGTTAGATTTTAAGTATTTGCTTTTTAATAACCAAGTTTTTGCCCTATCTGAGTTAAATTGATAATGCAAGATGCAGCTGTGATGAGACGTAACACATAAGAAGGCCAAACCGATCAATTGGTTCTTCGATGAAATATATTTGTTACGCTTGGCTTCTGAGCTGAATCTGCCTCTAGTATTTCTTCTCTATACGGCAGCTTTCCTTTATGTACCTTACTGAACAATCATCAGTAGTTTGTTCTTTAATTTGCTGTTATTCTGCCCTTCAGGTGAGTGACAACTACTACAGGCCTGACCTGACCAAGCCGGCTCTTGCGAGGCTTAGCTCAGTGTACCGCAGCCTCCAGGTTTCCAAGTCTGGTGCCAAGAAGAAGAACAGGCAGCCAACTAAGCTGTAAATCGCTTAAAGCTCGCTTTTTTTTTTGTCAAGGGGCCTCGTGGTGTTCATGTTTCCAGCTACCTCTGTTCGTAACAGTGATTGAGACTTGAATTGATATCTATGCTAGAATTGGATCAACTATGCTACAAATCTACTCTAGTTTGTACTCGCTACAATTTTGGTCTGCTGTGTCATTGTTCACGTTGCACTTGATAATAGCAGCTAAGCTAATGTCATCAAATTGCTGGTGCCGTTTTGCTTTGTACACATCCCCGTGTAGCTTCTGCGACCAGATTACCTATTTTTGATCAAGCTGTGTAGGGTTGTGGCATGATGGCATCAATGTGCTGTTGCCATTTGACAAATCATTCTGCTTATTACATCAAGCACTTCATACGTTAGTGAGAGCGGGGCGAGGATCTTTTACCATAGGGAAAATTGGTTCTATGCCATCAAAAGTTTTCAAGTTTTGCTTTATACCATCGAAAGTTCCTTTTCAAGTTTTGCTTTATACCTCGAAAGTTCCTGGTGATTTTCCTACCATAATGTTACATGGGTCATATCTTTATACTCCCTCGTATTTGACCGTTCGTCTTATTAAAAAAATTTATGAAATATATAAAACTATATGTGTACTTGAAATTATATTTAACAACGAATCAAATGATATAAAAAGAATAAATAATTACTTAAATTTTTTTGAATAAGACGAATAGTCAAACACGTACTAAAAAGTCAATAGTGTCAAATATTTTGAAGTATTTGCAATGATAATGTTATTATGGTAGAGAATGTGAACCCGTGAGGGAGATGATTTTGCATTGTGAGTTTCTGACAAGCGGAAGCTCTAGAAAGTTCTGCCACTCTGTGAGAGTGCAAAGCTGTTGTGATGTTGCACTTGCACCTGCTGCTGCTGCTGAGGCCCGAAGCGTTGCCGGACCGAGCGGTACGCCATGAGCCCGAGCTTGTGCGCCTTCTCGTACATGGTCTCCGGCCGCAGCGGCGCGACGTGCAGGCCGACGGCGTCGAGCTGCCGGCCGCTCCTCCCCCAGAACCCGACGATGGCGCCGCCGTCCACCGGGAACGCGAACGGCGTGCCCTCCGCCGCGCCGCCGCCTAACGGCCCGTACTCCCTCCGGTTGGTCCTGAACGCCAGCCACCTGATCACCGCCGGCGCGCCGCCCTGCGCCACCGCCGCGTAGTGCCCGCTCACCGCCGTCAGGTACTCCTCCGGGAAGCCCAGCTTGATCTACGTCCCAGCCAAACAGACTCAGGGGGTATTTAGATACATGGATGTAAAATTTTTGCATGTCTCATCGGATATACGGATACACATTTGAAGTATTAAACGTATAATAATAATAAAGCAAATTACAGATTTCGTTTGTAAACCGCGAGACGAATTTATTAAGCCTAATTAATCCGTAATTAGTAAATATTTATTGTAGCACCACATTATCTAATAATGAAACAATTAGGGTTAAAAGATTCGTCTCGCAATTTACACGAAATTTGTATAATTAGTTATTTTTTTCGTTTATATTTAATACTTCATACATGTGTTTAAATATTTGATGTGATATGTTGAAAATTTTTGCCAGGGATCTAAACAGGCCCTCAGCTATGGCTGTGCCAAGAACATTACAAGGTGCAGATGGTATTGGGTGTGCACCTGGGTGGTCTGGTTGCCGCCGGCGCCGCCGTGCCGCTCGCCGGCGACGGCGACGCCGTTCCGGTCATACTCGACGGCGATGGAGTCGATGCACCGGTCGTACGACAGGGTGATGCTACGAACGCCGGTGTGACCGCCGTCGTCCCAGGGGCTCCCTCCGGTGCCGCCCCATGGCCCAACCTTCATGATCTTCTTGGACACAACCATCTTCTTCTGAGGTTGCTGCTCCTGCAAAAAAAAAAGGGATATCCTGTATAATTGAAGTGTATGAGTTGCTCACTGAACTTTTGGATAGAAAAATTCAGATGATTTTTCTGTTCTGCAAGACTGAAAATGAAGTGCATGACTTGCATACCATGTTTGGTTCAGATATGTTAAGAACTACACCAAGTAGTAAGGTGAGCAGCTAAACTTATTCAGAGAACAAGTGCGCTAACAGATAAAAATGGATAGGGATTTTTTTTTGTTTGCAGGAAACAACCAGATGGAAGAACAGAAATATTAGGATATATAGGAAAAATACCACACAGTGGCAATTGGGTGATAAGTGGGAATCAGAACCGGATGCTGTAATGGCAGTACGCTGCTTTCTGGAAAGCTAAGCATATTGTACAGGAAGTTTTTGTTCTCCAAGAGTCCAAGTATAAATTCCGGTAACATGATCCTGCCAATACCTAGTTTTCAGTTCAATGTTACCACTCCTGGTGATTTTTTATTTACATATCGCAGAGCTTTAGTGTAGTACAAGTTTTTTAGGGAAAAGAAATCAAAGTTTGATATTTTGGAAAATAAAGCCTTCATGTTATTTTTGTTCTTCTTCTTATATGGAAGGATATGCAGCTCTCCTGTCTATTCGAGAAAAAAAAAGAAAAAATGCCTTCATGTTGAATCATGAATTGCTCACTTAAACTCCAAGTTCATAAGCATTTGCACGTTAACATCAGATAAAGACCTGAAACAAATGTTGTACCTCATGTCATTACAGTGCTTTGAAAAACAGAAATGAAGATGTAGACAGTGGACTCATACTCATAGGTAACTCCTAGAACTTAGTTCGTTCCAAATTCGTCTGTCCCCAGTCCCCACTGAACAACTCAATCCTTTGAATTTTCTGGAAATAAACTCAGTCCAAATTGGACGCATGAAATTCGCATAACACAATTTATCTCACATATTATTACATGCCTATTACGCAGGGTTGGTGCCCAGAAATACCATTCATGGCCAGTTGGGATTGAGTACTACTACTGCTGAACCAATGTTCAATACAACCTTGTTTGACAGCATCCAGAAAGTCTGAAAACACAACCAGCAGTTGTCGTTTTCTAACTTCAGATGTGGGCTTCACAGCATTTGCAAATTGCAACAATGATGTTCTCTGTGACTTCAAGAAAGTAGTATTTCTGTATACATCAAACACTTGTCTGAAGACAAATGATTGAAGTGTTTGTGATAAGGCCTCCGATCAAGACTTGCATCTCATCTCCATAAAAAGAAAAAGAAAAAGAGAAGTGAAATACAATTCAAGACTTGCATCAGTGCTGCTAGTAGCACAAATGGTTCATCTCTTGCCAACCATCTACTGCACAACAAGATTCCTGAAGTGGTTCGGCTGTGCAATTCATCATCTTCTCCTGAATCCTGGCCTATCAGTCAGAGCCGGTGCTTACACTACAAACAATTGCATTCTCTTCAACTCCTGACCCAATAAAATGGCAATTTGCAGAGAAGCAAGTACAACAGCAGTGGCAACCACATTCCATTGGCAATTTGGCATACATTGTAGTAGCAGCAGTATTGATCTTAGGTGTACAGCCACCTAAAGCTTTTGCTGATCTGTCCTGAGCTAATCAAAGAGCTAATCAAGTTCAAGCAACCCAAATGACAGTGAGTCCCACAATAACAACTTGACAGGTGTGTATGCTGTGTCTGGGCCCTGTTTGGACCATGCTGCATCTTTTTCTTGCATTGGCTGTCAAGTGTTAAAAGCATACTAAACCCCAATTGCTTAATTGCTTTTGCTTCTTTTTTTTTGAGCTAATGCGCCAAATTATGAACTGCTAATTATAGCTTTGGTATGCATGATTAAGTGATTAACAGTTAGCAGTCTCCTGTCTTTAAGCTATGGTTAGAATCCACTTATTGTTGCAAATCTACAATGAGCTGTCTGATTTGAATGTGGGGCCCACAGCCAGTCTCCTCCTCTCCTATATAAAGGCACACACTCTCCTCTAACCCCTCTCACAAATTTCTCTTCAAATTTCAAAGCACACAAATTTTTCTTTCTCTTGCAGTATTATTATTACTACCATGGCATCCAGGATCTTGTACGCAGCCGCCGTCGTCGCGGCCGTCGCCGTGTCGTCCCTCGCCGGCGTCGCCTACGCCGCCGACGCCCCGGCGCCGAGCCCGACCTCCGGCGCGGCCGCCGTCTCGTCGTCGCTCGTCGCCGCCGTCCTCTGCCCCGCCGTCGCGCTCCTCCTCGGCAACCTCCGCCAATGAGCTTGAAGATCATAGTTGAATCGAATGCTGCTGTCAAACATGCGTGATGTGCTACGCATCGCGTGATATCTTCTTCTTCTTGTTCTTCTTCTGTTTGAGATTGCTCGTTTTCTGACCTGTGTGGCATGTATTTTTATCGATTCAGTTGAGACAATTCCTGCAGCAGCATTCATTCAATCTGATTCAGTATTTCATCGTTTTCAGCCCTTAAAAGCTGACTGATCCATTGGTTTTAATGGTAAAACAGGTGGCTTTGGAAGTAAGGTTTCTTTCATAAAAAAATTTTGGCGTACCCAGAGATGTAAAAAATAAAATAAAATAATATTTTAAGTTACCAAAATTTTCACTAGAGAATGTTATACCTACTGATAAAAAACGTAAAATCACTTTCTTTCATAGTTAATCAGTAGTGGCGTATTATTTCAAAGAAAAAAAAGAGAGAAAAAACTGTAGTGTCGTAGTCTGCTTTGCTCTTTCTGTTTGGACAAAGCACATATCACTTCCTTTTCTTTCTTTTTTTTTGGTATTTTCTCATACAATTTACATCCCATTCCTAGAGAGAAAAGGTGAAGCTTTAGTTGGGATAGAAAGGGGTTAACAAATGGGATAAAGCGTAAAAGCAGATCAGTAAAGCAGCCATCTCATGGCTGTAAAGCAGCAGGCGTACACGTACATGTTGGAATTCCTTTCGAATTGTTTAACATATATGCTGGCAAAAGGAAATGTATATACCATAGTTGCAGATTTGCAAGTGACATGCGTTGCAATTCTGACATGAATCGGATGTCGGATTTTTCATCGGATCTCCAGTTTCCTACGTTGCAAATGTACAGGATTTAGCAGTTCAGAAGTACTCCAGTACATTTTAGGGCCTGTTTAGATTTCCTGGTAAAATTTGTCACCCTATCACATCAAATGTTTGGACACATGCATAGAGTATTAAATATAAACGAAAAAAATAATTAATTATACAGATTGCATGTAAATTGCGAAACGAATCTTTTAAGCCTAATTGCTCCATGATTCGACAATGTGATGCTACAGTAAACATTTGCTAATAATGGATTAATTAGGCTTAATAAATTCGTCTCGCAGTTTATAGGCGAAATCTCTAATTTGTTTTGTTATTAGTCTATATTTATATCCGATGTGATACGCCAAAACTTTACACCCATAGATAAACACCCCCTTACTGTGAAAGCGAGCGATGAAATTGCAATGACACGAATGCGACATGAAGAATTAGCTCGACGTAGAGCTGTCAGTCGGTTTCAGACCACAATGGAATACAATGGCCATTCAAATCGAAACGTTCGACAGTTTTGTCTGCTCTGAATTACAACAGAAGATTTACGCCTGGCATTATCTCACTCTCTGAATTTACAGCACCAGGTGATAAAAATATTGAAGACTATCAGATTCGTGTTAACTGCTATTGTCATGCACAGGGCAAGCTACACATCGATCAAACTGGACTGGCCTGAGCAGTGTGCTTCACATTTTAGGTAGCAAGACGTATACATGAGAAACTTGGAAAACATTCAGAGCCGCGTTGCTGGTAGGCAGACAGCAGACAGTGTTCAGAGCAAACATATTTCCTGCAGCCTCTGTGTTCTTCTGTGCAGCTTCCAAATTACGACAGTCCAGTCATCTTGATCTCCTCAAATTAAGCGCGAGAAGCGGCGAGCCCGTGATTGTTCCATCAGAAAGCTGAAAAATCTTCAGCTAAATGGGTATGCGCAATTATCTCCTTTCTAATGTTCAGCTGCTTCGTGTTCAGTGATCCTATTATTCAGAGTCGCTGTCCATGTTGTGCATTGCTTTCAACCCCCTGGGGCGCTGTGAAACCAGAAAACAATCAAGGAGGCTCATTTAATCGAGGATGTCATCTAGGGAGTTGCAAGACTGAAATTGATTTTAGCATGTTACTAATCCAATCCAACTCACCTTTTTAGAAACCTTCTTCTCTCGGACTTCGTATCTTTCCAGTGTCAAGTCGCAAAGCCATGTTCCAGGGCATACAAGCTGCCAAAGATGAACAGAACTTAGGGAAGAATAATATGGTGACGGGGTTATATGCAACCTCAAGAGAATCATATCGACAAAACAATAGATATCAATGGTTGTCTGACTCATAACTTAAGCCTGCGTAGGACACAACTAACTAATCATTGATCTGCCATATATTAGAAATGGAACTCAACTGAAACAGCACAGCACTTCCTGGCAAATTGCCTGCCAGATCAGCTCATTGATACAGAAACTGTAATGTAGTCACAAGATGAAAAGTATGGCAATTCGTTTGGCTGCTTCAATGAAGGAAGGTAAGGATCACACTCAATGGTAGGGACTGTACAGATCAAGCATTGAGGTGGCAATCAAATGGAAATCAGCAATCAGCTTTTAATCTGTCTTATGTTTGCTTCAGACAGAAGCATACCGAATTATGGACACCTCTAGGCAAACAAATTTAATAAATGAAGCATCCACTGCATATCAGTATTATATTTGCACGTCTTGTTTGGTTAAGGAGCAAGGCAGGCAGCGTGCGCAGAGGTGGCCCTATGTTCCATGTGATCTCATGTCATCTATTTAAAATTTTTAAAAAAATGCATAGCCAGTATGTCATGGCAAATTCTTGTGTTACTGAACTATAGCACAGTAAGTTAGGAGCTGACAACTACAGGCTAATAGCATGTTGCAATAATGAGTTTAGAATCTCTGTGCAACAAGCAAGGAACATATACACAATTATTTACCATATCATATGCACCAAGGGCCTGTTTAGTTCACGAAAAGGAAACTTTTTGGTGTCACATTGGACGTTTGACCGAATGTTAGAAGAGGTTTTTAGACACGAATAAAAAAGCTAATTTCATAACTCGCATGGAAACCGCGAGACGAATCTTTTGAGCCTAATTAATCTGTCATTAGTACATGTGAGTTACTGTAGCACTTATGGCTAATCATGGACTAATTAGGCTCAAAAGATTCATCTCACGATTTCCCCTATAACTGTGCAATTAGTTTTTTTAAAAATCAATATATTAATGCTCCATGCATGTATCCAAATATTCGATGTGATGTTTTTGGGAACTAAACATGCCCCAAGATAAGAATCCTATGCGCATTGATGTGAACTGGAATGCATTGAATTTAATGAGATATAAAGCTAAGATGAAAGGTGCATACATTCACTGTCCTCTGGATGACTTTGGCTCTCTTCTTGGGCCTCTGAGGAAGCTTGGATCCTTTGAACACCCAGAAGTCCTCTTCTTTCTCTTTGTTCGTCAGGGCGACTGCAAATTTGGGCCAGATCGACCCCTCGCTCCCTGACGACGAACCCTTCTTGTCATCTGGGGAGGTCGGCGGACCTCCATTGTTGTTGATGATGTTGCTGCCCCTTGCAGGGCGTTCTCTTTCAGGTGAGGCGACTGCCCGGATCCCGTTCATCTGATGCTGCTGCGCTGAAGATCTCATTGCTCCAGACTCCTCTGAATTCCTACCAATCCAGAACACCGGCTATTATAAGTGATGCAGAAAAAATGGCAACGTGCTAATGTTATCTTTTGATTTTGGTTTGGTTGTGGTTGCAAGCAACCAATGTTAGATTCTGAAGCTTGTCTGGCCGAAAAGGAGAACATAGAGCCAAAAATGATTATTTTTTTTAGAGGAAAAACTTGGCTGGAGCTCTGCCTATTCATCCGAGGAGTAGTAGAATTAGACAAACCGAACACTTTGACAAAATTGTGCATTTAATTCTCTTCATAAAAAGGTTGTGTACATCTAACCTCCATTAAGCACAGTAACTGTATGTTTAATCTTCAGTAGGCAGTCCTGTGTTTTTCTTATTAGTCAAGCAAAATAAGGTGACAGATAATCTATTGCTAGAAACAAAATGAACATTCAACAACAGTGACTGATTTCGCGGTGAAAACTGGATAAATAGATTTTTATCTCTAAATCTTCTTACAGCAAATCATTCTTAGATTCTCACATAGGGAGAAATGGAGCACCAAAAATGCATGATTCATCACATTTTGGGGGAAGGGACAAGTAAGCAGGCAATAAATTTCAGCAATTACCTATGTCATGTTTCATCATCTCCAGATAAGAAACAAAGTATTACAGGAAGAAAGAGAACGTCACAATGAATGAACAAGTTGTCACCATCCACCTTACGAGTGGTTGTGACTGACTTGAGATAAATATGGTGTTCCCCCCTCAAGCCAAAATTAGTCGACAGAAAATTAGCTGAGACTAGCATCCAAAGGCAGACCGAATGTAATTATGATAAGCTATTAGCGTCAACCTCATACACAGTTGTTTCGCAAAGAACATCGTTGTAGCAAAGCCGCATACACTGGATGAGGCAACCGAAACGGAAGCAGCCTTCACAATTGGCAGTTCCGTTTCAGAAAAGAACTCTTAATAATTCACATATGGCCCTGACCTAGATAGAGATCGACAGCCAAACCAAGTCAGCTAAGTTGGAACCTTGGAGATAGATTGACCAAAAAATTCAGCAAGTACCATCTTGCTTGTTATTGAAAGAACATATCCCTCAAATTGTCCAATATTTTAGCCTTTCAAAGACCCAATTTGAGCATAAAAAGTAACACAATCACCCATAAAAAGTAAAACCAGTATCTAGCACACCAGAATCAAACAAAGAAAATTAGTGTCAAGACCACAAAAACATCATGGTCTTCATTTCACATCCCGTAGACAAACCCAACGATTTTGGACACCATAATCATCTCCCGTTACAAACCAAAACCATCAATTCATTGCTTATAATGTGTGCCTACATCAATATATAAACCACTATTTGTGCTTAGTAACCTCTGCATCATACAGTCACAACGGCAATGACACCCAAAGTGAAACCGAATCAGATCAAGAACACTAACGCTGCTCGATGTCACGTGCCCGGGGCAGCCAATCACGTGACGGCCAGTTGTTCTTTCAACGCAACAGTTACTCCAAATCTTATCGCATTAGTTTAACTGACGCTTAACAACAAAGCAGTCAGAGAGCACACGCAACGGGCACGGCAACATCGCAAATACCAAAAATGATTTTTAAACAAAAAAAAAAGAAATAAAAAGAGAGAGAAAATGGCTACCTGACAGCGCGGTGGTGGGCGTGGCCGGCGGTTGTGTGGTGGCGGTGGTGGTGAGCCGCCGCGGCGGCGGCCGCACGGCGCTGGCTAGCCGCGGCCTTCTCGGCGGCCACGGTGGCGGCGGCGTTGACGTCTCGGCGGTGCACCTTGACAGCAGAGCAGCCGCTTCCGGTTGCCCCACTGCAGGAGCAGGTCGCGCTCCGCCGCCGTTCCGCCGCCGCCGCCGCCGCCGCGGGTGGAGCCCCGCGTGTGGTAGTGATTCCTCGCCTCCTTCTCCATTGCCGGACCAGAGCTCGCCCTGCACGTGTCACAGCAACAAAAAAAAAAAGAAAAGAAAAAAAAAACACAGAAATTCAGCAGCAGAAGGGAAGGAAGAAAGATTCATGGTGGGAAGGGAAATTGCTAGAATTTCAATCAGATTGGAATAGTGAAGAATTGCAGAGGAAATTGCTTTGAGGACAGATCAGCTATTCAGCTCAGACCAATTGGTCTAAAAATAATCTCAAGATTTTATTACAAATCTTCCGCTTTAATTCTCCGTACGAACTAGGAGAAGGGCAAGTTCAACAAACTTTAGCTCAATTTCACCCTCCACCCAAAAGTAAAAAAAAAAAAAATCTTCTCAGCTGCCCGATCAAATGACCGGAACAAGATGAGACACCACTAAAATGCAACTCAATTTTAAGGGGCCGAGGAAATCAGCCAGATAAAGTTGCAAACTTTTGGGAGTTTTGCGACCACTTTGCTTTCAAAAATTCAGACTGAAACCTTAAAAAAAATTCAGACTGAACGAACTCAAAATCGGGCAAGAATCAGACAAATTAACAGATCGAATTTAAGATGAAGGTAGATATTCAGTTCAATTTAACTCATCTATTCTGGAAAGAAAAAGCAACCTAGATAAAGGGGAGAAAAAACAGAACGATACAATTTTCGGTAATCCTACAGTAGAGAACCAATATTGAAAATTCAACACAGAAATGGACAGTGAAAAAGTTAGAAAGAGGGGACAACAAATCGGACAAAATTTGAGACGAGAACAAGAAAACGGCGAGCAGACGAACAAGCCAATTTGGGAGCAGAAAAAACAAGAGTAAAATGTGCTAACTTGGTGAGGTATACAAAATCATCAACACGAGAGAAGCAAAACACAGGGGATGACCCAAATCATTACCAGCATCCTACCTAAGGAAAATCAGCTCCCTCTTTCCAATCGACCTACTACAAGGAAAACCAAATTAAAACTGACAAGATTTGTGACGAAATCAAGTCGATCCCAATCAGAACCCCCAACCGCGCAAATCCCAAGTTAGGCAGCTCAGATATGAAGCACACTTGATGCAACTAATGCGTCTTGGCGAAATTGGATTCAAATTACCCAGTCTGAATCATCCCTCACTCCATTCCCAATCGCAGACAGAGGCGCAGACAACGGCAGAAGAATTCCAGCACAGGAAAAAGCAGCCGCAAAAAGGAATTTAATCCCGGGGGAATAAAGAGGGAACTGAATCTTCCAGATCAAACAACCAATTAGCAAGAACCGAAGAATCCAGAATTCGAACAAACCACAAGCCAGAACTCACAACAATTCAGAAGGGAAAATTTATCCATCACTGTGAAAGTAAAACTTTTCCAACTCCAATCCCCACCAAAAATTTTACCAAACAAAACACCACAGAGACAACCAAAAACGCAGCGAATCAAACTGTTAAGGGCAGTACCTGCGAACACCTCGCTCCAATTCACCTGACAAAGCCAAAGATTCCTCACTCCTCTCCTCCTCCTCCTCAAGAACACCGACAGATCAAGAGAAGAACCGACAAAATGGATTCCTCAGGCTGCGGTGAGAAGAGTACGGAACCCAGAGAGAGAAAATCGGGACGCCTTTGTGGCCGGCCGTGTTCTTCCTGTTCCTCCCCCCCACCACCAGAAGCCAGAGCCAGAGGAAGAAGAAGAAGATGAAGCCCATTTTATATGCCATCTCCTCCCCTCTCTCTCTCTCCCCCACTTCTCGACCCGTCTCGGGATGAGCACACCAAATCCGGATCCTATCAGCGCCTCGCTGGCCCGTCCTCAGCCGTTGATCTACAGATCGACGGTCCAGATCGCCCCACCGCGCTCCTCTCCGCGGTAAAACGTGCAATTGCCTCGCTCCCACTAATGGGCTGGGCCGCTACATGGCCCGTAGAATGTGGGCCGTGGACCATGGGCCGTATGACGTGGGCCGAGTACCGTGGGCCTGCCGTGATCCAATTCCCGGCCGTTTCCGATGCGATTCGGCCACTCGATTTCATGATTCCGATCGGAATCGGAATCGCGCCTCTGCGGAATCCATATATATTCGCCGGCTCGCCGCCGCTCTCTCCACCGACCACCATGGCTAGGATGAAGAAGAAGGGCGCGCTCTCTCGCCTCCGGACGGCGACGTCGCGCGCGGCCACCGTGGCTAGGCGGAAGGGTGTCGTCGTCGTCGGTCGCGCCGGGGACTGCGGCGGCGGCGGCGAGGACCGCATCAGCGACCTCCCGGACGACCTGCTGCGCCTCGTCCTGCGCCGGCTCGACACCCGCACGGCGCTCGCCACGGGGGCGCTCTCCAGGCGCTGGGCCTCCCTCTGTCGCGGTCTCGACGCCCTCGACTTCCTCGTCAGCGACGTGCTCCCGCCGCGCTACCACCGGTGCCGCGACCACCTCCTCCTCCACCACCCCCACGCCACTAAAGGCATCGACGCCGACGATGCCAAGGTTGTCGCCGGCAGGTACGAGCGCCTCTCCATGCGGAAAATGGTGGCCTCCATCGACAGCTTCCTCGACGCGGCGCCGGACGACGACGACCCCGATCGACGGAGGAGGATCACTAGGCTGAGGCTGGAGTTCATCATCAATCACCACTCCGACAGCATCAACCGCTTGATCGCCACGGCCATTGATGCTTGGGGGGTCAAGGATCTCGAGATTCTTGCTGGGACGCCCGCGCATCAGCTACGGCCGCTGGACCGCCTCCACATCTTCCCTCACCAAGGTATCTGCTCTGATCCCCGCAGCTCCACTCTGACAAGCCTGACGCTGGCTAACTGCACGATCCCGCCATTGCAAGGGTTCCAAGCTCTGAGGATCCTCGTCTTGCAGCATCTGCCAAGCTCCACGCGTCCAGCAGACTACGAATCGGTGTTCACTTCTTGCACACAGCTGCGAGTGCTGCACCTCAAATCCTGCATGTTCGATGGCGTTCTACGGGTAAACGCTCCGTGTTCATCGATCGAGCAGCTTGTGTTCGACCACTGCGGCGGTGGCCTGATCATTCTCTACGCTCTTCCAAAGCTCGAGGAGATGGCCGTGGTGCAGACCTGCGTATGGTTCCAGCGTGGCTCCATGCCATGCCTCAAACGCCTGAACCTCATCTTTCGATACAAGCATGATCATCACTCCACCTCCATGCCTTGGGGCATGAACCTGATGCAGATTGCTGAGTACACCCCAGAAATAACAGAGCTGTTCCTGGAGTTCACCGGACGCGGGGCGGCGACGATGGATGCGCCGCCATCATCGCCATTGCCGTCGCTGCCAAACCTCCGAAAGCTCGTGGTCGTCGTGCCATCGTCGTGGGACGTCTCATGGCCGCGCCTCCTCTTGGAGGTGGCGCCATGCCTTGAGATCCTCCACGTCCATGTCGCCGCCTGCGAGGACGAGCCCCGCGGCGAGATCTCGTGGCGGCGATGCGAGTCGCGACACAGGAAGCTGAAGGAGTTGGGGATGAGTGGCTTCGAGGGGACGGGAAGGCAGGTTTACTTTGTTAACTTTGTGATGGAGGTATCATTAGCTCTGAAGTCTGTGAGTCTGTGCAAATATGCAGGTGTTTACTGGGACTACGACATTGTTCGTGAAGATCGTCGTTGGAGCAGTGACGACAGAGCTGATGTACTGAAGCAGATCGGTGAGAGAGTTTCTTGCACAGATATTCCGGTTCAGTTAGTCCGGGAGTGATTTCTCATGTTGACTAGCTAGTAAGTTTAATAGTGTAGTCAACTAATAGCTCTAAATCATCTATTGCTAATCTAATAGTCTATTCATATAATAATTGTCTGTAAATATATATATTATATTATTAATATCTGGTCATATCTCTCATACACATTAAAAAAACATCTCTCACATACACACAACGTATTAAATTTGTAGTCCGTTTTTATTCTCTCTCCTATGTTATCTCCTCCACATATATGTTTATAGTTAGCTTATAGTATGCTATTATACTTGTGCTAACAAGATTGAATTATGTTTCTTATTAAGTTCTTAGGTATAACTTTTTATAGGCTTTGCACCCATCAATGTTAATTTTATTATATGTGAAATAGATTTGTAAGTTTCAAACAATTAATGTAAGATGTAAGTTTTGGTACTTGCATTACTGAAATTAATAGTGAAGAGATGTATGCGATTAGGACCCGTATTGAACCCTAAGTTGCATACATGTGGTGAATTAATTCCTTAGCCTTGCAAAATAATAGATACATATGTTCTTGTTTAGTCTTCCGAATTTTCCTTCCCAATATGCATGGTTAACAAAATGACACTTCTCAATCACTGTATGAAATGCCAGTAACCACAACTTCGCAATGTACATTTTTTTTCCAACATTGTTTATCAGAACCAAATAATTATTTGACACTCAAGCGGTAACAAAAAAATAGAATAAATAACAATACAGTTCTCGTGAGTTCTCACATCACATGTAAGAAATGCAGTACCATGTGACACAAACTCTTTTCTCCATTTCTCTTGTTATTTTCAGGAGTCCGGTTATCTTTCCGAGTTAGTCCACTGTGCCCTCCCTTTTCCCTGTAACCCCCCAAAGATCATAGTTGTAAAATCTTTTTTTTCCTTGCTAATATATCGATGCGTAAGATTTTTGCGCATTCACAGAAGAAATGCAGTATCATGGATTATAAGAAGATGTGCAGTCTGCCAGGCAATTCAGTAATAGACAGTTAAAGCAACCAAAAAAATAAATAGACGGGAAATGGTCATTATGTGATTAAAAACCATCGGAACAACCAGAATTGAACAGGAAGGCATAGTGATTCCACTCAGGTTTGTACATAGTAGTTTTTTTTTTCGAACACGTAAAAACTTTGCATGTCATTTGTATTAGAAGCTATAAAAAAATCAATTTACAACCAAGCACTGGGGGTGGGAAAGGGAGAGAATACATACGCCAGCTAGCGACTAAGTAAAGACGCGGCCCCTGAAAAAAGAGGGAAAACAAAGGAGGTTGAGGAAAAGATCAGAGGGGTGGATCTACTCGCAAAAGACCTTAGAATCTTGTCAGTTCAAGAGCTTTCATGATTGATGCCATCCACATCCCGTGGAAATTTGTCTCATACTCTCACCAGGTAAGAACATATTTCTGCAAGCATCTAAATATATGTAGGAATCCATCCTCTCAGTAGAATATTATTAAAAATATATAAGAACAGAGGAAGGTATTACTTTATCAGTTCATTGAACAAATTGTTTCACATAGCATGGTTTATGCTATTGCAGCGGGACTCTCCATCTTACCTTTGAAAGAATTGCTTCAGCAGAAGTTTGGACAGAGGATGGCAACCAAAACAAAACAATAATGCTACTAAAACCATGGACTCATTTCAGTCGCAACATTTCAATTTATTAAAGGCAAAACTATATCCACATCATGCATGTAATATACAGTCGCTTTTCGACATCTTTCACATGTAACTAACAAAGTATAGATGAGAAGGCTTTCCCAAAACTACTTGAATTAGAGTAATTGAGCACTAAATTCTATCAGAAATCTGGTATTGCTGCATCAGTAGTCATCTCCCAGGCTCTATGAACCATGTATACATGCTCACTTTTTAACAAAGCAACAAGCTACAGTACCATCGATACTTCTACTACAAAATTAACAAACTAAAACAGTCTTTCTGTTCCCTCAGATCCTACTATCATCAACTCTATTAGCTGAGCATGCCAACTTCAAGGGGGCAATATGGATTCAAGAGACTCTCTAGGCATCCATGGTAAAAAGACACAGCAGCGGTCAAAAGCCTCCTGAGGTTACTAGGTCTGATAACTTAAGCTTTGGATACAAAACATGAGAGATCACTCAAGAAATACTTGAACTGGAGTTGCTGAGCAAGAAATTTTATCAGCAAGCTGATCCAGTATTTTTGCTCTCTCCTCATCACACCAACGGTGTTGTTGCCTCACAATGTTCCAGTCCCAGTAACCTATTTCCTGAACACGGCCATACTCAAGGAAACAAGCTCCAGTACCATTGACACTTCAATGACAAAGTTAACAAAGTAAATCTGTCTCTCTGTTCCTTCAAAACCAATGATCACCAACTCCTTTAGCCGTTTGTGCTGCAACTTGGATGGCTGCCACAAAATATCATTGCAAGTCTCTCCTTCCCAAGGGGTAATATGGATATGAAGGCTCTCCAGACATGGCGCTGCTTCTAGGAGGAGTCGGGGCCAAGAGATATCCCATGATGAAGGCACATCGGCAATCAGAAGCCTGGTAAGCTTTGGTAACAGCAACGAAGGGCACGAAGGCCGAAACCATCTTTCATATCCGGTGAATCGTATAACCTGGTCAGTTATGTCTGGAGTGAATCCAAGATGCGGCTTGAGATCCAAGTTCGCAGGCAAGCAAAAGTTAAGTTTATGCCTGAGACCATCGCGTTTGAGGTTCAGGCGCACGAGGCGCGGGAAGGATCCAAGCTTGTACCGTACCCAGGTCTGCATGACAACTATACTCTCAAGCATTGGCAGAGCGTGCAGCTCAAACCCAGGGACGCCACAACACTCCAGAACAAGCTGCCTGATCATTGACCTGGGGGCATCAACGAAAACACTACTGCCGCGCTTGCAGGGGCAGGACTTGAGGTGCACCTCTTGCAACTGTAGGCATGAGCTGAACACACTGCTTCGTAGGCTGCCGCGGGTGTGGAGTCCCGCAAGTCTTGCAGGACCAGCTTGGTGAGAGCTTGGAACCCCTGCAATGGGGGAATCACACAGTCCACCAGCTTCAGGCTTCGCAAACGGGATCTGTGCGGGTCATTGCAGAGACCATGGCGACGGAAGATGTGGGCATCCTGAAAATGATGCCGCCAATACGTTGTCCTACCAAGAACCTCTAGATCCTCAACTCCCCAAGTATCAACAGCCTTGGCGACCAAGCGGTTGATGCAGTCGTGGTAGTGTGTGGCGATGAACTCCACCCGCAGCCTACTGATCCTCCTCCGTGGAGCTCCGCCGCCGCCGTCGCCATGGGCAAAACCATCATCGGCGTCGAGGAAGTTGTTGATGGAGGCGACCATGTTTCGCATGGCGAGGCGCTCGTGCCGCCTGATGCTAGCAACGATGGTTCTGAGCTCGTCGGCGCCATCGAACACACCACTGGCGGACTCGTGGAGCTGGATGCACCGGTGGTAGCGCGGCGGGAGGATGTCGCCGACCATGAAATCGAGAGCCTCGAGGCCCGCGCGCGCGAGGCCGGACCAGCGCCTGGAGAGCGCCGCGGTGGCGAGCGCGGAGCGGGTGTCGAGCCTCCGCAGGATGATCAGCAGCAGATCGTCCGTCAGGTCGTCGATGCGGTTGTCGCCGCAAGCCGCGGGCGCCCGCCGGCGGCGGCGGCGGCGGCGGCGATAGGACGAACCTTTCCTCCTCCTAGCCATGGCGGAGTCGCGCGGCGGCGTGGGGTTTGGCGCGCGCATCTGATGCCCTGAGATCGCAATGGCGTCCCCGCGGCCGCGACTAGATAGCATCCGCCGCGGGCCGCAGCTGGAATCCGAACCGGAATCGCACCGAGGCCGCAGCTGCTCATACTATTCGGACTCGATTCGACGGGTGGCTTTGGGGATCGGGGGGGAGGGGCGATGAGGCGGTGACGCCGCCGGAATCCAGTGGAGCCATGGGAGGAGGAAGATAGGAAGCGAGGCCGCCGAGGCTCTGGCGCCGGTGGTTTGGCGGATCCAGCGGCCGGCTCCGGCGCCGGTGGCGAGCGGCGACGGCGAGGCGGTAGGGAAGAAGGATTAGGCCTAAAAAAATAAATAATAGAAAATGTGGAAGGCCCATGGGTGAAACCTGGCAAGATTTCATTGATGGGCCTAATAGTGCGATATCCAGCCCATCTCACAGTAGATGGGCCTGATATTGTGGGCTACCCCCAACTCCTCCCCCTCTCCAAGAGCGAGAAGCCCAAGCTCTGTCATCTATCTGTAAGATACAAATAATTAGAGCACTGTGATTTCATCTTGGTTTTCCAGTAACTTCTAACTGAGTTTAAAGAATCACAGTTAAAAGCATTGTTTGTAAGGGATTTTGATAGAATGAACCAATGGGAAATTTGCTTAGAACAAGCTCGTTGTTTTTTAATCACTAGTGTAGTAGGCTGCTAGTGTGGGCATACAAAATGTTTTATGCTTCCTTCAAGGAGTATACGAGTAGCTTGATTCTTATCAGAAAATTCGAGTCACATGTGTAGGGGCGATAATCGGTCAAGATATATGGTTTCTTTCACAACCCTACCTACCTAGTACTTATATAATTTTAGTTTAAATTGCTACTTTACTTTATCTCCATATATAGACATTCTTCCTTAAGATGTTTTTATTCTTTATAGAGTATTTCATGTCTTAAAAATAACAACTTCTAGAATTTAAATTTCATTCTAAATTTTATTAATAAACTGCATGTACTAACTATGGGTATGTTCGGCTGCTCTTTGTTGCCACATGCTGCACGTATAAAATATCGTCGTATAAGCTGCAACACAGTGTAAATAAGGGCAGTCGAACAAACCCTATAGCTTTATTATCATCCTAACCAATTCCGGGTCTGCTCCCACCCACACACCCACCCTGAGAGCAGGTACAACAGTGGGCTAATAGCCTGCTTACATAGGATGATTTTTGTATATGTGGCTGAGAAAGAAAAATTGTAGAGAGAAAAGCGAGCGACTATTTAGTCGCCGGCTCTTCGCGCGAGCCTATGCATTTTACCTACCATGGGCCCACCTGCTCTCACAACAACCAATGGAAAAATGAATATGGACGTGAAATACTGGCTGGTTCCTTCGGAGTAGACACTAGCTTGATTAAAAAAAATAAAGAAGTGTTGCCTGTTGTTGTATACATTGTAGATTAGCTGTCTATTGTTGGACGTGGCACTCGGTTGCAGCCAGCAGTCGCCGGTACTATTAACCTTGCTATGAGAATGCAAACAAGTCCTTCTAACCTCCTCCATGATATATACAAGTGTCACTATCTAAAAATTGCTATATATGTTTCGATACGGATAGTGTAGATTATATTCTTCATGAACCACGATGTGCACCTAGAAGAGCAGCATATCCAGAGTCCTCATAAACAGGCTCTACATATATAAAGCATATAAAAATTGGTACGGATATTATAATTAAATCTACTGTGACCTTTGCACAGTGTACTTGAAATAAAGTCTTAGCCAACAATCTAAAATAGTGTATTCAACAGTACAAAACGTGAACAGCTTGCTGTATATATACATCAAGCTAGCTTTTGTTAAAAAAAAATAGCAGTGTATATATATATCAGGCCATCAGCTATGTAACTTAGCATGTCTGACAAGAATATAGTCGTACTGATACTCTAAGATACTCTGTATATTTAAACGTAACCATAACAAACACCTACACAGAACAAACAGTATCAATTAATATGCTGTGGAGTTTCATATATATATATAAAAAAAATTAACAGTTGTTTAATTTTATCACTCTGATCCAGGTCTGAATCAGCAGTGCGTTTTCTCCAACGGACAGAAATAAATAAGTAACCAAAACAACGTAAGCCGATCTGTTCCTGAAATTTATAGCAAAGCCGTTTACAAGCATCATCAAACTGCCCAGCCAGCCAGCCAGCCACACAGCTGCATCTCCCGTCACAAGAATACATATACACACACTCATGAACAGCTAGCCACGCCCAAAATTCAGCTCTCTGAATTCTGATTCGATCGTTCCAGTCAAAACAGCCCCCTTCAATTTCTTCGCCGGCCTTTAATTTCGCCATGACGCCACGAGTTTGTTACGCACAGAAAAACGCGGTGCCGGCAGTGCATGATGCATGCGAGTGATCAAACCATGGAAACTTGCATCGAACTCTCACCTCATGTCACCACAAAAACTGCAGGTGAAAGTTCAGACTTCTTCTTCTTCAGAGATAGATAGAGAGAAGCATGAACAATAATACTCCTCATACATTTCAAAGTTCAGACTTCAAAGTGCACCTATACACGGTTGTAGAGATGTTGGTGATCGGTCACACATAGCGATGGTTGGTTTGGTGTCGATTCTTTTCTCAAGCTGACGTATAGAAGACATCAGTTCGTGGTGTTGTGTTTTTTTTTCTTTTATGATTTAGCCTATTAGGATTATAATTTTATATTTTTTCTACTATAGCAATATATAAAACCTCGTATTTGTCTCGTTTGGTGCGGTTGGTTTAAAAGAAAGAAAAGGTTCAGACTTCTTCAGAGACAAAGAGATGGAGGGGCATACTGCCATTAGCACACAGGAATAGAATTGAAGAATGCTGCTGCAGCAGCAGCTTTGGTCAGTGCACAGTGGTGGTGTTCTCAAGGTAGCAAGCTTTGGCAGCAAACGAGGTGTAGTACTCCAGAATGGAGAGAGGGGACAGGGGTACACTGCCACACATGGGGGTCAGGCCCAAAGGGAATGTCTTTTGGCATTGGGCAGCCCAAAGCGTGGTGGTACCGATACACCAACACCAACATATGCATTCCGTTTCTCATCTTGTTATTCCCCTAGCTAAGCTCAATTAGCTAACCCACACACACAAAAAAAAGCGAGCTAAAGGCGTGCAAATGCAAGATGCTACAGTGCCCTGCAGCCGGCAAAAGATCAAAGATTTCGATTCCAATTCCAATGGCACATTGGCACATTTCAAGCCCAGATGCATGGTCGACAGCAACAACACCCAGGAAGAGATGATCATGTCAAAAGGGACACAAAGCATGGATATGTACATGTCCCAATTGTGTCTGATCAATTCCTGTCCAATTTTCTCACATCATATGTGGCGTGATTCCAATTCAGAGATGTGTAGGGGTGGTAGCTATAGTAATCAATCATCAGAACTATCATGATTCCAATTTTACTTTGTGTTTTCTTTGCTTGCTTGCGTTGCATGCATGCATTGCAAAAAAAGGCTGTTAAATTTTAGCAACAAAAGGAGCAGGTCTTTCTGATGGTTTTTTGCATCGTCCAACATGGAAAAAGTTCGGCGATGTCAGGCAGACAGAAAGTGCATACACCTTTTTCTCTCTCTCATTTTTACCCTTGGAATTGAAGTACTTGGGCAAAAAAGAGATCACTGATTAATTTACTCATGTCAATGTCATGTACTATACGTTATTACTGCATCGATCCATGCAAAACAAAATAGCGTTTAGTACATAATTAATTAAATATTAGCTAACATTAATTAGAAAAATATATTAATATGATTTTTTAAAGTAACTTTCATATATAATTTTTTTTTAAAAAAACACACCATTTAATAATTTAAAAAGCGTGCGTGTAAAATACGAGGGAGATGAGTCGGAAAAGTAAAATAAGAACTCAGCCCTAGTTACACACTGTTAATCATATAAAATCCTCTCAATCGATCAAAAGGTAAAAATGAAGCATTAATTTTTATCAGCTTGAACAGCAAGAGATTTGTCTCATGCATGTATAAAATATATATATGTCACTCACACGAATACACACCTTGCATGCATGCATGAATCATGCATGGTACACAGTACTACAATTGCAAATTCCTATTGGATTTCACAAAGCCAGCAAGTCCATCTCGCCCAAATGCAAGTACAGTGCTATTGCTAGAACCAGTAGCAGCAGTAGCAGTAGCATTTCTTGATCCAGTGTAGTAGCCATGGTGCAACAGGTTGCCGTTGCCATTGCCATTCCCTAGGGTTTCCAGCGCCTCGAGCTGCGACTTGAGGAACTTGAGGTAGCTGGCGGCCTCGTCGAGCATGGTGGCCGTGTCCATCTTGCTGCCGCCGGGGACCAGCCGCTGCAGCACGCGCAGGCGCTCGCTCACCCGCTCCCGCCGCAGCCGCGCCGCCACCGTCTGCGGGTCGCTGGAGATGCGCACGTTCTTGCGCCGCGGCCGCTGGGGCGGCGGCGGCGGCCGGGATGACGGGTCGGAGGCGGAGGCGGGGCCGCCGAGGGTGACCGGGCGCATCGCCGCCGCGCGGTAGATCATCTCCTTCACCTGCGCTATCGCCTCCGTGTCCGGCTCGTACCCGCGGCCGTAGCCGAGCAGCGCCGCCGCCGCACCGGCGCCGTGGCAGCCGCCGCCGAACGTGATGCTGCTGCTGCCCCCGGCCCCTCTCTTGGTGCTCCGGCGCTCTGCGGCTGTCTCCGACGTCGTCGTGGTCTTCGTCGTTGGTGATGTGCCTACGACGGGGTACTTCTCTGGTAGCTTCCGCTTCGACGGGGGCAGAGCCGTCGTCGTCGTCGTCGTCGACACGGCGCACGGCGTCGACGCCACCTCCGTGTAGGTGTTCGACTCGCCGGAGGAGATGTTGCCGCCGCCGGTGGTGTTGCTGCTGTATCCGGAGAAGGCGGTGTTCGACGCGGCGGCTTGCACGGTCGTCGTCTCGGCAACGTTCGGGAACGCGAACCTATCGAGGAGCCCGCCGTCGTCGTGCGTCGCGCCGGCGATGGCCGGCACTGGCAACACATCCACCGAGTCAAGGAACGCCGCCGCCGCCGCCGTCGGGGACGCGTCGCCGTGAAGAGCACTCAGACCATCTTGGCAACGCAGGAGGCTCATCTGGTGGGACGGCAGGTCGACGTCGAGGCCGTAGGCATCGTCAGAGCGAACGGCGCCGGCGGCGCCGTTGCCGCCGCCGTCGACGAGGGAGTGGAGCTCGAAGCTCGCGCCCAAGACGGCGGCGAGGAGGACGTCGTCGTCGTCGTCGCCGCCGGGGCCGCAGCTCGGCTGGCACGGCGCGGCTGGCGCGCTCCACCCGAAGGCGTCCATGTACATGACGCGGTCGCCGCCGGCGAGGCTTCCAAATTGGCTAGCTAAACTCGCCTGTAGCTATCTGCTGCTACTACCACTGCAATTAACTGCAAATTAAATGAGCTCGTGTCAGCAGAAACACATGCAAGAGTATGCAACTGCATGATTAGCAATAAATTCAGAATCTAACTCCCAACCAAAAATGCTGATCAACATACGCAAGATATATATCTAGCCCAACAGAATCTATTGCTGCCAAGATTAACATAACGGAGTAGAAATCAAGAAGAAGAACAAAAACAGGAAAGAAATAGTGTTTTATTGCATCTTGGGAGTACCTGATTAGTGAGGATATCTGATCATTTCAGCTATAGGTAAGTGCCGATCTGAGATAGATTCTGAAGAGATTGGTGTAGCATGGGGACGAACTGAGCACAAGTGCAGCGTTTGCTAGGATGGTCCTCTGCCTGTGGGATGGCTGGGCATATGGGCGTCTTTTATAGGCGGCTCTGAGCTAGCAGTGGGCTAAATCTAATCCATATAGCTGGCCAAATTTGGTTCTTTTTCCTTAGAAAAAAGCAAGATAAGTCATTTTCTCTCTATCTCTTTCTTGCATTATGTGGGGCGCAATCAGTTGGGGACAGCAGAGAGTACTAGCACAACAATTTCACTCGCTTAATTACTAATTGACAGTTACATTTGACTGCTCTTGAGTCGAGTCAATTTAGGTGATAACTACTGTACTAGCTATTTTTCTTTGTTCTGCAAGGTTAGATTAAAGACCGTATATATCTTACTGTGCTAAGATTTCTGAGATTCTCAGTATTATCTAAAAAATATTTCTGAATTTACTTCTGTGGAAATGGTTCCAGTTTATTGCTTTGATGAATATTATTGCCAGTGCCCTCTTCTGCTTGTCTTCTTGTTTCTTGTCTGGTTGAGGAGTTGAGGTAACTTATCTCTGGATTGTACTGTATCTGGTAGTTTTTTGTTGGGACTTGGTACTACATCACATGAAACTTTGGAGTTTCTTCATGTGACAGGACTAATGATTAAGCACGATAACTTGTATAGTTTCTGTAACATTTAGTAGCAGTAGCAGTAGTTTTTAACTACAACAAGCTGAATCTAGCTAGCAGCTGGTCCAGGAAGACATCAAGATTTCCTGTCCGTTTTTTGAAAAGAACAAGATAACAAGGAAGGCAGGACACATCTCTGAAACAGATGAAACAAGACAAATCCGTGACACAAGCAAACGGTAATGCAGAGCAAGGTCCTTACTAGATACTTATTTTGATATTATTTTCTTGATTCAAAAGGGAAGGAACCACACACAATGCAAAGTATATATATGTACATGCATCATATCCATGATAAGATGAGGACCACATATTGATGAGGATATGTAACCACAATCGATTGCAAGATAAGAATTCCTATTTCTTCAGAAAGAATTAATAAACAAAGGACAAGATAAGAACACAAAGTCTACTTACATCCATTATTTAAATACAATCCATGATAGATGTACAGTACTCAGCTACTATGGAACATTTCTTTGTAACAAGATGTCGGTTTTTTCGTCATGCATGCGTTCATTTTTCAGAAAAGAAAAGGTTAGCCAGTACCACTGAAGTAGTCAAGCTTCAGATTAATTAGTGCATACGGCACATGGTAACATATATTGCCCTCCATTTTGGAATTGTAATACTAAAAATCAAGTGGCCCTCTCATTATTATTTTTTTTCTAAGAACCCTGCTTTTTTATTGAAAAGTTAAGGAAAATCTCAGTACAAAAGGAGTAGACAGAGATCGAGCTTGCATGGATCTTGAATCCTATACTAGTATACTGTAATGAACTTCCACTGTCTACTCTCATTAATTCCAGGTTATAATTAATTACTATATGAAAATTCTGCTTCCCGGTACACATGCATCCACCACCAATCTACCACAAGTTGGACCCAAAGAAATCCACTGAAAAATTCACAAGCGAATAATATATATCATTCACAAATTGGTTGCCTGCTAGCTACTTGCCTTGGAGCTGATAAAGTCTATGTATATCTGTTACCTATGGTCAGATATACTCAGATAGATCATACATGACGCTCTTGTCAATTGAATATCATCTATTGTGTGTCCTGTGTGAAGAATACTAGGAGCACTCGTAATTTTTATCTCCTTTGCTTGAGATGCATATGTTTGGTGTGCCTTCACACGAGCTTAATTAGCAGCATAACGCTTACATATATAGCACATTACTCCAAACATATGCGCAGTTTTATCTCTTTTGTCAGAGTCTCAGTTTGCAGCCATGCATATCATCAGAAAAAAAGGATCACGTACTACGTACCAACTGTGGTCACAAGACACATCCTACTGCTCTTGTCCATTGCAGCATAGCACAGCAACCATACAGTTTACACTCGACAGCACCACTCAACATGCAAAATTAAGTACAGTGTTTACAGCATTTGATCATCATCCCCCCCTCAAGCGTACCAACTCATAATTAAATTCAGTTCCGGCAAAATTCCATCACATTCGCATCTACTAGGCGACTTTTTCTCTGTATTTGAAAGGAACATCTAGCAGTAGCAGGGCGGGGGGCTAATTAAGATCACCACAAACTTAATTAATCAGAATCCCTGGCAATCTGTATACGAAAATTAAATGGAAACAGCATGAGAATTGAATTGGGAGTCGTACGTCTGCAGCATCAAAGTACCAAAAGGGCGGCGGCATTTAGAGACGGTGGGGGCTCCGTCTCCGCGACGCGTCTCCGGTACGTCTCTCCGGCCGGCCCCGGCCGCAACCGCCGCGCGAGGGTCCGGAAGCTTGGCCGCCGGTACGTGGGTTGCCGCCTCCGACAGTTGCATGCCACGAGTCTCTACTCAATCTACTAGTCCATTTTTTTTCTGACGATTTTTTTTCTACTTACGTCCATCTGACGGGCTTGGACTATATATAATCTCTGACCGGTAGAGCCCTCGTTACCCATTAGAGATTAAGTGACAAGTGAGTGAAGGTCCGTCAGCGACACAGCGAAAACAAAACGTTCGATCATTTGTAAATAAAATAGATGATTAGAGGGAGGGCTCATCTTCTTTTTCCTCCTTCAGCCCCCCCTCCTTAACTCATTCTATCAATGGTGATCCAACGAGATAGGAGAGAGTCGAGTCCTTCTAGCACCCACGATGGATCCACCCTTACTTGTAAGTTGTAGTGACAAAATAAATTATAGCAAAGTAATAAATAAATAAATTTTTGAATAAGGTGAATCATCTCCTCCTTCTCTTGTTAATGGTGACATGATGTTATACTATCTCCTCCTTCTCTTGTCTCCTCAATCCTCATCAGCGCGCGCGCGCGCACACACAGATATATATATATATATATATATATATATATATATATATATATATATATATATATATATATATATATATATATATATATATATATATCCTACGTGGCTACTTGGCGTTCTATATATCTCAGATGGTTGTTCATGTAGTAACTGTTAACTTCAGAGAAAATCTCCCTTCTAAAACAACTTCAGAGAAAATCCCTCAAAAGATGAAGGGAAACAACAGTGGCTAATTATCCTTTTATCCAAATTTAGAATGTGTGATAATATTTTAAGAACTTTCGAGCTTTAAAAGTCCACACTATAGCTGCATTTATAGAAAGGTCATATATGTTAATGAAGAAAGTGATATCTACTGGTTTATGTTTCAATGTACTTTTATATGGTTAATTATACGACCTTCTAGTTACTCATGCAAGATAAAGTATTAAACATGTCTAGTTGTATTTGTTTGCATTGCTGTTGGATGCATGTTGCACTAACAGTGTCGATGGCTAGCTAGTTTTAGGCTTGTAGGTAATGTGTTTTTAAGTACGTTTGATGTACCTCTGTTACATATTGATGGACGTGTTAATTGCAAATGCAATGCAACCGACGACACGTATTGATCCATAACTCTCTCTCTGACGTGACAAACTTCATAGGAATATTGTACCGACTTGTCGTGTTGTTCTGACAGCTACTTTAGCACCTAACGTAAACTTAATTACTTTCTCCGTCTAATTTTAAGTGCAGTCATAATTTTTCGTGCACAGCTTTGACCGTTTGTCTTATTTAAAACTATTTTTAAAAAATTTAAAAATATAAGTTACGTATAAAATACTATTAATGTTTTATCATCTCATAATAATAAAAATACTAATTATAAAAAAAATTAAATAAGACGGATGATTAAAATTGGACGCGAAAACTTATGGTTGCACTTAAATTAGGACGGAGAAAGTACGCCCGTTAGTGCAATCATTTCCGAATTTAATTGAAGGAACGTACGTTTGTACCACGAACACTTCGTTTAATTTGGTCAAATGGAAACGGAAGCATATGCATTAATTGAAGTGGTATAAGCTATCGGATGCACTGTAGCATCCACCGATCCACGTGGTAGGGTAGTTGTGTTGAATATATGGACAACTCAATTTTTCAGAGTTGTTAGCCTATGAGTCGATAATATTGTATTCATTTTTTTATCATGTTTTAAATGTGGTTTAAAATAGTAGGTCAATCTAGGACTTGGCCTAATAAGACTATAATAGACGATCGATTTTACGACTATATAAACAATTGATTTTTCACTTGCCATAGATTATAGGTGGCTGTGTAATTAAACGGTTTATCATGCGAGATTAGACTGAATTGTTTTCTATACCCGTACTTAATCCGACATATATACATGTATATATATCGTTTTGTCGATGTACTTAAATATTAGACAACACCTTATTTCTAAAAAATATATATGTATGAATGGTGTGTGTTTTTCATCACTTGGGTGTCGATGATGTATCATATAATATATCTTAATTTGGAACGAAATTTTCTTTAGCTAGCATATGTAGGGCTGTACTATAGGTAGGCAATGCCACAGTCGTCGCGCCGTGCAAAAACGGCCTCTTTTTAGACGTGTTGGACCACAGTTTACTGCATGCGTGCAGGCTCAATCGCTCTCGTGCACAGTAGCGCTGCGACCCATGTATTATTTGCTCGATCGACCGGCCGGTTTCCTGTTGCAGCTGCATGGACCAGTACACCCTCCATCCCATAGAAAACTAATAGTCCCATCATTTGGCTTATTCAAGAAATAAGTCAAACAACATATTTACAAACGGAAAATAATTTATAATAAAACTTTTATATACATATTCTTAGTGATCTAAAAACAGATGTTGAAAAATAAACTATGATGAAAAAAATATTAAAATCAATTTTAAATTTAATATTGAAAATTTAAATTTTAGCTGATAAGTATAAGAATAAACGAAAAGATAGGCCGTAAATCCTAACTATTAATCTAACACTCTGTCATCTTTTTAGAGAGACTAGCCGCTAACATATACTCCTATATAGTAGGTACATGCATGCAGACTCTGATCGAGTAGATATATACTACTCCATAGTCATAAAGAAAGTCGTTTAGGACAATGTTTAAGTCAAACCTTAAAAATATAAATCATGAATAACTTTCAAGTTCTTGAGTTTAAAAATGTAAAAATTATATGTATAGATTTGTCTTGAAAAGTACTTTCATAAAAGTATACATATATAATTTTTTTAATAAATATTTTTATAGAAATAAGAAGTCAAAGTTGTGTTTTGGAGATCGTGTCGCTGTCCTAAACGACTTCCTTTACAAGTATGGAGAGAGTATGCATGATCAACGAGTAGTTAGTATACTGTAGACGAATTAATTGAACCGATGAGATTTGAGAGCCAGCTGCTAGCTAGAATAACGACCGTCAATTAATCAGATGTACGAGACTTAAATTTATACTCCTACATGGAAATGTTTGGTCGTGTGTTGGCTTGAATTGACGCAGTACCGGCCGGTAATCACTGCATTGCACCGTTGTCTCAGCTAGCCGGCGATGGAAGTGTAAGCGTATGCGGCATATTTTGGCCTTACACTGTAGTACTCCTTTAGCTATGGCGTGAGTGGTAAGGTAGCATGTGTACGTTAGTTTCTCGTGTCATCTTTGATTTTAGCTGACTTTTCTAGTTACGTGTGGTACATTAATTAATTCCGATCCATATATATATCGAGCTATGAGCCTAAATTACATATTAATTGTTGTTATTAGCGGCATACCAGAACGGTATCATGCCAATGTGAGAACGGTCCTCTCATAAATTTTCTTCTCATCAGTAATAGATGGTAAGACACCACTTCTTATTATCCCATATCAGGGTGAACCCATGGATTGTCGGTGTGCACTGGCATACCCAAAACATAGGAAAAAATTTAGGGAGACATCACCTCGGGTGGAGAAGGGCTGGTGGCTAGAAAGGGAATGGCAATGGAAGTAGAGGAGGTTTCCACTGAGCAACCACATCGCCTTGGACTTAGAGATAGTTGAGACGACTTCAGCAAAGGAACTGGTGAACGACTTGGCGTTAGGCTTGGGAAGAGGAACTTTGTGCCCATTACTTCATCCTTCAGTGATTGATGTAAGATGACGGCCCAACGTCTATAGTAAAACCGTCAAGCTGTAACTATATTACGGATGACACACGCGGAACCAACATCCATAGGAACGACCCCTTCATTCACTGCCATGGTGATATATTAGGCTAGAGTTGTGAAACGATAACCCTCTCTTTCCATAGAGATCCAACAAGTAGGGGGCTTATGCCCCTTAGCCTCTGCGCTGGATCCGCCACTGGTGCAGCACCACCTTAGGTGGATGATGGGGAAGGGGATCAGCAATGTACACGACACGAGGCAAGAGGAGGGGTTCCGTTGAGGCTAGTGGTTTAACAAATTACTTATACGCCATTCATAATTTCTCCCCACTACAACAAAAACATTATATAAAGACACTTTTGTAGAGGCATTTTGCAAATTGCCTCTAAGATCATGAGTTTATAGCGTAGAGACACTTTATAGAGACACTTTCAAAATTATCTAGAAAATTTTTACTCTAGAGACACTTTAGAAATATTTTCAACACATTTTATTAGATTATATCTTGTAGAGGCATTCTTTCGGCACTTTAAAATGTGTCTAACATGTAAAGACGTTTGCTTGAGACACTTTAAACTCTGTAGAGACACTTCTTACAATAAAAATATACTAAATGACTAAATATAAGTAACTTAAGGCATAAACATATACAATGAATGACATGGGGTTGAGTTGGTTAGTGCCTTGAAGATAAGAATGATTTGTTCAAGAGATCATGAGTTTAAGGATTGGCAAAAACAAGGGAAAATATTTTATTCTCATTTTACTGGTTTCATATGGTTGTGGTACAATTTAATGTCTCTAGAAAATGTCTCTACCACCTTATAGATATTTTATAAAATGCCTCTTCGTTTATAGAGACAATTCACCATAAGGCACTTATTAGACATTTTTTAAAATGCCTCTATAGTATTGTAAAGACATTTGAAAAGTGTCTCTATAGTACTAGAAAAATGTCTTCTAGTGTCCCTACAATACTAGTGCACTAGACATCGTTTTTGTACTAGTGGTGTATATGCTCATACTATAAGCATGAATTTTACTTAGTATATACAAGTGGATCTGAATTGTTAAACAAACTCAATTCCAAAAGTCACATTAGTTCACTCTCCTAAACCTTGCTTCTATACATTAGGTCATACTACCACCAATCCTTTTCAGCACACGCTACACGTGATAGTAAGCTAGGGAAAAAAGAAATTAAATTGTTAGGTTCTTGTACAGATCAATCCACGTGCACGGTTTGCAGGCTGTACTACACATGTACGTGTACAAGTGTATCGTAGTAGCTAGTACAGTATATCGTATTTTTCTATTTGTCTACTGTATGCCGCCACTACTACTATTGATCAGTACGTGTGTACATTTATACACACTACAGTCTACAGAGAAGGACGACGATGAGATGATCAGAGAATGCGGCTGAGATGCACTAGACGAACGAATTCGACGACGATGCAACAGTAGCGTAGGTGCAGCCAGTAGTAGCGATGACCACCAAATTTCCTGCACACTAGTGGACTGCTGCTACAGTGGTTTCCGGTATTTTTCGATCTTTTGCCCATCCATCCACTGATCCACTGGCTCGGCAGCCACCTGATACACGAGTAGTGGTAGCTTGACACACACAGACGCAGCTGATACCAAAGTGAGCTCTCGTTTGTTTAGGCCCCCTCTAATTGAGCCGGAACAACACCTGCGGCCCATTATAGTTGGGCCGGAACGGAACGGGAGTATCACGTACGTTCGGGCCGTACAAGTTGGGCCCGCCCCTCGTCAGCCTACCTGCGAAGCTGCGTTCGTCCGGAGATGGAAAATTCTCTGGTTTTTCAAAGCGCACATTTTCTAAACTTTTTTATAATTTTTATGTAAAGATATTTGTTTTTAAAATTCATTACGCATCTCTCAATCTTCTTATTTCCTCTTATCTCAAAAAGACAAGCGATGGAACTAGCATGTCGTTTTCTTCAGAGAAGTTCGCTTCAGAGTTGATGCACATCAGTGATCGTGTCTAGGGGCAGGGGCAGGCTAGTGCAGCTAGGGCTTTGAGTCTTTGGCCCGCATCAAAAAACATGCTTAAAGTTCAATTCACCATGTAGTATTATTTTTTTAGAAAACTAATGCTTCATTAAGCCGTGTTTAGTTCTAAAGTTATTCTTCAAACTTCCAACTTTTCCATTACATCGAAATTTTCCTGCACACACAAACTTCCAACTTTTCCGTCATATCGTTTCAATTTCAACCAAACTTTCAATTTTGGTGTGAATTAAATACAGCTCTAGAGTTATATCTTAGCCCTATTCTCTTATAATTTCTGGTTTCGCCGCTGATCGTATCGACGTGTCGTGCAGATACATCGATCGATCGGGTGCAAGCAAAGCCAAACCAAGCGAAAAATGAGAAAGAAAAGGAAAAGCACAGGAGCGAGGGATCTCCATCCACAACGTCGTGGACGTGCCGACGTGACCGTCATCAACCAAAGACGACGAGACCAACACAAGACGCGCTCCGTAAAGCAAACCAAATGCCAAAAAAGACCGACCGACCCAGCAGAGGAAAGTACGCCCCCCGCGGCCTACCTTCAAAGCGATGAGAATCCAGTGCATCACCCTCGCGATCTCGCATCATCATCATCATCATTCTTAGCCCCAAAAGAAAAGCCTCAAATGAGTAGTACAAATCCAATCAGATGTCATTCCACTGATCCACCCGTGACGTCGGCGACCGAGAAAATTGCAGCTGCTTTTCCCGCAGCCGCTCCCATACCGGATTCCACGAATAATCAAAACATAAATTACTAGTAAATTATATTACTCCCACTACATGATCATGCATTCATGCAGCAGTTCAAACTTCAAATAAATTTGTAGACGGTGACGACCGGCTTCTTTGGTTCGTCACCGGATCGATGGAAATCAAGAACACAGCAACTGGAGACCATGTCCATGGTGAGGAGTTTAATTTGACACTTGATCACAAGAAGCAAGGGAAAACAAAAGCAAAGGCATTAGTAGAGCTTGTACTAGTCACTTTTGAAGTGAGGGGGGCTAGGATTGATCAGCGCCCGGTGTTCTTCCATAGCCAAGCTCTGAGATCTCCCAGCTTGTTGCAGGGGCCACCTCCTGGTGCAACCGAGTGTATTGCTGAGTCCAAATGGGGGCATGAAAAAAGTCGCTCAGGCTTTGCAAATGCTCACATCAGAGTTCATAGGTCAGTCAAATTACCTCCATCTTTGTCAGCAATTCACTTGCAGTTGGTGCAGATACAAATATTTGTCTACAATCAGAGTTGATGAAGCCCTCCGCCTCGCCTTTGTCGAACAACGCGAGCAGTGGATCGTAGTAACCGTCAACATTTAGCAATCCAACCTGTTCAATTGGCCAAGGTTTTATATGTGATGGAGACCTTAATCCATCAACAAAGCATTATGCTACTTTGCCGTTTACAATATATCTAGTATCAAATATCTCAATTATGCTTACTGGCTTGTCATGAATTCCAAGTTGGCACCATGTTATCATCTCTAACAGCTCCTCCATTGTTCCATAGCCCCCTGATAAAAATCAATAACCAAGTTACATTTGAATTATCAATTACTAGTGTGATAGATGATGTTAGAAAGAAGGTACTGAACATTTCAGATCGTCAGTCCATCTCACATATATTGGAATTATCAATTACCAGGAAGAGCAATGAACGCTTTGGATCGCCGAGCCATCTCCGCTTTCCGCTCATGCATGTCCTGTACAACTATTACTTCTCCCACACTCTCACCTGATATCTGTTAGAAAAGCAATATTTGCAAATGTCAACACAAACCACTCCCTTTACAAAATTCTTCACAAAGCTGTACAGTCCTTCCAAGTCAAAGTAAAACATCTCTTTTAAATGATCGCATACACGTACTATTATCAATTATGTTAGGATCAGGTAACTTCACCCTGACATATTCAAGATAAACATCACCCTGACAAATTCAAGATAGCAAGTGTACTGGTCCTACTATTTAATTCAGCTGAAAACTAACAATGAATTGAAGTATGCTGCTATACGGCTTGTACCTGCCACCTAAAAATGGACAGAAACCAAACTTTCGGAAATCCTAGCCCTGTCTAGCTTGATCATTTCGTTTAGACTTTAGGGTTCATTTCAAATGTGGAATTCTGATCCAAACACCACAGGATTCCAACGGCAAGTTCTCCAAGTAAGAACACAACATGGCAAACGCTAAAACATACCAATACAGAGCTGAATTCAACGACACTTCTGAACCCTGAAAAATCTACGAAATACTGAAAGGAAGTCGAAGAGATTGCAGACCTCGACAGCCATGAGAGCTCTAGGAATCACCCTGCGAATAAATCAAGCAAAAATTTTATCACGCCGCATTAGATGGTGGTGTAGCACGTACACGAGAATCACAGGCATCCGCAGGTGCAGCCGCGAAAGCAAGGCAGCAAAAGTAATGAGGAAATCGCTCTCAGGCGCAGAAACGAAGCTGGCTGCGTGCGTACGTACCCGACGACACGGCGGCCGCCGTCGAGAACCGTACGCGCGATCAAGCCCATCAGCCCGATGCTGCCGCCGCCGTAGACCAGATCGACGCCCCGCCTCACCTGAAAAACAAAAAAAGGAGAAGAATCTCACGGCTCGCACCTGAAAAAAAAAGTGTGAAACCAAGGATGGAAAAGTACGATGGCGGCGGCGGCGGCGGCGAGCGAGACAGCTCGACCGTCGCCGCGCCACGCGCCCGCCCGTTATCTACGCGTACCAGCTCGTGGCCGAGGTCGAGCGCCGCGTCGCCGAACACCCTGCGGCGCCCCGCGTTGCTGCCGCAGAAGACGCAGATCGTCCCGAACCTGCTCGCCGCGGTCGCCCCCGCCGCCTCCGCTCCGTCTCCCATCGCGCCCCGCCCCCAGACCTCGCCGTCGCCGTCACGGCCTCACTCTATCTCCTCCTCCTCCTGCTGCTCCAGCGAGAAGAGTGAAGGCGGCAGCATTAAGGGCGAGGCGGTGCGCGCAACGTACGCAATGATCGCCTCCCTTTTAATTCCGGGGTGGGTCAAAGCAGGGCGCCATCCACCACCACCACCACCACCTCCTCCCCCCCCCTCGTCGCCGCTGTCATTTTCGCGGTGACCACACCGCGCCACGCCACGCCACGCCACGCCAATCACCGGCGCTGCACACGCCGGTGGGGGCGGGGCCCCCGCCTCCCCGTCCTCAAAGCCCGTAACTCTGAATTGTCCCCCTCACCGGTCTGTCTCCGAGAATCTCGCCTGCCTCTTCTGCCCCTCTCCTCCCTCCGGTCCACTGAACCCTCCCTCCATTTTTCGTTTCTTTTATTATTTTTTTGAAACCTTTCATTTTGAAAACAAATATCTAAAATAAAAATTTCCAAAATCTGAACATTTGACGTGGCAAAATAATACTATCACGCCACTCGCAAAGGACGTGGCGATTTTATTCTGCCACACCAGCTAAAATGACGTGGCTTGTAGAGTGATGTCAATAACGTTGTCACGCCATTTAAACCGATGTGATCGCGTTGTTTTAGTAAAAAGATACAAATCTAGAAAATACTACCTCCGTCTTATAGTAGTTATCGTTTTGATTTTTTCCTTACAACGTTTGATCATTCGTTTTATTTGAAAAATGTGTACAAATATAAAAAGGATAAGTAATACTTAAATAATAAAGTAAGTCATAAATAAAATAAATAATAATTTTATTTTTTTAATAAGACGAATGATTAAATTTTTTAAACAAAAAACTCAAAGCAGACAAGTAGTAAGTATTAAGAGTTAAAAAAAGTTCTGAAAATAAAAGAATTCACTTTCCTCTTCTCTCCGGATAACGGCATGCGTGGCACTGTACCACACTAACCCCCCCTGGACCATCCGCTCCTGGGTCGCTGAAACGATGGCACGTCTGCGCCGGTGTCGCTTGCGCAACCAGAATTAATTGCCTCCTCCTCCTCCTAGCGACAAAGTGAGGGGTGGCCAAGTTACTATCAGGTGAGTGACACTAACAACCCCAGCTGCGGTAAGAAACAAAAACATGCTTCAACATATTTAGAGAGAAACCGAGAGTGCATGCTTAAAAGGAGATAATTAACCCCTTTTTTTCTCTAAACAAACATGCTTCAGCATATGTAGAGATAGACCGAGAGAGCCTGCTTGAATGGAGGTAATTAACTTCTTTTTTTTCTTTTGCCATTTCGAAAGGGTGAGTGGCAACAAATATCACTTTGTAACAAGAGAGGCAAATAGTTTTAAAAAATATTTTTGACAAAGGCAAATAGTTAAATTTGCTGCTTAAAAGGCAGTTGTACGATTATAAGCCATAGACATGTGATCGAAGTAGCGGAAGGGGACAAAATTTACGCTTATAAACCGAAGATAGTTTGTTTAAGACATCGATTAAACATTTTTATACTTGATGATATTTTTTAATACCGATTGTAAAGCACTTGGTTTTCATAAAACCGCTAGAAGCAGTTTATGAAAAACCAAACGGTTTTAGCTATTCTTCTTCTTACTGAATTAACCGAAAGTCGTTGGTTTTACGGGCTGCTTTCGATGGCTTTCTGTAAACCAACATAGACTGGTTTTGACATCAGAAAATAGTGCTCTCACTGATGTAAAACGTGGATTTTGGTAGATGTGCGGTTTAATGTGGTGGTCGGTTTCGGCATAGCTTTCACCACGTCCCTCTCACTCTCTTGTGCAGTGACCAACCAGGGAGTGGTACAGTTGCAGCTGCTGCTGCTCTGCACAATCTCGTCGTGTTCGAATTCTTTTCTTTAATCCTTTTCTCTCGTCCTTTTAATTTCAGGACGCCACGTATTGGTCGCTGATGCTGGTACAAATGACCAAATCGTAGGGTTTTTTTGAAAAGCAAATGAGGAGAGGATTATTGTAATTGATCACGTCGTTAGTCAAAAGGACACTAAATAAAGAAGCCAATCAAGGACGATCGCTGCACCAAACCTAAAATGTTTACCCGGTGATTGTGATGAGAGCGACCAATCGGCGAGAGTTATGGCAATTGTTTGAGCAATCAGACGATCGGCAATGGCATGTCATGTGATCTTTACGGAAGATGATAAACGTTGCATCATTCTCATTGTCCCCAAGCTAGCATTCATAATTGATATATATTCAAACATAAGAAACTGTCACCATCTCCAATTAGAACTGCAGCTCTTTATAATACTACTACACAGCATTTAGGGATAAAAAGAGGTTCAGACATTTAACTAATGACTAATCTCAGTTGTGCATACAAAAAACATGATAGAGGCAATGAGGCATTGAGCTTGGCTTGGATGTATAAATGCTAACAACGGATCAGATAATATATATGTAAGATGCAAATTAGCTAATTTGTCCATAGAACAGCAAGCTAGAACAGATTGTCATTCTCCTTGTCCAAGCTCCTTGTCATGCTACGGCCTTTCAGAGACAGACTGTTTAACTTCCTGGAGGTGACTGAAAATTCTGAACAGGCGTTGCTCTGAACATCTAATGGAGAGAGTGCAACCCTTTTGTAAGATGACATGCCTCCAGATCGCTGTCTCTGAATCTGGAATGGACTGTTGCAGCTCTGCCTTGCTTTTGCAGACTTCGTCAAGCTCATGTAACTCGGACCTTCACCATGTCCACCGTCGGATCTTGCTGGAGTTGCTGACGATGTCGATGCAGAGCTCACATCACACGGGAAGTCTGAAGAAGAAGCTGAGAGTACAGAAGGAGGCTTTGCTGCCACCCTGTTCCCTCTCATCTTAACTGAGCTTGCATTTGAAAGTTGGGCGCCAGCTAAGTTCAGTTCGCCACTGTTCTTGGAACACTTCAATTCAGCATGGCTTTGCTCCATGAGCCTGCTCTCCCAAGGCTTTGTTGCCATCCATCCTTCAATATAGCTCCAGTCGTGATTGCACCTATTAGACTCATGGTTCCTCAGAGATCTAGCAGGAGAGCTTGGCCTTGCACTTTGTTTTGAACTCCTAGGCTGAAAGGAAAATGGATGTGAGCAGCATGTTATATCAACTTGCGTCGTCCAGCGCAAGAGTTCCTCTTAATGATACAAAAGTATACCTGGTGAGAAAGCGCATAAGCAATTGCCCTTTCCCTCTTAGCCACAGCATCATGCCTCATGTGTATTTTCGATCTTACTTCAGAAACCGATCCTTGACTGTCACACCATTGTTCCTGCAATGCCACAATCTTTGACATGTTAATACGATATACATCTCATTTTAAAGCAAAATTCGCTTTTTTTCTCTCTAATTAAAACACCAAAAAATATATTCCTGTGTGGCCTCAGGACTTTTTAAAAGAACCAGCACAGTTCCAGCTTAGAACTTTGCCTGGCAATAACTAATTGCAAAAGGCGTTATCGGTCTTGTCAGCATTGCCTCTTCTTACCTAACAGGATCACTTCCAAGATCGATTCAAACATGTGTTGTCATTACGAGAGAGAAAACAACAATCTTAATGGACTCAATCATTACTAAAAAAGGAACCTTAATTGTCCTTATCAGTCCGAAAAGTCATTTTCAGGTAAAAGTACCCCCACCATATTAAGTCATACATCACTTTCTTCTTAAGGAATCAAATTAAGGCACCAGTACAAACCTCTCAAATTATAACACCTAGTAGTATAACTTAACTAAAAAGAACAATTTTCAATTTTCAAGCCTTCAAATGATCTCCAAATAAATACATCATTTTTGTATGTCAGTAAGACAACTATTTTGAGGACTGAATTCAAAATCTTACTTTATAACTTTGATTTGGATTGGTGCAAGCTCTATCTTGTTCTAAATACTTCCTTTTTCACAATATAAGTCATTCTAGCATTTCCCACATTCATATTGATGTTAATGAATCTAGATTGATGTTACATCAATATGAATGTGAGAAATGTTAGAATGACTTACATTGTGAAACGGAGGGAGTAGTTGCAATATTAAAGCCTACATGGGAGTGAATTCAACCACACACTCACACAGCCCATGGGCCATAGACGTACCAGTGTTGAGCTAGAGGCCCATCTTACATACCGATATAGGAAAATGGAAGGCACACTTCAATCTGACTCTACCAAATTCCACTCCCAAAGTCCCAAGAAATGGAGCAATGCCATCGAATTTGCAGAAATGGCATGCAGATTACCATTTATATATACTCCACTACACAAGTATTTCGATTCTTTAATCCACTGCACAGAGGAAGCGCCACCAATGCAATTTTTTGCATTCAGAAATTAACGCAAGAAGGATATAGCACTGCACGTATCAATCGTAAGAGAAGCACGCGGGTCAGGCTGTGTTCCCATGTACCTCTGCTTGTTTGATCGGGTCGGCGCGGCCGTCGCGCTCGCCGACCGCGTCCTGCGAGTCCCGGCCATCCGCCGAGCAGCGCGCCCGCCGCTCCCGCGCGCGCTCCTGCACCCGCAGCAGCGCGTTCATGCACTTGAGCGTCACGGCGAGCTGCCGCCGCACCAGCCGCCCCCGCACCAGCGCCTGCAGCCGCACGATGCCTCTCAGCGCCTTCAACGCCCGCCGCGCCTAACTCCACACGCCATTGACACACCACGCAAAGCACAGCATCACCACCACCGCGCCACATCAAGAGCAGCATCAGAAAAATCTGTGTCTTACCAAGAAGGCGCGGAAGGCCGCCTGGACGCGGACGGCGGCCCACTCCTGGCGGATGACGCGGAAGTCCCTGGGCGGCGCGCGGACGACGGCGGCGACGACCGAGCTGAACGCGTCGGCCTCCGACGACGCCGACTCCGACGCGTCCCCCGCGGTCGACGCCGACGCCGACGCCGACGAGCTGCTCCGCCACAGCCGGGTCCACCTCCGCCCCTTCGTCGTCCCCTCCGGCGCCGCCTTGAGGCTCACCAGCGACTTGATCCACTTCCCCGACGCCCCCATCGACGCTGAGAGAGCTCACAAACTCCTCCTGTGGGGGCAGCGCGAGGAGGAAGAAGAAGAAGCCAAGGCGAGAGACAAAATGGAAGTAGGAGGAGAAGTGGTGGGGGTAGGGGGAGTTAGCCGTTGTCTTTTTCGTCCACGACGACGCGAACTCCGCAGCAAACCGTTCCGTTCCGTTCAATTAGCGGTGGCCGCGTGGGGATTCAAAATTTGAACGGCGAGAAGAAGCCACAAGTGGCAAAGGTGGGACCCACCTTGGCGTCGCTGACAAGTGGGGCCGTGTGATGTGGTTTTCTCGGACGTCTCGGGCTTGGAGAAGGGGGGAGGAGGCGACGGCTTTCTCGGGGGACGTGTTAGGAGAGGCTGGCGCGTGGGGTCCGCGACATCGTGGGCCCATATGTCATGCAGATAGAGGTGGGGTGGCGTGGTGGTTGTGTCCAGTGTCCACTACGACGAACTGTGCGTCGGCACGATCTGGATCCTGGAGAGTGGACGAACTGTGCGTCCACTACGACGGCTTTCCCTCCTGTAGTACGCGTTGCCGACGACGGGGCGGACACGACACGGTGGGATCGCATCGCATGGGAGACCGTGGCACGGACGATCGAGAGGGCGAGTAGGCGACACGAGCTAGCCAGAATGGAGTTTTTCAATCAAAACTCGTCGAGCCTGAGGCAGTTGGACACGGCTCCCGGCTGAGCGGACTCGGGCTTCGACGACCACTACTCCCTCCAACGCATAAAAAACAAATTTAAAATCAGATGTGACACATTCTAATACTATAAATCTCGATATATATATATCCAGATTCGTAGTGTTAGGATGTGTCACATCCGATATTAGATTGATTTTTTTTAAAATGGAGAGAGCATAGCCTACCATGGCTGATGGTAAAACATATAACGAAACTACCCGAACTTGACTCGACAGTGTGACTGCAAGGACCGGACATATATGTTCCCGCCCTTCAGGAGCTTGAAGATTATTACGTTGGGTTCCACCTCTAGATTTCCGTGTCCAACTTTGACTGTCCGTCTTATATGAAATTTTTTTATAATTTGTATTTTCATTGTTGTTAGATGATAAAACATGATTAATATTTTATACGTGACTTGTCTTTTTAATTTTTTTTTATAATTTTTTTAAATAAGACGGACGGTCAAACGTTGGACACGGAAACCATGGTTTGTCTTTTTTTGGGACGGAGGGAGTACCCTCCAAGCCTCCAAGGGCTAAGAGTGTGGTGGCGACTCTGGTCAATCCTGTTATTTTCTAATTAAGATTCGGATTTTACATCGTTTTTTATTTGCATAGTTTTTTTTAACTACTAAACGGTGTTACGTACGAAAACTTTCTATATAGAAATTGTTTTAACATATTAAATATGTTAATTTGTTAAGTTTGTACTCCCTCCGTCCAATAATATAGCAACCTAGTATTGGATGAGACACTTCATGGCATAATGAATCTGGACCGCAGGAGTGTCTCGTACGTTATATTATGGGACGGAGAAAGTAATAATTAAAGACTTAATTATATGTTAAAATTGTTTTCGTTTTCGAGCTCAAACTCCCTCCCTGCGCGCCGCCACGAGCTCGGCCTCCCTGATGCGTCGCCGCATCCACACCTCCAGGCGAGAAGGCGGCGTTGAGCTCTCGTCGTCCTTGCCGTGCGAGACGCTTCGCGCCGCCGCCTCCAAGGGAGCAACTAGCAAGCAGCCTCGCTTCGGCGCCGCTGCCGCCACAGCCTACTCCGATCGATCTGTAATAGCGTGCATATTCACTGCATGTGTAGTTGTGTTGTGGTGATGTACACGCATGTGAACGTGAATACCTAATATGATGCCTTTGGTCCTTATGCAATCATGCTAATTGTTGTTGTTGATAGCCTGGATACTTGGATTACGGTAAGATTTGGTGCTTATTCACTGGTGTTTGGCTATTTCTTGTCTTGCTTTGCTGCTACCAAATCTATTGAGATATTGTCGGGTGTGGGCACCCGACGGTGCCCCATACCCGCACGGGGGCGGGAACGGGGGAGGGGAAAACACTCCCCCGCGTGCGGGGATGGGAATGGGGACGGGATTTTTTTTCTACTACGGGGACGGGACAGGATAGCAAAATCCGACGGGTGTAGCCTTGTAGGTGTAGCCCCCCCATTGCCATCCCTACTCGTATTCCCTCCCAGGCCCAAGTATAATGGGGCCACATTTAAGTACTTCCTTTCTGGCCCAACTAGAATGGGCTGAAGGTAACATCACAGTGCCGTTCCAGGCCGACTGTAATCGGACTCAAATCACCAAGTCGTGTGCTCCACCAGCGTGTCACTCTGAATCCATAAAAACGCTGTACACGAAAACTTCTGTAGCACAATTGCCATCTCTAGGAAAAATGTAAATGTGTGTGCAAGTGTGTCACTCTGAACCCCTGATCTGCGCTGCTCCATCAGTGAGTCCCATCCTCTCGTCACTCCACGAGAATATCTGCGTCACCAAATCACCATCAGAAAAACGGTTTTTTCTATAACGTACAAGCTCAAGATGGCTAATCTGAAGAGATCGTTCCAAAGTTGCATACTACCTAAACGGTGAAGGTAAATTAAAAAGGTCATCTGGTGGAGCCTGCCTGGATGATGGTTGGTTGCGTTGGAAGCAAAGATGTGATTGGAACATTTGGAGTTGATACGTTATCATATCTGCCGCTGAAAGCGACCATCGAAGAAGAAAAGCATGGAGATTTAGGGACAGGTTATCGGTTATCCCCAACGTCGGTTTAATGCACTAATCAAGGACTGACGGGCGCCGCGCCACGACGCGAGCAGGTTGACTTGCAGCAGGGCGTGGACTGATCAATCGATCGAGCAACACGTGAGGGCATCTGTGCGTCAATGTGCACCAGCAACGACAACGCTTAACTCTTACAAGATCCTCTGTGCCAAGCTCGATGATATACTCATGATATACTCCATATCCATGTGTACCTAACATTTCTTTATCGTACAATATACTTCCTCCGTTTCAAAATATTTGACACCGTTGACTTTTTAGTACGTGTTTGATTCATTCTTAAATATACTTTCAAGTACGCATATAGTTTTACATATTTCATAAATTTTTTTTAATAAGACGAACGGTCAAACATGTGCTAAAATGTCAACGGTGTCAAACATTTTGAAACGAAGGGAGTATATTGTAGCATCTCATGTACGCATGTACTCGTAGTATCATTATTCTGTCGTGTGCTCCATGGAAAAATGTCAACTGTACATACCACTGTATATGCACGTGCCATAGGACGGCTGGAGTAGCCGAGTAGCAACAGTGACTTGTACTCCAGTCCACCACATACTACAGTGTCAGCGTACGCGTCGTAGGCCGTCTTTTTTTTGGCGGAAGATGCCATGCAGATGCAGCAGCTGCAATCCCGGCGGGTCGGCTCCCCGCGCTGCTGCTGCTTGCCTGCTTGGGCGGCAGCTTGGATTCCCACGTTTTCCACCCACCAAGTCAGCCATCTCCCACCCCGCCTCGCCGCGTGTCGCCCCCGCCCGCCTCGCCTCGCCCGCCATTTTAACCGCTCGCCTCCGCGACGCCCTCGTGCTAGCCAACCCACACAAACCCCCGTACACCGCCCCAAAAACGCTAATCCCCACCTGTACACCACAGCCGCTCACCGAGCTCTCGCCCGCGTCGTCCGTTTCCGCGCTTTCCCCTGCTAGCCTCCGCGTGATAGATGGACGTGGCGGAGGCGGCGTCGCCGGGGGTGGGCGCGTGGGCGGCGATCCGCGGGTACTTCACGCCGGCGACGCTGTTCCTCGTCGTGAACATCGTCATCGGCACCATCGCGCTCACCTCCCGCACGCACCAGCGCCGCCGGCGGCAGGTGTACCAGTATCACCACGACGGGGAGATACTCCACCACGACCAGTTGCAACCGCCGCCGCCGCTGCTGCATCAGCAATACTACGGCGGCGGTGAGCACCAGCAGATGATGATGCAGGAGACGCTGTATGCTCCGCCGCCGGCGCCGGCGCCGCTCGCGCGGACGTCGTCCGTTCTTGACCGGCTCCGCTCGTTCGGACTCTACCGCTTCCGCTCCGGTGACTTCCCTCCCGAGTACGCTACTGCTGCGGCGGCGGCGACGAGCCAACTCCACCACCAGCGCACGGAGGAGGTGGTGTCTTCGTCTCCGGTGGATGAGGTGAAGCTGCAAGGGCACTACGCGAGGAGCCGGTCGGAGCCGGCGGCGGCGCCGGCGCAGGAGGAGAGGAAGGCGGCGTCGAGGCTGAGGAACTCGAGCTCCGAGGTGAGGAGGGCAGAGGTCGTGAGGGCTCCGGCGAGGGTGGTCGAGGCGTTCCCGGAGGAGGCCGCGGCCGCCGTGGACGCGACGGCCGAAGACGATTTCACACCGAAGCAGCAGCGAGATCTGCCGCTCCAGCAAGAATACGTTCCTCCCCCGGCGCCGGCGCCGGCGCCGCTCGCGCGCACGTCGTCCGTCCTGGACCGCCTCCGCTCGTTCACCCTCTACAGCTTCCGCTCCGGCGACCTCGCCACCGACGACATCCCCGCCGACGCAGCGGCGGCGGCAACGCCCGCACAAGCGCACTACGGTAGGACCCGGTCGGAGCCGGCGCGGGAGCAGGACAAGAAGGCGAAGAAGCAGGCGGCGTCGGAGGCGAAGACGATGACCAAGTCGAGCTCGGAGGCGAGGAAGGACACGGCGGCGGAGGACGCCGACGACGGCGGCGTGGACGCCAGAGCCGACGACTTCATCAACAAATTCAGGCAGCAACTGCAGCTTCAGAGGCTCAACTCGCTGCTCAACTACAAGGAGATGCTCAACCGCGGCAGCAGCAAGCAGTAGCTAGCCACACTCGCCAAGAACAACAAGAGCCTTGCAATTTCACAGCAAGCTCACTAAGCTCCCTGTTAATTATACTACTTAGCAATGCTAAATCAATCAAGAGATTTCTTATATATGTGGTGTTAATGAATTAAACTGTGAAATAGTTGCAAGATTTTTGCCTTAACAGAATTATCTTGTGACTGAGGATCATGCATTGTCTGCTTCAAATCAAGAGGTGAGATGAGATAAGTGAGCAGTGATGTTAACAGGAGAGGTGGGTCGGGCGTCTCTTTCGTTTGGGATTGAGATCTTTGTGAATTGTGATTATGCCTCTCTGACCTCGGAAAAAAAAACTACTCATAAATTTGGGAGCAAGTTTAGGATCTTGGGCACGGTGGCCCATGCAGGTGACCCATGAGGCCATGACTCCCAAGATGGATGAAACTGAGCTCTCATTCTCAGCATTAATCTGATGCTAGGATTAGTTGCTGTCCAAAGTTAAATGTGTTGTCTCTACCAAACCTGCAGATTTTTGCATACTGAGTGACTAGTCAGCACAAATAGTAAATACTTGTGTCTTTGTAAGCTATCATTCTATCAAGTGAACAGAATACTGGGATATACTAATAATTATATAAGATTTATGACACGTCAAACGGGCAGAATACTCGGATATATTCAGACGTCACAGTTCATCAGGTATTTGGCTACGTCTCTCACCTTTTCTCACAATTTCTTTTGTAAGGTCTTTTTCTCTCCCGATTTAACTTGTCATGCACCAGTAGTAGTAGTAACGAATTCAACAACCACCCTCCACATCTGACTCCACCCATGCAAAGCTCCACAGTTGCGACGCATCAAGCCGTTTGGATTGGCGGCTCCGGTGAACTGGGCACCAACCAGCTGCTCATGGTCAATTGGCCATAGGCCCCATAGCCAGTAGAACTGTAGAAATCGCCTTGTACAAACCGTCCACTCAGCCGCGTGCCACACACGCAGGTGGCAACGTCCACTGGACCACTCGAGAAGCGAAAATTTTGCCTACCGCGACGTGACACAATCTATCTTCTATCCATGCCAACCAACCTGACGACATGTGTTCCGGCATATTCTATCCGATCCGTGGCCATCGATCGGTACACGGACGGCCAGAGATTAAGCCACGTCACTGCCCAACGCTCTACTGCATGTCGGGGCAAAGTCGAGAGTCAATCTCGAGACGTCGATCAGTGTCTATATGAGAGGACAAAGCGTCGGTCTCGGCCTGATTGATACACAGATACAGTGCACACCTCTGCTTTCTCCTCTCCAGGTGTGTTCACCGTCAACTGTGTTGGCTGAGTTATCAAGACTCGAAGAGTACTCTCTCCGTTCCATAAAAAACGAATTTAGAATTGGATATGACATATTTCTAGTATGATAAATCTAGACAGATATACATCCAGATTTATAGTAGTAGAATGTATCACATCTAGTACTAAGTTGGTTCTTTATGAGACAGATGGAGTACCTTGTGTTGAACTGCACAAGGCTGTTGATAAGCTATAACGCCAACCACACATGGAAACCAGGCTCAGGTTTGCATTGGGATCGCGGTTCCTCGTTAAATTGTCCAAGATTACAGGATTGATTGGGTGTAAACAGTTGTGTTACAGTTCTACTTGAACAAACACGGTATTGTCAGATAACTCATTTTACAAACGGTAGCTACAGCTCAAACAAACAAAAGAAACAGTTACACTCTTCGTTGAGTAGGGGGAGACGTCAAGGGCTCAAGGCGATCACTTCTCAGTGACGCCAGCAGCTGCTTCCACCTGATTCGTCTCATCTTCCAACGAGGAGTACGAAGAAAACCTTCTCAGGGCAGATGCACTGTACAGACAAAAGCCAAGAACGGCTTCTACCGACGGGAGCAAACTCTTGGTGAAAGTGCACGCCGGGAAGCTTCCAAGCAAGAATGGAGTTGATCCATAGCACTATCTGAAACACAAGGTCCAGTTGTCAACCATGAAGCGAGCAACAAATGATCAAGTATTCAAGTGCAAGTTCAATTCAAGCCAGTAAGGCATACCAGGGGTTTTGGCTTGTTGAAATTCTATGCAGCTCAATCTGAAACTCATCAATCAGATGCTTTCAACTTCCGAGGCCTCTTGGACTGGGGTGGTGAGGGAGGTGCATCTATAAATCTTCCAGTGGTCTGGCGAAAATGTTACAGATGTAAATGATAAAACCAAGTAAAAGTAATCATATAGTTTTATAGAAGAAAACAAGTCCCTGATTGAATTCTAAAATATGGAGCATTCCAGAATGCAAACATTTTAGGACAGCAAGAATATGACTGTCAACTTCAACCAAAATGGCCATTAACAATAGAGATTGCACTTCATTTTGATACTGGATGATCCAACACACTGAAGCATCTTGTTTGATGTTTTAAATGGTATTGCCACACATAAGTAAAATCAACATATAGTTCCTGTCTGCATGTCCTATCAGGATGGTAAAGTACAAATGGATAGATTTCAGAAAATCAGAGCAGTTGAACTATGTCTCAATTCAATTTTGTCTCCCCTCAAACTAGATATTTAGAAGGTCAGCAGGATGTCCCACAGACACACATTAAAGATGAAACTATATTAAGAACATCATCACAGAGAGGATGAGAAAGAACAAACCTTCCGCTTGTGGTCCCGCTTGCCTGCTCTCTCACCTGAGGTAACATGAAACAAAAAAAAGTATAAGTAGTCCCTGATAAGATTGAAGAGGCAAGAAGAAAGCAAACCAAAATGTATTTTTCCAAATTACCTGCAAACCCAACAGTATCAGGAACAAAGGGTCTATCAACATCTCTATTAGCACGCTGCAAACAAACAATGTTATTAGCTAAAGAGCAACTAACAGTTTAATAAACTTTTTGTTTCAATCATATACTCATATTAACTGGTTCTGATTAAAGTTTTCTATATCTATACTAGTTAAAATGTTGGTAGTGGTGGTGTCTATTCCCACACCACCCCTACCACTAAAATTGGGCCCCACAATCTATACTATTGCACCACCTTTCAACAAATCCTCCCCCATTTCACTATTGGCTCCCCCCAAATTTCAAAATTATCTACTTGTTCAATAAGAAAAATCATAGTATTACTTAGACTAAATAAGTGTTTATTGATTGATTCAATAAGCTAGAAACTTAATTTGTTTTTCATTGCAATGCACGGGCTCTTAGGCAAACTACTTAAATCAAGGGAAAGTTTGAAAAACCCTGCCTTCTCACTTTGCCCCCCATGTCCCAAAACACCCCCCGAGTGAATACTTTGTCCACTTATGGAAGTGTTTATGGATTTTCCCTTAAATTAATATAAATATCACAGGCATAAATCTTCATGTATTGAAAGTGAGCTTCAGTTGCCACTGCTTGGCACTATCCTGTTAAGAATTCACTAAGATTTTATAAGAACAGCATTGTAGCCCAGTGGTCATGAAGCTGCCAGGAGCTTGGGCCAGCCTGTGTTCAAGTCCTCTCAGACAGGTTCTCTCGCCAATTTTCTTCTTTATCAGTCATAGATGCTAAGTCCCTCCTTACTATCCCACATTTTATTCATTCAAAAAGATCTCACTAAGATTTTCTAGTTCTGTTAGCTGTTAAAGCACTCCAACATTCCAAAGTGAGCATACTAGAGAAAGAGCTAGTTACCATACTTCTGTGAAGGGGGTCCATTTATGTAGAAATATACCTTAGGTGTGCTTGGTGCCTCTGTAAAGGAATTTTCTCTGTTAGCTGAAACTTCAGCTTCTTTATTTTGCAGCTGTTAACACGAAAGGCAAAAGATAATGATGTATTAGATGAAAGGAAAGAAATTAGAGCAAATAAGGCATATACCATAAAAACTTTCCCTCTTTGTATATACACCATTGAAATAAATGAGTTCGCTTTAATACCACCCAAATTTCAAAATTTCCTCAAAATACCATTCCATTGCCTCTTGTCATCTCTCCATAAGGGTTTGGTTCAATTCCATCACATTATTGGAAATTTTGGTTTCTCTACCAAAAGACCCACCACCTTAGCACTATCTGAGTATATGCCATTTATCTTTCGTGGTACACTTTATTGGCATTGGAAGATAGTACTAGTAAGATTTAGATAAAGCGGTGACCTCTGAATGGCAACAAGCTAAGCCAAACAAGGCCTAATGGGGAACCTATTTGCCGAGGCATGACACTATCTACAAATACAACACTGCCGATACCATTTGAGAGAGCACCTATCAGACGAAATCTGGACGTGCTACCACGATACACACCTCATGGTGTCCTTCTGGATGACTGCGCTGTAACGGTGATCGTGTGAACTCTACAAGTGAGGTGCAAGCTTAGTGAAGTTGTAATGCTTGCATCTAATTCCTAGTAATACCACATATATCCCTAGAATGCTAAAATGACCAAGCAGTGCTGGCACTCTATCAACAGGAAGGTGTTTGCTTGTGATAGAACTTCCTTGGGGACAACAGTGGCGTGTGCTCTCAGCAGAGAAGCAGGTGGGAAGGGAGGGTGGGTCAAGGTGCTTGGGGATTATGTCAGCCTGCTCTTTATGGGGAAGGGGTTGGTTTATGCGTTAGGAGGAGTGATAGGAGGCAAGGGAAGGTACTTGGAGGAGATTTGTGAAGTTATTAAAGTGAACCTAACTGTTTCAATTACAATGGTATCTAAAGAGGGAAGATATTTTGTATATACCTAATTTTCTCAAGAAAGTAAATCGCTATAACCAACATTTATCATCGATTTCCCATCTTTTAATGATATTCTTCAATAGGTGCTTCAATAAAACAGTGCATACATTTGGGATGGAAGCCTAAGTGCAAATTGTAGATTAAAAGCATGTTGCTAATCGCTACTCTAAGAAATGCTAACTTCAGGAGCAGCATGGTTATCGCAAGCTTCCTAAATGTACCTGCTTCTGTAAGTTAAGCAGTGTAAGTATCTCATTCCGTAGTTCAAGATGCTCGACGCAAACTGCTTTCGTCGGGACCTTGGGCTTCAAATTCACCTACAGAGAAACAATGCATACAATTTCATGTATCTAATTGTGTTATTAAATTATAAAAGAAAATGCACTGCAAACCTACTAGACCCAAAAAGAACTTGAACAACATCAGTTCGGTGCATATCAAGTACAGATTGATGTCTAGGAAACAAACCCCGAGGTCTTGTAAAGTCTGGTCAACCCTTTTGATAACTCTAAGGCCCGCCGAGGCACTTGCTGCTTGGACCATTTGATCAAGCGCTTGGGTTCTCAAATACACTCGAAGCTGTAAAAGAATGTATAGCGAGTAAAAAACATCTAAAAAGAACAGTGTGAAGAGTGATATACCAATTTTCATGTGATTCATAGGCATCCACAGTTAATGAGAACAAGACCGCTAGTAATATAATTAACATAAGGTCTGCTTGTGATGAGTTCGGCACAATCCTAATAACAGCCACCTCCCATGCAATGAGCAAGATAACTTACACTATCTTTGTTTTTCAGGAATAAATGGGACATGCTATAATTGCTCAGGAAACATAATTTTACACTTAGTTTAATAGTGACATTATGGCATGGTAAGATGAAGGATAGGACAATGTGGTTTCCACAGAATGGGGCAAAATATGGTTAGCTTTAAATAAATAGAACAAAATGTCTACTGTAACAAACAAAATGTTAACTCATCGGCAGCTCAATATAAGAGACAGAAAGCAACAATCCATAGTTTCAGAGTTACCATTCGCAGTGAAGCAGGTATGGAGTTATTCACTGCTGCAGCTGGAAGTGTAGCAGTTGACAATGGGTGTGTGTTGCTCAAGGGAGATACACCATCAACATTATCAAAGTGTGCCAGTGCTCCCGCTTCCTCAGTATGCTATAGACAAAGCCTCAAACGCTTAGAGACATGTAAATTCCAGACCACTGATCAGATAGATCAGGCAGACTATATCACTTCAAACTAACTACCATCAAAATTCATAAGGTTTATTAGTGAACAACACTATCATCCCTGCATGACAGCAGGCATCTGGGAAAGCCCAAAAGGCTAAGCGCTATTTGCTTGAACAGATCGGAGTCTCATAGATATCTAGATGATTTGACATCTCTTGCATCACAGAAGGAATTCTAAAAAAAAACTCATTATTTGCAATATAATGCAAATTGCCACCAGAACATTCTTGCTTGAGATTACTTTTGTGGTGAGATGTATGGAATTAAATGTGCTGATTACTCACTTTGCTAGCAGCACGAGTTTCCATAATGCGTTTTGCTTCTGCTAAAATCTGAAAAGGTAACACTTGTAATCAGACATAAAACATTGGAATCTAAGGAATGATAAACTGCACAAGTCAGCTGCTCATAATACTATCATCAACAAATTTCTCACCTCAGCATCCTTTCGTTCTTGCTGTTTTGTCTGGGAGAGAAGTGCAGATAAAGCACGCTTTCTCTCGGTCTCATGAGCAGCATTGAATGTTTCCTGAGAAGAAACCCATATGGACAGAAATAAGTACAAGGGCAAACATAATAAGAAAACAATTACTCAATTATTCATAGGTTAGATCAACATGTACCTTCACAAGGGGATTACCAGCAACTTCATCAAATGACCGAGCTCTAGCAATCAGAAGAGCACGAGTAACTGCAATAACAAAGAATATACTGGTGTAGAATTCACAAAAGCAAATAGTAATGCACAGACTGAATTGTTGAGCATAGAATTATACCAAACTTGAAATATAATAATTGGCAGCTTCAGCAGTTGACTGATTATTCTAAATAACAAGCCATGCAATCACCTTGTTCTCATAAAAGAAGGGCAGGGGATGTATAATGGGACAATGACCAGAATATTGCTTATATCAATTTGTGTGCGTGTAACCTTTTCTTAAGTCCCCATTATACATAAGTAATGTGAGCAATATTCTGGCTGTTATGATAAAAACAAATTCGGTGGAACGGTTACGGAGCTGACAATTTACTAACTGTTCTTGTTTCATATATTGAATGGGAAAATAAATGGATATGATAACCACAGTAAATCACTTGTTGGTTTTTGACCAAGTAAATGCATGTGTAGAACATTAAAAATTAACAACAAAGGAGAATTTTCTGTGGTGGACACTATCTAAGCATAGAGGTTATATCAAGATATAAGGTACCAGAATAATAACGGCTCTTCAAATCCTCCATGCTGCGATCAGTTGGGAACCTATCAACTATTACTATGAAGCGAAGGTCAAAGCGTTCACATAGTTCAAATAGTTTATCTGTTTCCTCCCTGCTCCATGCCTGAAATGAAATCAACAACTGATTATTTATAGAAGGGCTTTCAATAAAATTGTTTGCAAATATAATATTTTCAAACAAAGGCTTGCAACTATTCGAAATGAATGCTCAAATGCCACATAACAAGCATATAAAGATGAGATGATAACATAATTATGTATAATTTTCGAACTTCCCAACATTGTTATCAATTGTATTCAAGAGCGCAATGATATCCACAGAAGGTTTTTAGCAATATAAGATTTTCAACAAAAGATCAAACATAGCATTTATAAAAATTTATTATTGCAACTAGTACCTACAGGATCGGTTAAATACTTCTCATACTCCTCATCGGTGTATTTGAGAACATCCGCCTTCTGCAATAGGAAAAAACAAGCAAAAACTGAGTAAGCATCAATGCAGGATATGAAGGATGTACCCAACACAATATACTTCTTACCTTGTTGTATTTTGCAAAGTGATAGTCACCAGTGGGTGGAGCACCATTTACAACTCTAACCTGAAAGATCAAAAGGGTGACTTTCTGAGTTTTTTTTTCTAAGATATGTATGCCATACTACAAATTCATGAGAAACAGACCCAATGGTAAAGTTGAAGGTTGTCAGTCCGTGCAGAGGACGTGAAAGGTAGCCACTGCCATGCTATCTGCAGAAGTACTTCAAATGGTCAGATTTAGTACAAGCTCCATCAAAATGGGAGCACGAAACACCTTGCTGCAATTACCCATATGACTCAATGGACATGAATATGTGAGGTGGATTCAATCTGCTTATTTGGGTTGACCACCAATTTCAAAACAGAAGTTGCACATGATCAAATCATCATTTCATTTGTCCCATATTAATCCCATGAGCACCTTACCCTTAATGCCTAATTCCTAATAGGTATTAAGTATACGAGTAGCTAAACTCTCAGCTCAGTTCATGTGCTTCTACTAGAGTTATCAAATTTTCAGCACATATCAGCTCACCTTCTCCTTCTCAACAGCTGGTCGCCGCTTCAGGTGCGAAGCCTCGATGGTCGGCATGAGTGGAGCCATCCCCACCCCTCCAGTGAGCGCGTACACCTGGATCATCAACAACCATCAGCACTTCAGCAGCAACGAGAAACGCGGGGTCGAAGTGTGCGGGAGGATGGCGGATTAGGCCGCGCCGTACCTCGCGCGAGACGCCATCGGGCTTCCGCTGCGGCTCCTTGGGCGCGCGGGGCTTCTTCTCCTGGACGGACGGGAAGGCGGTCTTGGGGAGGCCGAGGATGTCCTTCGCGTCCATTGCCGCCGGACGGAGGAGGCGGACCTAGGGTTAGGGTTTTGGTCTAGTGCGCCATGGGAGAGAGATCGAGGTAGGCCGAAGCCGCCGCCTGCGTCTGCGTTGCGTCGAGCTGAGCTCTACCTCAACTTGGCCTCGCGAGAGAGATGGATTGGAGAAGGGAAAGCCTGAGATTGTATGGGCCTAGTCATATTGGGCCGGCCCAACTTCTTATGGCCTTTGCTAGACCGAGTCCGAGTCCGACTTCTTGGCACGGTAGCTTTTTTTATTTCCTCTTTCCCGTGTCTCACGGCGAACCAGCGAGGCCGAGGCGCGGAGCTGAGCGGAGGAGGAGACGCGCCACCCCTCACGGCGCTCCGGCGAATCGGCGGTGAACACCGGCGGTAATGCCCCCCTCCCCTTCTCCCTCTTGTAGACTGCGTCTTCCGGCCGCTTGGGGTGGGTAGGATTCTGCTTGTTTGCTCTCGATCGTTGGGCGTGGAAGCTGGGGTTTGAATCGGCGGCGAACACCGGCGGTAATTCCCCCTCCCCTTCTCTCTCTGGTAGACGCACCTTCTCTCTCTGGTAGGCTGCGTCTTCCGGCCGCTTGGGGATGAGATTCTGTTTGCTTCTAGCATCGTCTCGATCGTTGCCTCGTTGGGAAACTGCCCTTCGGGTGAAGGGCATTTAGGTAATTCACATTAGTACTAAACTTTCAATGGAAATATAAGGATGAGTTTTTTTTTATAAGATAGAGGGAATATGCCATATCTCATAATAACTTATTTTGGGAGACAGAGGGAACTTGCATATTACCCTCTCAAATATAGTAGTAATTATTTTTGGGACGGAGACGATAAAAATATATTCTTTGTGCGTCGAGAATCTCCCCCATCCTCTCTGCGTAAAAAAAAAAATTCTTCCCGTATTGTCTCGCCTGTGCCGATCGAGCAGGAAAATTTGATAATTTAACACTTTTTTCATTGTCCAATTGTTTTAGTTGACACTTGTGAGAATGACATGTGGGATCATCTGAGTGAATGAAAGTGGGACAGGATTTCAAATAATCAAAACCCATTTTAAGGAGTGTTAAATTATCAAATCTCTCATCGAGCATAGTGCAGGGGAGAAGCCAGGGAAGAGGGAGGTGACGTCGTCCTGGTGAGCATCCACAGCTGGGTCCTGGTCTTTTCTCCAATAAAAGTTGGATGGAGATTAAGATTTCCGTTGCATGTTTTTCAAATTGCTAAACGGTACGTTTCGTGTGAAAACTTTTTATATGGAAGTTGCTCTAAAATATCATATTAATCTATTTTTCAAGTTTGTAATAATTAAAACTCAATCAATCATACGTTATTTGGCCTGGTTTAGTTCCCAATTTTTTTCCCAAAACATCACATCGAATATTTGGACACATGTATGGAGTATTAAATATAGATTAAAAAAACTAATTGCAAAGTTATGGGGGAAATCGCGAGACGAATCTTTTGAGCCTAATTAGTCTATGATTAGCCATAATTGCTACAGTAACCCACATGTGCTAATGACAGATTAATTAGGCTCAAAAGATTCGTCTCGCGGTTTCCAGGCAAATTATGAAATTAGTTTTTTCATTCGTGTCTGAAAACCCCCTTCCGACATGGATATGACACCTAAAAATTTTCTTTTCGTGAACTAAACAGGCCTTATATTATTTTCTTAGGGCTGTTTTGGATTAGTGCCAAAAACGTGCCCTACCAATACTTTGGTAGTTTGAACAGTGTATCTGGTGATTTTGGTTTGAAGCCAAATCATTGGCATTGCCAATGCCCAATTTGATATTTTCTATATTCTACTCAATGCTTGGTTCTAAATTGGCCTCAAACCAAATACAACTCTACCCTACCAAAAAATTGGTAGTACCAAAACTTGCCTAGGTTTTGGCACTACCAACATTTTGGTAGGGTATTGAACCAAACAAGCCCTTAATTCCACAGCCTTGAACCTACAAAAGAAAGTTTGGGGGATTCAACTGAACCCCCATGTCCCAAGATGGATCCGCCCATGGCGCCAGCGCCGCCGCCCTCCACCCACTCCACCGCACCCTTCGCAACTCCGGAGGTGCGTTCTGTCGCCGCCAGACGCCCGCGGCCTGCGGCGGCGAGCATCTCCGCGCGCCTACGCGACGTGGCGAGGAGGAGGAAGGATAGGCCTCGTCGCTGCCGGGCACAGGTGGCTCCCCGCGGCGGCGACCGCATCAGCGCCCTCTCCGACGATGTGCTCCTCCTCATCCTGCGGCGGCTCGCCACCCGCGCCGCGCTCGCCACCGCTATGCTCTCCAAGCGCTGGGCCCGGCTCCTGCGCTGGCTTGACACCCTCGATTTCATGGTCGGTGAAATACTCCCGCCGCGCTACCGTAGGTGCATCCAACTCCACCAAGCGGCTGGTTTTGCTGCGTATCCCGTTGATGTCAAGGTTCTCGTTGCAAGTATCAAGCGACACGAGCGCCTTGCCATGCGAAACATAGCGGCCTCCATCAATAGCTTGTTAGACGCGGATGGCAGTGATGAATGTGCTGGCCAAGCTCGACGGAGGGCCCGTGTGCTGCGGGTGGAGTTCTTTGCGACTCACTACACCGATCTTATGAACCGATTGATCACCAAGGCATTGGATGCTTGGGAAGTCGAGGATCTTGAAGTTTTTGCTAAGCCTGCATATTGGTCTGAGTGGTCTCTGCCGCCGATTGTCCACAGATTTCCTCACCATGGTCTCTGCATTGAGCCCCACAAGTCCCGGCTGAGAAGCTTGAAGCTAGGTGGTTGTATCATTCCGCCATTGCAGGGGTTCCACGCTCTCACCAAAATGACCTTGCAAGACTTGCGAAACTCCGTGGCCAAAGCATCCTATGAAGATGTGTTTAAGTCATGCCCCCAGTTGCAAGTGCTACACCTCAAGTCATGCAGGTGGGCGGACCGGGGCATTCTGGTTATCGATTTCCCAAAGTCAGGGATTAAGCAGCTTATTGTGGAGTTTTGCAGCGCCATTGCACTACACTCTCTTGGGATGCTTGAGAGCATAGCTATAAGGGAGACTTGGGTCAGGTATAAGCATTGCTCCTTCTCGCATCTTATGCACATGAACCTTAACTTACGCCATGGTTACCGTAATCGTCTGCGTGACTTATGTATTGGTTGGGACTTGAACATCCAGCAGTTTCTTGGATTCACCAAGAACATAACCAACCTGGTTCTACGATTCACTGGATATGGGAGATGGTTCGTGCCATCTTGCCCCTCGTTGTTGCTGGCTAATCTCAGAAGGCTCCTGATTGCTGATGTGCCTTCATCATGGGATGTCTCTTGGCCTCGCCTCCTACTTGAAGCAGCACCATGCCTGGAGAGCCTTCACATCCATATTATCCCTTGGGATGACGATTCTTTTGATGAAATCATTTGGCAACCATCCACTTTGCAGCATGAAGAACTAAAAGAGTTGGTTGTAATTGGTTTCGAGGGAACAGAAAGACAGATTTACTTTGTTAACTTTGTGATGGAAGTATCAACAACATTGCAGCTTGTTGCTCTATTTAGATATGGGCATGTTCAAGAAATGGGGCGTTGGGACTGGAAAATTGTGAGGCAGCAACACCATTGGAATGATGAGGAGAAAGCCCAAATTCTGAACCAGTTTGCTGATAGAGATTCTTGCTCAATAACTCCAGTTCAAGTAGTTGTAGAGTGATCTGTTATGTTAATGTTTTACTTGTATACAAGGCTTTAAGTTATAAAGCATGCATCTGTTATGTTACTTGTATACAAGGCTTTAAGTTATAAAGCATGCATCTGTTATGTCAGTGTGTTACTTGTTTACAATGCTTTAAGTTATACTGCATGCATTATGATCTTAATTTATTTCTGTGCGACTTTTTATAAGTTACTTTTACAGTAACTCTGTTTTTGTTATTATGCCTTGTATGCATGTTCTTTTGTATTTAAGTGGAGCCTTCTGTTTGTTCTCTACTCCTCTTCTCTAAGGTTTTACATTTTTTTAGAGGTTCTCAAGTTTTACTTTTGCATCATAGGACACCAAGTCATAAATTTCATGAGAGGTATGTCTTTTGTAACTGACGTGAACAAGATGATTAGTGTTCATAGATTCTTATGACAATGGGGTCAATGTCTCACTGAGTCACCGATCATATTTTGTTGTGCAAGGGGATGTGCCTTGATAATTAACGACTTCCGTGTACAGGATATTCATTAGAATCATTTATAAAAGATAAAATCAAACTAACTAATGTGCAGTTTAGTTTCATTCTAGGACCGCTTCAACTTGGTCCATTGAACAACAAACCACCTGTCTGATCTGCTCCTGCACGGTGAGCTTCCCCTCGTCACTCCAGGTATATTTCTGGCTTACCATCTCCTATTCACCTAGCCTCTTGTCCTTGACATATTCATGCTTGAGCAGAACAACACGGCGCAACGACCATGATATGCCTCACAAGCTGAACCTTTCTTTCTTTCTTGATCTGAAAACCAATGACCACCAACTCCTCCAGATGAGAATGCAGTGCTCTTGAGGGCTCCTGCTCCCACACTATCTCCAACTTCCGACGAACGGCCATCTCATCATCGTCTTCACAACGTTGGGAAAAGTGGACGTGGAGTCTCTCAAGCGATGGAGCCTCCTCAACAAGGGCACAGATCCATGTGGCATCCCAGCGCGGCGGCATGTCCACGACCAGCAGCTTCCTCAGGCTGGGCATCTCTAAGAAAGGACTCTCCGGCGTGACCCACATTTGAGGTCCAGTTAGCCGCAGCATGAGATCTGTCATGTTGGCCTTGCAGAAATAGCTGAGCATGGACAGCACGGCTTCACGCTTCCACGTCTCCAATAATGGCTGCAAACCATCCCCTTCCTGTTGGCCTATGTTGAAGGTGAGTTACGGCACCACGTCACCCCCTTCTGCCCAGGGATTTTGTGCCTGCTGCAAATATGTGTGTCTCCATCAGTTGTGATCCTTTCATGGATCTGGCTTCTTGGTCTTTGCTGATCTCTGTTTCTTGACTTGAATCCCCATTATCTGATTTCTTTTTATTTGTTCTTTGTGTGTGTGTGTGCAGGACAGCAGGAGTGAGAGGGTCACAATGGTAGAGAGCATCTTGCAGATTGGTTGTATGGTGAGCAGATGAATCTGTGGTAATGCCTTGTCCAATAATTAGTAAATCTTTGTTCACTGCAAAATACAAATTTATATCCCTGGCTCCTCCCCTCCCAAACGCGATCGCACTGAAGTCCCCATCTCCTTATAGAGTAGATTATGATAGTGTACTTTTTCCACTGTTGTGTTTAGTAGTATTGCCTTCAGCAATGCATCTGAAGCTGTTATGATCCAGTGTTCAATCAATCAAATTTAATAGATAACAAAACATTAGCGAGAATTTGGATGTCGTTGATATTGGTTGTCGTTTTTCTATTACTGTGATATGAGTTTAGATCATTTTATTTTGTTGAATATAAGCTAGCAAAGAAAACTGGGATTAGCTCAATTTTTTTGGCTTAGGATAACATATGCCAGAGAAGAAACTTGTAACTAATTAAGTGTGCAGTGGTAGCTCAATTTTCTTGCATATGCTTTGTTGGATCTCATTTTTAGTTTGAATTGCTTAATGACTATAAGTAAGTTAATTATAATCAGACACCCTTTATTTGGGGATAACGACTGTGTTTACTTCAATAAATAAGAAAGTATCATTTTTGTGGCAAGCAATTTTAGTCTTATTGAACTGTTACCAATACTTAAGCGCACGAGTCCATTGATATTACAGAACCCCTCAGTTTTATTTACAATGAAGGGTTGTTATTGACCTGATTTTGTTTAAATCTTGAAGAGTTAGGAGTAGGAAATTGATGGAGCTGTTGCTTGCCTTCCCAATGCCCCCCAATCTAATCATTGTACATTCCACAAGAGCTATCTAATCATTATACTGGCACATTTCAGAAGTAAAAGGATGCTCAATTTCAACATTGAAATCATATCTATTGCTCAATTACAGATGTGATATGGTACCCCACTTGATTTATCGACTGAATGGGTGTTCTTGTGTGTTGCGTTGTAGGGGCGCAATGTGATTATTGAGAGATCCCATAGGTCTCTCAAAGACCCAAAGTCACAAATGGAGTAACTGTTGCAAAAAAGCATTGAGTTTGAGCACAGCGCTAAGAATGTTGGTGCAAACCTGGTGAAGCAAGTTGCTGAAGCTACTAATAAGGTCGCAGGAGATGGTATGGGACCTGAGTTGTAGGAAAATCCTGTACTTGAGTAGCCATATGAACTATCTATTCGATTGTGCTTTGAGCATAGCAGATCAGCAGTCCATCTGATTTCTAAGCGTACTCAATGCCAATTCGCCAACGAGCATAGTGTTAACCTGTCTTTTCCGCTATGTGCGGTTAATGTTTTTTCTCAACTAGTAGTAATGAATATGTTGTCATGATAGGTTAATTCTTATGGCATGAATCAAAATATTGATTGTTATAGCATTAGATGGTAAGGACCAAGTTCTAGTAAATTCCTGAATTTTTTTTAACTAAATTCATGTACTCTTTTTTTTTCGATAACTAAATTCATGTTCAGCAAATCAGCAGCAGTTCATCTGATTTCCTAGTATAGGGCCTATTTTCTGCCAGAAACTCCCCAAACAATTCAGATTTTCACTTCGATTTTTAAAAAACCATATTTGTAAAATTTAGAAAATGAACTAAAAGTAAACCCAGTTTTCCAGATTCTCATCCGTACAGTACCTATAGCAGCCCCAAGAAGTCTACTGGGCCTATGTGTACATGGGCTGACATCAGGGCAAGAGTTCTTGTCGCTTTTCGCTACTGGTACGTGCGGTTCGTTGCCGCCGCGGCCGCGATTGCGATCTCAGGCAACCTCGCCGCCGCGCCCTCCGCGACACTCCTCCGCCATGGCTAGGAGGAAGGGGAGGAAAGGTGCGTTCTACCGGCGCCGCCACCGGGATCCCGCGACCTACGGAGACGCCGCTGGGAGGAAGGGGGCGGCGGCGGCGCTGTACTGTCTCCGTCGACGCCGGACACCCGCGGCGGCGCCCTGCGACGGCGACCGCATCAGCGACCTCTCCGACGACGTGCTCCTCCTCATCCTGCGGCGTCTCGACACCCGCGCCGCGCTCGCCGCCGCGATGCTCTCCACGCGCTGGGCCCCGCTCCGTCGCGAGCTCGACGCCCTCGATTTCGTGGTCGGCGACGTACTCCCGCCGCGCTACCACAGGTCCGTCCAACTCCACAAAACCATCGCGTACAACGGTGACGCCAAGGCTCTCGTCGCCACCATCAAGCGGCAAGAGCGCCTCGCCATGCGAAACATGGCCGCCTCCATCGGCTGCTTCCTCGACGCGGATGACAGCCATGACCGTGCCGGCCGAGCTCGTCGTCGTCGTCGTCGGATCGGCAGGCTGCGGGTGGAGTTCTTTGCCACTCACTACACCGATCTTATGAACCGATTGATCACCAAGGCATTGGACGCTTGGGGAGTCGAGGATCTTGAGGTTTTCGCCAAATCTGCTTATTGGTCTATACCGCCGGATGTCCACAGATTTCCTCACCATGGTCTCTGCAATCAGAAGTCCCGCCTGAGAAGCCTGAAGCTAGGAGGCTGCATCATTCCGCCATTGCAGGGGTTTCAAGCTCTCACCGAATTGACCTTGCAAGACTTGCAAAACTCCATGCCCAAATCATCCTACGAAGCCGTGATCAGCTCATGCCCTCAGCTGCAAGTTCTACACCTCAAATCATGCCGCTGGGTGGGTCAGGGAATTCTGGTCATCGACGCCCCCAGGTCAGGGATCAAGCAGCTTACCGTGGAGTTCTGCAGCGTCATCGCGCTACACTCTCTTGGGATGCTCGAGAGAATAGCTATCAGGGAGACCTGGGTGAGTTACAAACATCACTCCTCCTTCTCGCGTGTTATGCACATAAACCTGAACTTACGCCATGGTTACATTAATCGTCTGCGTGATTTATGTATTGGTTGGGACTTGAACATCGAGAGGTTTCTTGGATTCACCAAGAACATAACGAACCTGGTCCTACGATTCACTGGATATGGGAGATGGTTCGTGCCATCTTGCCCCTCATTGTTGCTGGCTAATCTCACAAGGCTCCTGATTGCTGATGTGCCTTCATCATGGGATGTCTCTTGGCCTCGACTCCTGCTCGAAGCAGCACCATGCCTGGAGAGCCTTCACATCCATATTACCCCTTGGGATGATGAGCATTGTGATGAAATCATTTGGAAACCATCCACTTTGCAGCATGAAAAGCTGAAGGAGCTGGTTGTAGTTGGCTTCGAGGGAACAGAGAGACAGGTTTACTTTGTTAACTTTGTGATGGAAGTATCAACGGCATTGCAGCTTGTTGCTCTGTTTAGATATGGGCGTGTTGAAGAAATGGGGCGTTGGGACTGGAAAATCGTGAGGCTCCAACACCATTGGAGTGATGAGGAGAGATCCCAGATTCTGAACCAGTTTGCCCATAGAGATTCTTGCTCCACAACTTCAGTTCAAGTAGTTCTAGAGTGATCTCTTATATTAATGTGTTACCTGTATACAAGGCTTTAAGTTATACTGCATGCATTTTGATCTTACGGAGTCACTGTTTGTCTTATGTTTATGCGCATTCATACCGCTTATTAGCAACTAAACTGGTAAAACTTTTTTATACCGTTTTAGCCTAGTTTTCCCTAAGTAACTGTTCACTGTATTGTTTGTTCTCTTTTCCTCATTAAAATGAGACACCTTCTTCTATATATAAAACGTCGATAACAGCCTGACCATTAAAAAAAAGACATTTTTATATATGTTATTAGCGATTCAAAAGCAAATGTTGTAAAATAAAATATGATGAAGAAAACCACAAAAGCAACTTAAAAAATTAGTTCTAAAATTTAAATTTTGACTTTTAAGTATAAGCGAAAATATATTGCTCTTAATTTATTTGTGTTACTTTTTATGTGTTTTTTTGCACGAACTCTGTTTTTTTTTATTTATACATATCCGTTTGTATTTAGTTGAAGCCTTATGTTTCTACCTGCCATCCAGTTTCGTTCTCAAGTTTTACTTTTGCCTAATTTAAGCCGATTTTCCTTCTGCTAGTCGACTGGCGGGGGGAGCAAAATCGAGCACTCCCCTACATACGCGCACGTGTGCCCCCCGGGCCCCACCATTTGTCATGCCCCAACCTGCTATGTGTCTCCACAAAAATGTTTTCACCTAGTGTACTCATAATGTTTCACTATATATAGATTTAATGTTGTAGTATTGTAGTACTGTACAAAATTTGTCCTAGGGGTATTTTGGTCATTTGAACAAATTTATACAGTGCTAACGGAGGTTAACCGGACGGCGATGGTAAATCGTAGAAGTTAAGCAAAAGTCGATGACATATTGTAGAACATGACAAAGTCAGTGACAAATCATAGACAAGTTAGTGGCATATAATGGATTGTCTATTTCACTAGCGATATCAGTCACCAAAGCAAGAAGTCGGGGTCTCGGGGACCATTTTGTCATTTTGTCAAACTGGACCTAGGCCCATTGGACTTCTTAGGCCCATGGACCGTACGTGGAGCCGAAGCTTCCGGAACCCAAAACCCTTCTTCCCTAGCAAAACCCTCTCTCTCTCTTCTCGAATCGAAATTGCGAAGCCGCAAGCAAAGCCGCCGGAGGAAGGAGCAATCGCGAGTACTCGCCACCATGTACCGGGCGGCGGCGGCGGCGGCGTCGTCGATTTCGAGGTCCTCGTCGGCGCTGCGGAAGCAGGTAACCGGCGCGCTACCTCCGCCTCCTCCTCCTTCCCACCTGACGCATCTCTTCCGGGCGACGCTAACGGACGGGGACTCTTGCTTGCGAGGCAGCTGTCGCGCGGCGGTTGCGGGGAGCAGCGGCTGTGGGCGCGGGGGTATGCGGCGAAGGAGGTGGCGTTCGGCGTCGGAGCCCGGGCCGCCTTGCTGCAGGGCGTGAACGACCTCGCCGACGCCGTCAAGGTCACCATGGGCCCCAAGGTTCGTGCTCTCTGACAGACTCCGAGATGCGTGGATTGGTTGGGGAGAGTGTTGCAGCGATCGGGCTGGATCTAGTGGTGGAAGCGCTAGATTTTCGCACTCGATTTGGCGACTGAATGGGCGTGTTTGTCTGTGTCGTTGTAGGGGCGCAATGTGATTATCGAGAGATCCCATAGAGCTCCCAAAGTCACAAAGGATGGAGTCACGGTTGCAAAAAGCATTGAGTTTGAGGACAGTGCTAAGAATGTTGGTGCAAACCTGGTGAAGCAAGTTGCTGAAGCTACTAATAAGGTCGCAGGAGATGGTAAGGACCGAGCTCTAGGAAATTACTTTACTTGAGCTGCCATATGAACTATATATTCGATTGAGCTTTGAGCATAGCAGATTAGCATCCCGTTTGATTTGTAAGCCTACTCAATGCAAACAAGCATATTGTTAATCTGTTTTTTCTGCTATATGTGTTAATCCTTCTTGTCAGCTAGTAATGAATGTGTCGTCAGGATAGGTAAATTCTGATAGCATGAATCAAAATATTGATTCTTAAGTAAACTCACTTGAGTGTGATGCTCAGTGACTTAAGTTCTCACAGTGGATAATGGCGGCAATAGTTTCTGATATGTGTGGTTTTCATGTTCTGTTTTTTTTTTTGGGGGCCTCATCGCAAACATTATCAACCCTATGAATAGCATAATTACTAGCATGAATATAATATTCAGTGTCACTCACTGCATTTCTGGTTGTATGGGGTAACAGGTACCACTTGTGCAACTGTACTTACACAGGCTATTCTTACGGAAGGCTGCAAGGCTGTGGCAGCAGGGGTCAATGTTATGGACTTACGTAATGGCATAAACAAGGCCATAAGTTCTATCACTACACACCTCAAAAGTAAAGCATGGATTATCAACTCCTCAGAAGAAATAAATCAGGTGGGATGCTCTGGTTTGGAGTGGTATTTTGATCTCTCTGCTCCCTCCAGCTACATTGTATAAACCATATTGAGTTGCTTATGCATCTTTGCTGTAGTTATTGTTTGCATCTGCTGTAAATAAGCTAAATAATCACTTTGACTCTATATTACTGCAAACTTTCCATAGTAATTATCCCGCATTCTTGCATGCTTAAGAATATGTTATTTCATATTTCTGTAAACCAGGTAGCAACTATTTCTGCAAATGGAGAAAAGGAAATAGGAGATTTGATATCAAAGGCGATGGAAAAGGTTGGAAAGGATGGAGTTATTACTATTACTGTGAGTACCAAGTGCTGCTTTTATTATTAGCCTCATACTGCAGAATCATTCTATTTGGTAATACCTACTTACCTAGGCTGCAACTTATTTTGGGAAATTGGCAGGATGGCAAGACATTAGACAATGAGCTTGAAGCGGTACAGGGAATGAAACTTTCCAGAGGCTACATATCTCCTTACTTTGTGACTGATCAGAAGACTCAGAAGTGTGTAAGTCTGTATTTCTTGGTCAAATCAGTGAATCCAGCATGAACTACATTGTAGAAAGTTCGCTACATTCCCTCATTTGCTTTGACTTTATGATGGAAATATGCATGGAAGTGGATCACATCAGTAATAATTGTGAGTCAGGTTGTGTATTTTGATTGGTTTTGGTTTTCTGCCACTTTGATATAATCATTAGTAGATTATGTCTCTTAGTGTTGACCTTATAGGATGACTCAGGGTGCTTATCCTTGCAAGGTTTTATTTCCTGTTTGTTAAGTTGGTTTCTTAGATAGCTTTAGACCCAGAAAAGACCTGATGAGAGCAGAGAAAATATATATGAGAGTTGTATCAACTGGCATGGAATATTCCAAATAATGGTCTGAGACGATCTCATGTATCCCTATGTTTGTGCAGGAGATGGAAAATCCTCTTATTCTAATTCATGACAAGAAAATCTCAACGATGAATTCACTTCTTCCAGTTTTAGAAATGTCTATCAAGGTGATTATGTCCCATAATGTCTCAGCTTCTTTTGAATATGGCAATGGTAAATTGGTTTAGTACTAACCAGTGTCTCATGTATGCAGAATCGTAGGCCTCTTCTCATCATTGCTGAGGATGTTGAGGGAGAAGCTCTATCAATGCTTGTTCTGAACAAGCATCGTGCTGGATTAAAGGTGATATTAACTACTGGTCCTACTGTATACAATACTGAATTGCGTATACAAGCTGCTTGATGATATGTGTCCGTTGTTAGTTAAAGTGCAAGCTTCTTACCTTCTTCAAGCTAGAGCTATGGATCGTTGATATTCTGGTAAATTAGTAATTATCATGCATCGATTATAGATATGTGCTGTCAAAGCTCCTGGATTTGGTGAAAACAGAAGAGCCAATCTGGATGACGTGGCTGTGTTGACAGGAGGAGAGGTCAGTCATGATCAACAACCATAAAAGTCCTTAAACACAAGTGATACAATATGACTGAAATTGGCTTGCTTATTTCGTTTAATTTAATTTCAAGGTTGTCAGCGAGGACCAAGGTCTTGATCTTGGTAAAGTCGAACTACAAATGCTTGGCACTGCTAAAAAGGTTTGTCAATCTTCACAAATTATTTCACCTGAGAAACAGACAGTGAGAATTTCCTTTACAGGTTACTGTATCCCTTGATGATACTATCATTCTAGATGGTGGAGGCGACAAACAGCAGATAGAGGAGAGGTGTCAACAGGTGCTGCAATAAAATTGTCACTCTTGACCTTCATCCCAACTATCTAGATAATAGTGGCCGGATTCTCCTTTGATAGAAATTAAATTGTTTGTTATGTGAATGCCCTTAACAGCTTAGAGAATCAATGGACAAAAGCACTGCTGTATTTGACAAAGAAAAGGCTCAAGAACGTCTATCAAAGTTATCTGGTGGTGTTGCTGTCCTCAAGGTTTGTTATTTTTCAGGTGCACAGTGATGTTTCACTGTATTTCTTTTCCCCACTTTGCTCCTCTCAGGATATCCATTTTGACTGCAGATTGGGGGAGCTAGTGAAGTTGAAGTTGGTGAGAAAAAAGATAGGGTAACAGACGCTTTACATGCAGCAAGGGCTGCTGTGGAGGAGGGCATTGTACCAGGTGTAGTGACGGTTTTCTTATTTTTTCCACTTTGGTGTCTTTTTTCCTAAACTTGTTTCTTGATGTTTTGCTTTCGTGTAACTTGTCCATATGTTTTGTGCCAATTTGGAACTTCAAACAGGTGGTGGAGTTGCCCTTCTGTATGCCACCAAGGAGCTTGACAAGATTATCACAGCAAATGAGGATGAAAAGATTGGAGTTCAAATTATCAAGAATGCTTTGAAGGTTAGTTCCTGTATTGGTTTTGGCGTTTCATGTGCCTGATGGCTTGTTTCTTAAACATGTAATAATCTCTGAATTTCTGTAGGCTCCTTTGATGACTATAGCTGCAAATGCTGGCATTGATGGTGGTGTGGTCATTGGGAAGCTAATTGAACAAGATAATCTTAATATGGGCTATGATGCAGCAAGAGGTTTGTGCTGTTTAGCTATGTTTTGGCATTACTGGCTGTAACAAAAATTATGTTGAGTTCCTTTATTGCGGTTTAGATAGTCCTTGAAAAGGCTATCCATATGCCTTCAAAAGCATAGTAATCTTTATGATTCATTAGCTGATTCCTGCTCTTTGCCAACTACAGGGGAGTATGTTGACATGATTAAGGCTGGGATCATCGACCCTGTGAAAGTCATCCGAACAGCGCTACAAGATGCATCAAGGTACGCACGTTCCTTAAGTTGATTACTATTTTTCCTTTGCATTACTAAAATTTCCACACTTGCTTAATAACTTGTGTTTTTGTTTCAGTGTTTCTTTGCTGATGACAACGACAGAGGCAGCTGTTGCTGAGCCCCCAGCAGCAAAGGCCAGAATGGCTAGTCGGATGCCGCAGATGAGCGGGATGGATTTTTGAGAGCAAGTAACATGATTTATGATATGTCTTCTCCTGATGTAAGGCAGTGCCCCTCAAATGAAAGGGGTGATTTTTTGAAAGCTATATGACGTGATTTTGTCTTTTCGTGGTGAAAGGCAGTAGTAGTACTTAATATTTCTACAGAATTTCACGGCCCGGGAGAAAGACGTTACAGATATAATTTATTTTAAACTTGGGAATTGGGAATCCGTCTGATGTAAACTGAACTAATGTGGAGCAGCACCTCATTTTGTAGATTACTACATATGTGAAATTGATACTGTGAAAGCTGCAATATTTTACTATGCATTTTGGCAATAATTTTGCCTGCGCAAAACCACCATTTGTCCGACCACCTGAACGAATTATTCTCCCCTGATCTCCTTGAATGTGCGTACGCTGCACATGTTCATAAGCACGAACTGATTCAAACACATCACAACTCGACTGTTATCAGGAAGGCGAAAATGCAAAGTAGACAAACAAGGAGTGAAGATTTATGACTCATGAACACTTCCAATTTCTCATTATAAGGGGATAAGGGGAAATAAACCGTTTATACCGTATAATATAGATCGTATCTAACTCTACTTGCCTTGAGATCGATGGGGGCAAACTGTTTATTCACGCAACAAACACTACATATCGTGTCCTTACAGACACGCAACATTTAAAAGATTCAGTGATCATTGAAGATTTTATGCCGGTTTCGCCTCTTCTGGTGTCTGCATAAAGCGTGGAACTTCTCCGTTCATCACCCTCCATGGCCCCCAGTAGAATTTGGGCGGCATGAGCGGCACGGCCTCGCCCGGATGATCTTCCCAGTACTTCTCCTGCTCCAAAATGCGGTCACAATCAGGCAAAAGCAACTGTAAATTGAGGTCAAATTGCCAATCCTAGTTATTTCAAAGGTATATTGCTTGCATTGTTTTGTACAACCTGATTCATATAGGACAATAGGGCGATCTGATTCTATATATATATCACCAATCAAACCTGGCCAAACTTGCTTGTAGGGTAAATTGACAGTCCTAAACTCCTAATCAGTTCAACAAAGTATGCAACCAAAATTTGTTGTGATCCAGCTAGCTACTACTACCGAGTACATGTTAATCATACCATACGGGAACATATGCTAAACAGACCTTTGATCACTGAAGCATGCGAAATTCATGTCCAAGTTTCGAGACCAAGGGGCCTAAGCATTCCGTCGAGCACCTTATGCGCGGAAGCCCCACCGAGGGCAACCACAAGGAGTGAAGCAGGGAGGGGGGAGGAGGAGTGGAGGAGCGGTCTGTTCCTAGAGTATCCTGACCTTGTAAAGCTGCTCGGTGATGGCGGAGGCGACGACGCCGGTGTAGAAGGCGGCGACGTAGGTGCCGATGAGTGGCGCGAACGAGCGCGGCGGGCGGTACGGCTCCACCATGTCCCAGAGCACCGTCTTCTCCCACCTGTTGAATTGCCGGTCCGCGTACCACCTCCACAACCGCCTCGCCATCCCTCTCTCCCCTCGCCGCCGCCGCCGCTCGCCTCCGCCTCCGCCTCCGTCCCCTCGCCGCCGCAAGCCTCTGCAACGCCGCCACCGGCAAAGAACAGCGCCACCGCTCAGCACGTCACCTGATTAGGCTTTCAATTGGGCCGAAATGAGACTGCAGATCACGTGGGCCGCACGTTGCGTTGCAGTCCAATTTCAGCCCGACCCGGCCCGTACTCGAGGCCCAACTAGACCGGTTCTACCCAGCCCAGCCTTAGCCCAGACCGGCCCGAGAACGGGAAGTGAAAACGCAAAGGCGGGGGGCCGAGCACGAAAACTCGAAATAGCCCGCGACCTCTCTCTCTGTGTCTCCGCCGCCGCCGCCTCCGCCGCTCGCCGCATCCGTCGGAGGCGAGATGGGCATCAAGGTGAGCGCGGGAGGGGGGGGGGGTGCCGCGCCGTCCTCGTTCGGATTTGTGACCGGTGGTGTGGGTTGTAGCTGTTTTTGCGGCCGATTCGTGATGGGTTTTCGTCTCGATTTTGTGCGGGTTTTTTTTTGTTAGGGTTTGACGAAGCTTTTGGCGGACAATGCGCCCAAGGCGATGAAGGAGCAGAAGTTCGAGAGCTACTTCGGCCGGCGCATTGCCGTCGACGCCAGCATGAGCATCTACCAGTTCCTCGTATGCCCCCATGTCTCCTCTCACATTCTGCGAGTTGGCTTTGAAATGTGCTCACTTACTTGGGGTTTAGGGTTTCTTAAGCCTTTGATTGCGCGAGAGAGATTGTATTTTTTTCTATTTAACTGCCCAGTGTTGTAAGGATTCCTCATTTCAAATTGCTCTCTTAGACCAAATCGGGTTGGGTGAAATTGGGATACCTCCATTGTGCCTCATATTTTCTTCTTTGGTCGGCTATATTTATTAACATTAAACTAAACACCTCTAGCATTGGATGTTTTGCTTTAAAAATGGGAGTAGAGCATAGCAATTCCATATTACATTCACTATATGTTCTGTGTGCAAATGCTTGACAAGTTTTGGTGAGGTATTAGGAAATCCTTACCCACTGCTTTATAAGTTGGGACAGCTTTTTATGTTTTACTTGTATAGATTGTAGTTGGAAGGACGGGGATGGAAACCCTCACGAACGAGGCCGGTGAAGTCACCAGGTTCTAAATATTAATCTTACACCGTTTCTAGTGCTAGGATTCTGTTAATTCTTTTATAAATTAGAACTTTTTGCTGTGCAGTCATTTGCAAGGTATGTTCAACCGGACAATAAGGTTGCTGGAGGCAGGAATCAAGCCAGTGTAAACCCAAATTCCTCATGTGTTGTTATTGAAATTATCCATATAAATACACTTAAAATTGTGACACTCATGCAGATATGTTTTTGACGGCAAGCCTCCTGATCTGAAGAAACAAGAGCTCGCAAAAAGGCATGATATGTTTCTTTCATCCTTAGATTGTTTTTCCTGCTGCTACTTATAACTTGTCCTATATCCCATTTTGGGCTATGATCTGTTTCTAACATGGCATGTTCTGCAGGTACTCGAAGAGGGAGGATGCCACCAAAGAACTAACAGAGGCAGTAGAGGTGAGCTAACAGTTTGTTGTGCTATTTACAATGTTCTATTATGTTCTGTCCTGTGCTTGTTCTCCTTCCTTCCTTGATCCCCAGAGAAATGACTTTTAATGTGCAGGAAGGAGATAAAGACGCAATTGAAAAATTCAGCAAGAGAACTGTGAAGGTGAGAAGGGGGGTTGATCTTACACACTAAAAGAAATGTAAAAAAAAAATCTATGATGTTTGAGGGACAACAGATTCATTCGCTGAGAAAAATATCAATGAAAACAGTTGGTTTGAATAACATGATATGGAAGATGCAAAAAAGGTAAGTATGAGAGTAACCTTATCTTTGCATCTTCTTTTTCCTTGAGCAGGTCACGAAGCAGCACAATGAAGAATGTAAACGACTATTAAGACTTATGGGGGTTCCTGTTGTAGAGGTAAATCCAATTTTCTTTGGTGCCACATGCTTTTTCAGGGAATGAGTCAATATATAATCGTTGGATTTGTTTATTTTACTATGCTAGCATAAAATCTATGATTTATCATGTATTTGCCATGCTCTCAATCTCATCCAAAGACATCTTCTTTCCGGTACCAATAGGCGCCATGTGAAGCAGAAGCAGAATGTGCTGCACTTTGCATAAATGATATGGTAATGTTAACATAGTGGACTTCTGCCTTCTTGTTTCCATCTCTTGCTTCCATTTTTATTAATTACTGTTTTTTTTATAGGTTTATGCAGTTGCATCAGAAGATATGGACTCTCTTACTTTTGGAGCTCCACGGTTTCTTCGTCATTTGATGGATCCAAGTTCCAAGAAAATTCCAGTTATGGAATTTGAAGTCGCGAAAGTATGCAGCACTGTGATTTGCTTGGTACAGACACTGATGTTGTACACACTTGACCAATTTTCATATTGCAGGTTTTGGAGGAGCTTGAACTCACTATGGACCAATTCATTGACTTGTGCATCCTATCTGGATGTGACTATTGTGATAGCATTAAAGGTATTTTTGCTTTCCCTCTTCTCATGAGTAGTATTCCTATAAATTCTTGCTTGCTTGAATTTCTGTCCATGCAAACTTTTTTTCCTAACCAACTATGTGTGCTTGTCCGCTAGGTATTGGAGGTCAAACAGCTCTGAAACTTATTCGTCAACATGGGTCCATAGAAAGCATTCTGGAAAACATAAATAAAGACAGGTTAATCTTTTGAACTATTTGAATATTTCCCACTTGACTGAGAACTCAACTGAGACATGTATATCAGCTGTGTGGCAAAGGCAGCCCAAAATTTTCTATATGTGCCACTTTATTTCATTTCTTGGTCGCATTATCTTACTTAGATGTAATGATGTATTGTAATGTGATGAAGACCATTTCCTATGCTAATTTGTGCTAAATTTTGATCATATCTATCGCCTACTGCAGATATCAGATTCCTGAGGACTGGCCTTATCAAGAAGCTCGACGCTTGTTCAAGGAACCCAATGTTACATTGGATATTCCTGAGCTGAAATGGAATGCTCCCGATGAGGAAGTATGCCTGTCACCTTTTTTTCCTTGCCTTCAAATTTTACAAGTGATGTCGTCCCAATACTTTAATTCTTTCTCCAGGGTCTTGTAGAGTTTCTGGTGAAAGAAAATGGTTTCAACCAAGATAGAGTGACAAAGGCATGCACTTTTCTTCTGACTTACTATGTTATATTCTTGAAATATTTTTATCAGCAATTTGTTTCTCCGGTTTATGTAGGCCATAGAGAAGATTAAATTTGCCAAGAACAAATCTTCCCAAGGAAGGTGAGACGTGAGCATTGTGGTACATTTTTATACTTTGGTTCTAAGAGTGTTGCATGCCTATATCATTTGTTAAACCATACCAACTCTTGAATTAATGTGACCAGGCTCGAATCCTTCTTCAAGCCAGTTGTTAGCACATCAGTGCCTCTGAAAAGAAAGGTACCTTAACCTGAATGCCATCAATCTTGTCGTGCTTAAATTTAGAACTTTTAGCCTTCTCCAGGTTCATCCATTGTAGCATGATATACAACCAATTCATGTCATTGAATTGCGTACTTTATCTGTCCATTCAACTAACAATGTTGAATCACGTGGTTTGATGTTTTGATTGTCCAATGTACCTGCCAAATAACAGATCACAGATGAATGATAAAAATATGTCCATTAGACCAGTACTCAACAATATATTTGCAAGCAGCCAGAAGTAGGCAGATACAATAGCCAAAGCTGAATCTTGTAAGCCATGCTAAAATCCTTCTACTATGAGAAGGTTATAGCCTTGTTTGGCATGATTTTCTCGCAGATCTTGTACTGTTCCATGTAAAACTGCAACCATAGTGCTATACTATATGTAGGCTTGCAAATGTTGTGGCCATAATTATATTTTTGTAGCAATATTATGTCTCATGATTTGTTTCTATGATATAATGGCAGGACACTTCAGAAAAACCAACCAAAGCAGTCGCTAACAAGAAAACAAAGGGAGCCGGCGGAAAGAAGAAATAAGTTCGATTGTGCCATTCATCAACAAGACCTCCTGCACGTGTCATTTCAATTTTAACTCCCATGTTTGTAACTCATCCTCCATCTGATGTTTTCTATGTTCCTAGTAAACCAGAAGTCCAGAACTTCGTCTAATACTAGTTCATCTATGTAGTACGTCTCTCTTCTCTACTAGGGATTTGTAGTGTTGGTTTGGTTGCTGCGTAGTGTATGAAGAACCAACAAAATTGGCTTTGCCGCGCAAAATTAACTGGTTCCGATTCGCAAAATCAGCGATCTCCCGGACGATGTGCTCCGCGAAATCTTGCGCCGCGTCAACTCCCGCGCCGCGCTGGGCAAGCGCTGGGCCGGCCTCGCGCGCGAGCTGCCCAGCCTCGATCTGAGGGTCGCCGACATCCTGCCGCGCGACTACTACCTAGAGCTTCGCCGGCGCGACGAGGCCAAGAGGTCGTTCTGGGTGTACGACTACGGCAAGAAGTACGACGCCGTCATCAGACGGTACGAGCGCCGCGCCATGCGCGCCATGGCCGCCTGCATGAAGGAGCTCTCGCCGTCGACGCCGCGCCGGAGCGTCCACAGGCTCGCGGTGGAGTTCATCGACACCAACAGCTCGAACCACATCAACCGCCTGATCACCACGGCCGTCGACGCGTGGGGCGTCGAGCACCTCGACGTCGCCGCCGTTCTCCTGACGTCGTCGTCGTCGGCGCAGCTGGATCACCCGGCCTACAGGTTCCCCGACGGCCGCATCAGCGACGACCCCCACGGCTCCCGGCTAAGGACGCTCGAGCTCACCAGATGCCGGCCTCCGGATCTCCGAGGCTTCGACGCGCTCACCACGCTGGTCCTGCGCGGCTTGCCCCGCACGACGCGGGCGGCCGTCTACGAGCGCGCCGTGGCGAGCTGCCCGTCGCTCCGAGCCCTCCACCTCGTCTCCTGCCGATGCCGCTACTCCAAGGTCGTGATCGACGCGCCATTGCCGGACCTCCGGGAGCTCGTCGTCGTCGGCGGCGGCGACATGAGCGTACGCTTCCTCCACGGACTCCCCAGCCTCGAGACGCTCGTCGCTGTCCAGAACAGCGTGGAGCTGTACCGCCCCGACGCCGACGCCGCGCCGCGCCTCGCGCGCGCCACCGTCGCGTTCCGCGTCGGCCAGATGGAAGGGGATCCCCCGGACTGCAGCCATTGCAGGAGAGGATCAAGCGCGACGCCGCGCTGTCCGCGCTCGGCTACCTCTGCAGGGCCGCCATTAACGTGACGGATCTCGCGCTGCGTCTCACGGGGCCTCAGATGTGGGTCGTCCCGGAGAGCCCTTTCCTGGAGATGCCCAGCCTGAGGAGGCTGCTGGTCGCCGACGTGCCGCCGCGCTGGGACGCGACGTGGATCCGCGCCGTCGTCGAGGCGGCGGCGCCGTCGCTTGAGCGCCTCCACGTCCACTTCTCCCAACACTATCGCCAAGACGACGACGACCCGGCGGCGGATCGTCGGAGATTGGAGATAGTGTGGGAGAATGAGCCGTCAAGAACACAGCATTGTGACAATCTGGAGGAGCTTGTGGTCATTGGTTTCCAGAGCAAGAAAGAGAGGCAGGTTCAGTTTGTGAGGTACGTCATGGAGGAAGCATCCATGGCGTTGCGCCGTGTTGTGCTGATCAAGCATGGACACGTCGAGGATAGAGGCCCAGGTGAATGGGAGATGGTGAGCCAGAAATGTACTTGGAGCGATGAGGAGAAGCTCGCCGTGAAGGAGCAGATCATGGAGGGGGTTTGCTGTTCGATGGACCAAGTTGAATTGGTCCTAGAATAATGAAACCAAACTATGTGTTGATTGTACATTAGTTAAACATTCATAAAGGTTATACAATACATCGAACAGTTATAATTCCCAGAGTGCTAATAAAACAGGAAGGATTGAATCCATGCAGTTTTGACGCTTCACTCACAAAGAAAACTGCATTGAATTTGGCTATTTTAACATGTTCATCAAAAGCTACAGAGAATCATCCACTTTGAACAGATCATGATTTACAAGGTTCTTGGCTTCTACCCAAATTACATCACTAAACAAGTCACTTCTACCAAAAAGGAAGTTGTAGGAACAAAAATATTCAACAATTTGCATGTGTTGGCTGTCTATTCCGCCTTGTCGAGACTATTTGTCCCAGCCATCCTCTCTCATGCCAAATAGCCATTTCTGGGGGAGAGGGCCATATATGGAGGCGAACTTCGCCAAGCATTTCGTTCTGATGTCATAGTGCTTCTGCGTGTCTCGGCTAATAGCAACTGAAGAAAGCTTGGAAGTGTCGATAGCCCAAGCAGGGTGAACATACTCCACAGTCCTCGAAGAGCTTGCATTTGCATACAGAAAATTCATGAGCAAGTCCTCGCAGTTGAAGTTCTTGTGGACATAGTCTCTGCCTTCCTTAGCTTCTTGACTCCAGTATTTACTGAAAGCGAACTCACTGTCCATGAAAGCAGCACCTGTGAGGATCAAATTGTAGCCCTTCTTGCCCCGAGCATATCGCTCATTCCTGTACTGCAAAGGATCACCGTCTATCATTCGAGGGTAAAAGCCCACCATCCTCTCAGGGTGTTCTCTCCATACCTTGAATCCTTTCTCTACATCACTGCAAGTCATCATGATATCATCATCCAGTTCCAGGACAGCCCTTGTCTTTATCAAAGGGTCACCCCTAAATCGGTTGTTAAGGGAGTTGATTTCTTCCACACGTATTCTGACAGGGACTGTTGAATCAAAGGCGTCGCTGGTAGGATGGTTGCCTTTGTTCCAGACAACAACTATCTCTCTGACTGACTCACATCTAGAGTAGTGTTCAACAAATAGTTTCAGGTTCCAGAGTCGAGCTTCATATGTCATTGTGACCATTGTAAATTGAGAGTGCTGCCCTTGATGTGTATATGCCTCTTCAGCGCCATTGCCACCAAGTAAGAAATGCACAGCAATGCAGACATTAACAATACCTATGAGAGCAATCACACAAAAGAATAGTGTGTTTGACCATGTTTTCTCACTGAGCCTTGCTTTGGTAGCAGAGATATTCCTGCCAATACTGGTTGAATATCTACGGATTTTCAGGTTGAAGCGATGCACAGGTAAAATACGAGATAACTCACTTCTCCTAGTTAGAGGAACCCAAAAACTTGGAGGAATGTAGCAACTGATTGCACCTTTTACAAAACCTACAAAAGTGACCAGAGCAACAGCTACCAAAAAACCCATGTAACCAAATAGAGACCGTCTTGTTGAATCACCTGAAGGGACACGATCACCATCCATGACAGCAACCCATCCACCAGAGGCAAGTTGCTGTGCATCTATGTGATGGTACCTCATACCATTCCAAGCATTCCTCCCTTTCTTTGCCTCTTCGATTCCAAGATTTACCGGAACCTCTTTGTATTCTTCCTTAGTTAGCTTTTCAATCTTGTACAGCTTAACCTTCCGTCCATAGGTACCACTGCAATCCTGCCCTGGACGATACAATGACCCTTCAAAGATGAATAGCCTTCCACCGTTTCGAGCTCCTAAACTTTTGTCAGATCTGTAAATAGGGTTTTGCTTATGTTCACTCCAAGGACCAAGAGGTGAGTTGCTGTACCAAATTTCAAGCTCTGCATTCTTTTCTATACCATGCCGTGTAAAATCTGAGGCAAACAGCCACCACAGTCCATCATATTGAACTAATGAGGAATCAATAAGTGGCTTATCAATGAGCACCTTCTCCAATGTCCATTCAAGAGGAAACTTAGTAGCTCGATAAAGTCGTAGCTCCTTCTTTTTGTTCCCCTCTGGCATCATATAAATCTACAAGAGAAAAGGTAACGTATTGACATATTCAGAAACAGCTACTCATTCCTTAAGCTATAGATATGACTGAAGTTAAAATTCTACCTCATTCTCATATTTGAACACGAACGGGTATGACAGATGCCATGCCTCATCTAAAGCAATACCAAGAAATTCCCATGTTGCACCTTGATCCAAGCTTCTTGCAACACCAATATCACCTTGCATTGTGCTTACTGTTTTTGTTTCAAAGAACAGAAAGAGTGTGTCCCCCTGAGAGATGCATACTATCATATCAGGTTGAGCATTACAATAATAACTAGAAAAAAAAATATTACGATGGGCTTAAAAAAATTCAAAAGCCTGGATTTGACAGAAATTTACCTTCAATAAAAGAAGGTTTCTGTTTGTGTATTGTAACAAACAATATTGATGTTACAAAAGCATGTATAAAATTCCCCTGTCCCAGTTGAGGAAATATCTCCAAAAAAATAAAACCCATCGTTTACATATCTATATGAAATCCAGTGTAGTGCCAATTTAATTTTAAATTATTTCATCATTTATCCTTAAAATGTGTTTTGACACTCATAGAAACCACATCATGGCCCAAATTCACTTCAATTGTAATGCAATGTACAAGTCTCAGGCAACATTTTTTCTGGTTTCATATTCGGTCAAAGAACTGTTTTCTCTTCAGTGTTTCAACAAACATTTCAGAATCATGATAAACTTAAAGGCGAAGCATCTTTGCGTACTAATTTCGATAAGCATGAACATTCATTAACTTTATCAAGGAGATAATAGCGGTTAGAACTTTGTATAAATCTAAGGAGAAAAGCTTGCAATCCTTCCCCAACTACTGTTCCCTAGTAGAATGGCAATTCAGTATGCACAAGGCTTAGGTTCCAAACTTGAAGCCTATTATGCAGAATCCCAGCATTAGGACATTGTGTTTCACTACTAATAACACTTCAACAATATCCAGCTAGTAAGCTAGAACAAGTCCACCCCTGCATACGGTACTCTATCACTCTCTCGTCGAAGCATCTAAAACACACAACCCTTACCACCCTCCATATGAACTGGATTCGCAATCCATCAGCTTGAATTCTGCCTATTTGAGCTCAAAATTTCGCTTGAAACACACAAAATCAACAAAATTCCACAGTTGACCACGAGAGCCAGAGCAGCGGCTCACCTGCACGTAGAGGAACGGGTCAGCGACGAAGTTGCTCGGGTACCCGCCTTCCGTCGGGGTCGCGCAGGTCAGCACGGGGTTCGCCACCGGCCACGCCGAGCTGTTCCCATTGCTCCTCCCTTCCTGCTCACCAGATCACACACCGGAATAAGCACCCAAATTCCTCAAAACCGCACGCAAATGGGCAGAGTCGAGGCTACTGGAGCTCAGCTCACCAGCTCGATGGGGCGGAGCTCGAGGGGGCTCTTCCCGTAGTACATCCCGATCGCCCACGACCCCTCGCCATCAGGCAAGCACCCAACGGCGCGGGAGTCGGGGAGGCGGAACGACGAGACCACCAGCCAGAAGTACACCCCTCCGACGAGCGCCGCGCCCGCCGCCGCCGCCACCAGGAACGACACGGCCGGCGACCGCGCGGCGGCCAGCCGCGCCACCACCCCACGCATGCTGCTGCCGCTCGGCCTCATAGCTCGCCGCCCCGCCATCCCCAGCCTGCCTCCGCCGCCGCCGAAGCCGGCATCGACCGCCCGATCGGATCCCAGCCTGGGCGCGACCTCGTGCTCCGAGCTGGATGGATTCCTCGTCGCCCTCCCGGCCCGGGAGTACGAGGGGGGAGAGATTAGTTTAAGCAGGCGGAGGAGGCGAGGCGAGGAGAGGCCTGAGTGATTAAACAAGAGTATTAGTGGGTGATTAGCGCGGATTAAGCCGCCGCTTTGCTTCGCTGTATGTCTCGGCGCTAAGCTGCTGCTGCTTGTGGGGGGAAGTGGGAATGGATGAGCTGGTGCACGAGGCGGCGCCTTTGGAGTTTTGGACTTTTTGTATGGGTTGGACCGGGTGGCGAGAGGCTTTCCTTTCCCGACGCGACGGCGGCGACGGCAGGTTTGACCGGAGAACGGCATGCTTTGCTTTGCTTCGTTTTTTTTTTCTGAAGAGAAAATGAATTTTTCTTTGAGAAATCTAAGAGGGAAAATTATTTTCTTCATAGTAGTACTACTTTTCTCGTAAAAATTAAGTTCCATGTTGCCGTTGTGAAGCTATGGTGGAATACGTGCTCGGTTTGTTTTGGAAGGCGGTCTGTTCCGTGTTGATTTCAGGATTTCTGCAGCTTCCTGTGTGATTTCGGCAGCCTGCAGGGGGGACAAGACAACCGGACAAGTTTGCAGTGACGAAAGCTTCACCAGAAACACCGAGATTTTAGCGGTCAAATCTATCGTGTCGTCCGTCATCTTGCCGTTTACGCCGTGCCATGCCAAAAGGATGACCCAACCCATGCGCATCAAGCATAGCAATAATGGATCAGCACATCGTACATACAGTTTTTTACAACAACATTCGTTATCTTGTATAAACAAAATAAACAATATACAATAACCTTTTTTTTAAAGATTACATTGCGCGCGTGCACACACCAATACACACGCAACACCCCCACGAATACGTCTCCTAAACATGTTCTAAGAGACGAAAATCAGCGGCACATCTCTTATCTATACTCTTTTAAAAGACTCCAATGGTGATGGTGAGTGATGAATCTGCAACCACCCACCACCATTGCCGTGTCGGTCCACAAAGAGTGAAATATGTGAATTTTCCCTTCCCCAACCTCAAGCCATTAAACTGTGTCAAAAATAATGACAATAATATTTTACCTAAAGATTTTAACAATTAGAATTATTTTATTTTATTTTTTTAGGCTTTGAGTGTACGGTGACGGTGAGGTTCTGTTTTTTAATTCTTGTCGCAAAGCACAAGCATTAATTCTTGTCGCAAAGCACAAGCATTCAACTAGTCTCGCTAAAGTCTTGTTGAAAGTTCACCTACATGTGTGTAATATTTGTGGGCATCAAGATTTAAACTTGATAAGTGGAGTCATGCATCCACGACTCCACCACCACACCACCCGTGTTTCCCCCAATTTACAAAAACTTTTGTACTATGAGCTATAACTATGGGGGTATATTATGTGGTTAAATATTTACATTCTTTATGAAGCATCACAAAATTCAGCAATTCTAGGACGGAGACATCTTGTCACCTTCCCATGGAATACCTTATACCTATGGTGTTTGTTATATGTATGCTATCTCCTCCGTTCGAGCTATGCTAAGGAAGAGAAACACCATGTGGCCCATGTCACAGATTACAACGAGTAGGTATCATCCACGATCTTTACAGTTATGACAGATCACCGAGATCAGGTTCTCCACAGAACGCATCAGGCTCGAATGACCTTGCAGAAGTATCATCGTACACTCCAGGGATAGCACGCCCGACAGTGTTTTCAAAAGGATCCTTTGGGTTTTCGGTGTTGGCGTAGAGAAGAATGCAAAGAATCAGGGACACTGCCAGCCCCACCAAGGTAAATTTCACTCTGTTCAGCACAGGCTTGACCTGATGCATAACAAAAATTTCAGTGGTTACAATCTGCTATGCAGTTGCAGAGAACTATTCACAAGTATACCATAAAGTGCATTTGTTTTATTGGCATGAACATACAAGTATGTTTAAAATAATATGTAGTGTTTCAGAAAAGGACTGCTCCAGATAAGACCCATAGATCCAGAGTATCAATTATTGATATGATTATATTATTTTGAAGAATTTCACAGCTCACGCCATGTGCATACGCTATTCAATATTCAGTTCATAAGAGTACTGCAGAGGTATAACAGAAAAGGGAAAAATGAAAAAGAACAAACACACACAATCTGAGAACAGTAGAATGGTTCAAATAAGAAGGTTATCATGAATCATGGCAACTTACAGAAAATGAACCTAGAAGCCGATCACGAGCCAAAACTTCTGGGGTTTTAACCCATATCTGTCAAGAACAAGAAAAAATGTCATGATGCAAGAGCTAATTGTGTTGCGGAATGCTGCACAATTATACTATCATCTCATGCCCATCAGCTTGACGTGCATGCAACAATCTAGTAAGTGAAATATTTCTAGTACCATTTTTTAGAATTAGATAAGTAAAGTGGGCAATCGTGGACTATCCTACACAAAACGAAAGACAAATCTAAAGGACGACATCCAAAAAATGTATCTGTGTCAAACAGAAGAATGAACTTGGTATTTGTATATGATCAATCAATGAGAAGAACAAAATAGAGCTTTCTGTTTCTTTTTTGGGACGCGTTGCTGCTCAGTGAACAAGAAAGGTATTTTAAGAGTTTACAGGAATATAGGAGATCTACTGCAGTTTATAATTTAATATATCTGTGGGTATGTTATTATGAAAGGTTGTTGTGATCTAAAACCCCATTTATCTTGGTGACAAGGGGAAAATTAGGATTAAAAAAATGCATGTCATTTTTATCTCTGAATTTCATAATCACCTTGATAACAAGCTAACAATCTGAGAATTCTATGAAATTGCATATAGCTGCAAATCTAATACTTCAGCAGTTGGTTATTGGTGTGATATCTAATAAGAATTGGTATGACTTGAGCATCAACAGTATTGACTATTGAGTACAATGATAAGCAAGGCAGTGACTTTTGGGAGTGTTCTTTTGGTGGCACTGCATATATTTCTGATTCAGTGATCCCTGTTGATTTTCCCCTTTTTTGAGACAAAAGGCACTGAAGCCCTGCTTTTAAGAAAGCAAAGGAAAGTTGGTTTTTATTCCACTATTGTTTAGCTAAAGCAGTAAAGTCTAAAGCCACAAAATCTTGTTAAGCCAGAGCTAAATAAGCGTGCTGTCAAAGATATCCCAGTTATTGTAGTTGTAAGTTGTAAAGGAACATGAGCGATCTTGTCCTGTGGCAAACCAAATGTTCCACGAAAAATAGCATGCCAAATTGTCCAGCAAGTACCAAATCAATGCCAAGTATCAGATCAAGGTCAAGGCATATATATCCTGTCAAATCTTTCTCTACTTGATCCCAAAAATACCAGTGTAAGCATAAACTCCATGTTAGTACTGCACTAGAATCACAGAAATGAGTCAATGACAGGATCAAGCGTAGTATCTCACCTGCCCGTCGTACCATCCCGTTTCCTCATCTGCGAAAATCAGGCACTGAAATCAGATCCGCAAACATGGAAACAAACGAAAGAAAGGAGATATAGTAATTTGGGGTTTCCTCACACTCCACGGTGGCGCTGAGGAGGCGGTTGCCGACGTACGCCCACCCGAGGTACATCCGCACCACGGCGAGCGTGACGGCCAGTATCCCGGACCCGGTGGCCCCGAGCGCGAGGTGCACGGCGTCGCCGCCGGCCCCTCCGCGGCCGCCGAACGACGCGACGGGGAGGCCGACGAAGAGCGCGAAGGCGGCGCCGGTGAGCGCGAGGCGGGAGCAGTAGACCGTGAGGTCCCCCGCCGCCCACGAGAAGGGCAGCGACGCCGCCAGCGACTCGTACTCGTTCACCGGCAGCTGCTCCGGCGGCACGGGGCACCACTCCGTCCCCTGCGACGAGCTCCCGTTCCGCGACGGCGGGACCGCGAACCGGCGGCGCCCCCGCCCCCGCCGCCGTCCGCGGGAGCCCCCGGCCATCGTCGGGAGGAGAGGCGGGAGGAGGAGGAGGCGCGCGTGGAGGGGAGGAGGAGGGGAGAGGGGAGCGGCGGCCATGTCCGTGGAAGGGAAGGCGAGGAGAGTGAGGGTTGCGAGAGCCGCGAAGCAACGGCTTCGGGTTTCGTTGCGTGCGTGGCTCTGCCTCGTGTTGCAGACTTCAGTAAGCTCACTGCACAAGTGCACATTGTTCCCGGCGACTCCTACTAAGAAACATGTTTCACAAATTTGATGAAAACCACTTGGTTTTTTCAAAGTTTGAAGATTTTAAGACGTCTCGAGTTGACAAACCGCTGGCAAACCGATTATAAAAAATATCAAATTAGACTTTAATTTCTTTTAACAAAATCTATCCGAATTTTACCGGTTTTCACCGTTGAAAGCCAACAGAATGACTGGAGTGGTTTTCGATAGCGCGAATGATTCTATGAACCATGCTTTAGGGTGTGTTTAGGTCACGCAAAAATTGAAAGTTTGGTCGAAATTGGAACGATGTGATGGAAAAGTTGAAAGTTTATGTGTGTAGGAAAGTTTTGATGTGATAGAAAAGTTGAAAGTTTAAAGAAAAAGTTTAAAACTAAACAAGGCCTTAATTCGTGACGAAATACATTAGTCATGACAATAAACATTGGAATCGGATATTTAGTTACTAATTTTTTCTTCAAACTTTCAATTTTTTAATCACATCAAAACTTTCCTACACACAAACTTTCAATTTTTCCATCACATCATTCTAATTTCAATCAAACTTTCAATTTTAGCGTGAACTAAGCGCACCCTAAAATAAACTATTTTTGGGAGAATTAAACGTCCTATTTGATGCCACGTGAAAGAGCGTTTTTATTCTCAGAAGGACCTTCGCCGCCCGCCGGTTTGTTCAGAGGATAAACAGTTTTGTGTTGCAACATAAGCATTTCCTCTTACGTAATCAATATTGTGATCGATTAGTCTAAAATCGTCTTTTAGGAAAGGCTAACACTGGCCTGATTTTGATTAATTAAAGAAGGGAAGCATCATCCTTAGACGGAGAGCATGCTGCCACGCCTGCCTGCTACTACCCTAACCACATGATTACTTTTCTAATGGAATTATTGTAACATAATTAGCGAAACATCTTTATCGAATAACTACCGGATCACAGGAGCATCACTTGATAATGGTTTCTTTCCGAGATATTTGCGCAAAAAGCAAGTTCCAGAGAGATTAAAGAACATGACACGTGATTACAGAAAGTTCCTAAGAATTCATGGTGTGAAAAACTTTCACGGTTTGGTGGGTGTGATGGGAATGTGGAGCGATGCTTATTCGTGTAAATCTTCAAAATGGTTTTCTCAAATAATGTGTACTTATTCTATTTTAGAATATACACAATTTAAAATGATTAGACACAACCTACACTTATATATCTGTTCATCTTGTGATAACGCTTCATTCATCACTGCTCTTATTTTAAGTGAAGTTAAAACTGTTAGGCTGAGCTTCAAGCTGAAGCTGTGACAAACAGTTCCCTAGTATATTTATTTGGATATGTCCAATTCTCTTATATATTGTTATATTTTAAATCGAGGAGAGTATATATATACTAGGGCAAAACATAATATATATGATTAATACACACGTATTAGTGTTAGATAAAAAATATATATGATTAATTAGCACGCCATGACTATAATCGTATCAGGAATGATGTTAACAAGCCAATACTAGTATGAGCTTATGACGACTCCAAACCATCGTCAGCTAGTTGCTCACTCGATTGATGTTGTCCTCGCCATGAAGCAACCACGACCGCGACTATTCAACTCTCCAACCCGGGAAAGGAAAAAAATCTCACCGATTCACAAGTAGCAGCGGTAGCCAAGCCTGCCACGTCAGCTCTCGCGCAACGTCCACCAAATCCCGACCGGTCATCTTCAATCCAACGGCAGATCATGCCACCACCCACCCTACCCGCCGCGTCCCGGCTGAGAAGCGGGCCCACCTCCACCTCAGCCCAGTCGCCCGTTGCCGAGTGCCCCCTGGCCCTACATGTCATCCACACGGGGTGGGTGCGCGTAGCGTCTCCCTCCCCGTCCACCCCAGGTGCATGCACCTTCCCCCAACTTTACTCCTTTTTTTTTTTCCTTTTCTCTCTTCCACCCCGCTATAAGTGTACAGCTTCCGCCTCCTCCCCAATGCGTCAAACACTTGACCTGCACTTGCTCGGAGCGGTGGCGTCCCAATCCAATCCATTCCCAATGCGACTTCTCAGGAGGATCCCGCTGCTCTTGGTAAGCCCCCCGCCCGCCCGCGATCCTGCTCTGCTAGGATCTTTGGTTCAGAGAGAGATTTCTGGGTTTTTTTTTGTTTTTGTTTTGGTTAGTGGTGTGGCAGGAGAGGTTTGATTGGGATTTTTCTTTCCTGGGGGTGTGTAGGACGAGTCCGAATGGGATTAAGGCCATCGGGGTGTTTCGTCTAGTGCATTGGTGGCTGGATGTTTTGCTTGCTGAGGAAGCGAGGTTGAGCTGGGAGGGAGGGCTCTGGTGTGGTGTTGACGAAGAGGTAAAGGATAAAGATTTTGCGTGAATCGTGATTCATTGTGTTCAGTTAGTAAGTTGGTCTGCTTTATTAGTTTTTTTTTTGGCGATAAAATTGAATATTATCTCGGTGAAGTGATTTTTGTGGTCTGCTTTATTAGTTCTTGCATGCCAAGTGCCAACAAAGTTGTTACACATGTTTGCGTGTAACACATGGTGTATTGTATTGTACAGTAGCAATAATTTAGTCCATTATCTAACAAAAAAAGTAGTAATAATTTAGCACACTGTGTTATCGGTTGTTTTGAGGATGCAAAATAATGCCAAACAAGTAATTTAAAATTTAGCCAAAATTTGTCTGAATGTTTGACTGGTAATTTGGTATTGAGTTTCTTACAAATGGAGCGGTTGTCATGGCATTTGAATGGCATGGCTACAACGGGTGTGTTTAGATCCAAACTTTGGATCCAAAGTTTGCAAAATTCCATCACATCAACCTGTCATACACACATAACTTTTCAGTCACATCATCTCCAATTTCAACCAAAATCCAAACTTTGGATGGAACTAAAGGCAGCCGTATCACATTGTTCATAGTTTATTTAAAAATTGGATGATAAATTGCTATGGCTACATCTAGGTTTTCCTGTTTGAATACTTGTGCCCCAGAGGATTGTCTTTGGAGAGTTTGGCCTATCAATTTAATATTGTGTTATTATAAAATGAATTTCGTAATGTATTGTAGAGTCTATTCATCTTATATGATCATGTAATATTGATATGGTAAGTATGTCAATAAAAACCAAGATTGGCTGTTCATAAGCAACAACATGATTATTGGAGAGCTGATGGGACCTACTATTAGAGCGGATTAATGGAGTATTTTATTGTACTAAACTGTTTTAGTCTTCATAACTATTGTCAAATAGTAACCCTATTTCCATAAGGAGGAAAAATAAAGGGGGACGACACCTATCATACTATTGTTCTTACTGTTTTCCCATCGCGTTTTATTTTTTCTTACTTGACATTGTCATACCCCATCACTTGATAGCGTAATTGCCCACCATTTTGATTTGTACATTCATCATTATTTTTAAACATATCTAACCTTACTTATTTCTCTTGGACAACATAACAAGTGGTGCACAGTGTTTTATTGTAGGTTGACAGGATCATGACATGCAACTGGAAAATGCTTGATTATGTTTGATAGTACGAGGATTGTCCGAGTTTCTGAGATTATTGCCTTCAATGGAGGTTGAAGCTGCTTGTGGTGATGGAGTAGTCAGTTCAAGCAATGAGATGCAGGAATTGTGGCCACTAGGTGAAGTAGACCAAAAGGGAACCAGGTTCCCTTGTTGCATTGTTTGGACACCTCTGCCAGTGGTTTCTTGGCTGGCTCCCTACATAGGTCATGTCGGGATTGCCCGGGAGGATGGAACTGTCATGGACTTTGCAGGTTCAAATTTTGTGAGTGTAGATGACCTTGCATATGGTTCTGCTGCGAGGTACCTCCAGCTCGACAGGAGAAAGGTATACTTATTCTCCCCTGGATTTATGCTGCACTTAATATCTGAATATTTTAGAAACCAGGCCACTAATATGAACCTGCAGTTTACTTTATGAAAACTTCTTTGCTTCCATTTCAGAAATGAGATAGTGGTTTGACACCATCATAATTCAGAGGGCATGATTACATGAATGATACGGTTATTTCTTACATATATTTTCTTTTGGTACACCATCCTGCCACGTGACTGTGAGCCTGTGATCTTAAACATTGTAAAGCAGTAAGCCTGCCGGGCATGCCATATTCTTGCCTGTTGGGCACTTAATTCAGATCCTGCATTCATACAGTTATTCAGATGGAAGCTTCCATATAAACTGTGACCATGGGGGTGTTGCGGGCTGTGACTAACAGTCTATAACCTACAGCGTTTCTTCTTGTTGCAAGAAAAAGTTCTTTTCATATAAACTGTGATCCTAAGATCTGAAATCTTGCCAACATAACCACTTATTTACTGTCTTTTGGTTCATGTTCTTTCTTCTTAACTGTCTTTTAGTACTGAAACTTTTATGACTTTGCTGTGGTTTGCTGATATTGATTTTTCTGCTGCCTTGGGGGTGATCAGTGCTGCTTCCCTGCCAACCTCGCGGCGCATGTGTGCGCGAGGTCCTACGAGCACTCGGAGGCCGGGACGGCGATCTCGTGGGACGACGCGCTGCAGTCCGGCGCGAGGCGGTTCGAGCACAAGTGCTACAACCTCTTCACCTGCAACAGCCACTCCTTCGTGGCGAGCTGCCTGAACCGCCTCGCCTACGGCGGCTCCGTCGGCTGGAACGTCCTCAACCTGGCCGCCCTCGTGTGGCTGCGCGGCCGGTGGCTGGGCAAGATGGCCGTCGTCCGGTCGCTCCTCCCCTTCGCCGCCGTGGCCTGCGTCGGCGTCCTCATGGCCGGCTGGTCCTTCCTCATCAGCATGGCGGCATTCTCCTCCCTCCTCCTCGGCTGGTTCGTCCTCGGCGTCTACTGCTTCAAGGGCTTGGTCTGCTGATCGATCTGAAGGCCATTTTGTTGAAATTCGACCAGAATATGCATCTTTTTTCAGTTACGCAACGCGCACTTTCAGTAAATTATAGACAGTTTTTACAGTGAAATCAGAGAGTTGTACACTTGTAGTCATCTTTGAAGTTTCATGGAACTATAATCTCATGGATGATGATGAAGGAGAACCGATGAAAAGACCATTTCTACTGTACTGTTCACGAGTGATCGCATCACGTTTTCCGTCGGTGACTTGAGCCGTGGTATCAAAGAAAAGCATTCAAGCTTGCTCATTCTCAAATCGTGTTCATCGATGGCACTACTCTCCCTGTTGCTCGGCTTCGTGAGCATTCCTACTCTAGATGGATGGTAGTACTCCAGATCATGAATCACGAGTAATCCTTTGTGTTCGTGCCACGATACATTGATTGCATCATTGAAGGCACGTACCAGGCTCTGCGTGAGTAGGAGTATGGCAGAATGCAATGAGCTCATGAGCCAGCGAGGCAAGGAGCGATTGGTTGCCATGCCAGTTTTTTTCCCTTTTTTTTTAAAAAAAAAGAAACTTGCCATGCCAGTTCGATTTCCATCTGTCACACAGCAATGAGAGGCCGGGCATCAAGCTGTGCCCAGCCAGAGTTTTACCTTTCCTAATCAGGGCCTGTTTGGGGGAGCTTTTAGTAGCTGCAGCTTCTCCTAAAATCTCCAGTTGCCAGAAGCTCCCCCAAACAGTCCAGATTTTTATCCAGATTCTGAGAATCTGTAGTTGTAGAATCAGGAAAATGAACTAGATTCTCACCAGCTAGCTTCTCAGCAGCTGCTTCTCAGAATCTTAAACTCCCCCAAACAGGCCCTCAGCGCTGGATCCCAACTACAGGCGGTATGACAGTTTTCATCAAAATTCGGTTACATTTGCTGTTTTGAATTTGAATTCTTAAAATCCATTTAAAATTTTACCCGGAATATACTTTCGTCTTCGTTGAAACATTGAAACTTCACAGTTTTCTGTCGTTTCTTTTTTTTTTGAAAAAAGTAAACTCATTGCTCAAGGACTGCACAATAGGAGTATACTTTGCCTGGTGCAAACTCAAGACGAACCTTAAATTAGGACGCCTGTAAAGAAAAACAGTATCAAATCAGCTAATTTAGCATATGATTAGTATTTGTAAAAAAAAACAGTTTGATTCACATGTTAAGTTATGGTCGACTTAGGGCCTATTTGAATTTTCAACTTGGTTTAGCATTTTAGTGACACGTAAAATGAGCTAAACCATTAGTACATGAATGAATAATTGAGTATTAGTTATTATAGACTTTAAAAATGGGTTAATTAATTTTTTAAAAGAAACTTATATTTTTTTTCAAAACGCACATCACTTAACAATTTAAAAAATGTGTTTAATGAAAAAGGAGAAAGTTGTAATTTGGATATGAAGAAAAGAACTAGGCCCAAACTTTTCAAACATGTGTTTTTTTAAAGATTGGGTTTTCACGTGTATATATAGGGCTTCTTTTGGAACATAGAATTCTCAAGACACAAAAATATGAAAAATATATTATTGGAGTGTCCTAGTAGCCCATTGGTTTTCCTAAGAAGCCAAAGACAAAACTAAAATTTGAATTTTCAAACTTAATCTAAAGCTGATTTTAAAATATTTTCAACGTGGTTCTTTTTTTTAAATTGGCTTTTAAGTCGCTAATAACACATATATACAAGTTTTACCTATAAATTAATTTTTATTTTATAATAAGCTACTTTTACTTTTTATGGAATATGAGCAACCGATGAGGACCTTCACATCCTATAGATTGAAAAAACACAGAAAAATAGTAGGAATGACCATTTGGATAAATGTCGGTAAAAAAATTATGGACAAACAATACACTTTTAAAGCGTGATAGATGTTCTTGATTGATCTTTCACCTTTATAAGTTTGTATAAGGTGAGCTATTTTTCTTAGTTTCTTAAAAACCCTTCAGTAAAAAAAATTGCATCTTTCCCGGCTTCCCGCTAATCAATTATCCTACTTGGAGAGGAGGGCCCTTGGTCCTTGGAGGTGACAGCCTCACACGAGTCTCGACCGCCCATTTGCTTCAAAATAATGAGAACTGCCTGCAGGAATCGTACGGGGTGGCTGAAGAGGACCATTATTCAACTTCTAACGAGGCAAATCGGGCTTTACCGACAAAAAATACAGACTCGCACTACTATAATCGAGACGGCCAAAAAAGGTCAAATGAACATGAACCCAAACCCTAAATTAGTGCTCCTGTACTCCATTAAATCAAAATGACAGTTTTTTATCTAAAAAAGACACCGGTATGATCTAATATCAAATAATTAGAAGGGATGAGGTTTCGAATCCAAGTCGTTTAGCCCACCACCCTGTAGAGGCGTGGAGCTAGCCGGAAGACCCTTGGACGTTTCTCAGTTTTTTTACCCTAGTAAAATTGTATTGATACTGTCTTTTTTTTCCTAGTAAAATATTAATTATGCCATATATATGTGCCTTACGATCTCGCGCATAAGCTGCTTTCACTCTGTTGGAATTCTCAAGGCTGTTATTTTCAAGATAACAAATTGGACATACCATTACCAACATAACCTTAGTAAGTTTTGGAATTTTCTGAAACTACTCTCACTCAAATATCAAATCAAACACCACTTAATCTCACCTTACCTCTCCAAATTTTCATAACGATAACATTTGACATTACCAAAGTTTAGTAAGTTATCTTACGATAAAATGAATGTCTTCCGACAACAAACTAAACACACCATTAACAAATAAAACCTAGGGCCTACTCAGATTGTAGCTAAAATAAACCTAGTTAAGATGGCAATATCGCTAAAATTTTGGAAGAATTTCTTATGTATTTATCAAATTTGGCAACAAACTAAACATATATATTTTTTGACAACTTTACCAAAAATTAATATTGTTAAAAATGACATCAATCTCAACAGCCCCTTAGTACCAAATTTCGGTAATTCAAAAACTTTCCAATATCAAAAACCTACCAAAACTAGTAGTCAGACCTAAACCAAACACCACCCAACCTTTACTTATCAAAATTTGACAATACGAAAGTTCAACATTCCTAATACTACTACTAAAATTTCTTTTTTTTTTCTTTTAACAAAGTGAACACACCCTGCCATGCCAGCCAATGGGAACGCGAACAGTGGCATCGTGTAGGTAGTAGGGGATATTCCGGCCTGGCAGCCCCCTCTCGCCGACAGGTGGGCCCCCACACGACCGCGCTGCTCTCGAGTCCGAAACACACCAAAAACCGGCGCCTCCCCTCCCCGCAAGCAAGAAGCGCAGTTCCCACGCGCCCGGCTATAAATCGCATCCCCGCATTCCTAGCCTCTTCCCTTTTTCTATCCCCTCCGCCTCCACTCCCCTCTCCCCTCCTCTCAACCCCCACAGCTCGCGCCGCCGCCGCAGCTAGGGTTTCTCTCCGCCCTAGCCTACCTCGCGGAGACCTACCACCCGAAGCTTCGGGAACCCTCGCATAGCCGCCATGAGCGACGGCAAGGACTCCCTCGACCTCTCCGGCCTCGGCGCCGCCGTCCCCAACGCCAAAGGTTCGCGGCTCTTCTCGCTCTCTCTCTAGTTCGATCTCGGTTGCTCCGTTTTGTTGTTGTTGTTGGTGTGGTTGGCTTATACTGGATTTGGATTCGGTGGCTGTGATGCAGAGCTCAGCGCGGAGGACAAGGCCAACCTCGTGGAGTCGATTAAGGTGGGGGTTTCTGCGGTGGTGTTTTTGTTTTTGCTGCTTGCTGCTTCTATCGGGGTTTGGGCGGGCTTGGGAGGGGTTTTCTGATGAAACTTGTGGTGATTTCGATGTTTGCTTGCGCAGAACACGCTGCAGGGATTGGCGGCGCGGCACACGGACGTGCTCGAGAGCCTCGAGCCCAAGGTCAGGAAGCGCGTGGAGGTGCTTAGGGAGATCCAGGTATAGGAGATTTCCACTTTCCCTGCACGATACCTTTTTTATGGTCGTTTCAACCATGCTTGATGTGGCACTTTGCACGATCCTGGATGATTAATGGTTACTGATGAAGCGACTCATACTGTGATTCTTATGTCACTTGCTTAAACAGCACAGAATGGCGTGTACTAGTACGAGAAATTTCATTCCTAGTTGGGGCTAGGACTGACTTTTAGTGTAGGTTGCACGCTTGCTTATAAGTTGGATTACTCCGGTGCTCTTATTAATTGTATGGGAGATTCTGGAAAAATGCCACAAACTATGCGTGTGTGTTACTAGTAACTACTGTAGGATGACTCACGTTTCAACTTGATGTTACTGGTGATGCCAGCTCTAGATTTTTTTTGTACTTCGTTGAACTATTTTGTTTCAAACCCAAACGATGAATATTGATATTGAGTCCAAGCAGTTACAAAACAGTTTAGCTGTGGAGTTTCTTGAAAGCCTTGTTCTTTTACTTTATGTGAATTGTTTCCACCTAGCTATTGTCAGGTTATGTTACTAACTCAAATTGCTTTATCTGTGCTGTATCAACACTAATTGTGGAACTACAAAGCACAATGGTTGAATTTTGGAATATCCCTGTTGCATCTGGTGCTAAGCTGCTTCGTTTAATATCTGCCAGAGCCAACACGATGATCTAGAGGCGAAGTTCTTTGAGGAGAGAGCTGCACTTGAAGCTAAATATCAGAAGATGTATGAACCACTTTACTCCAAGGTAAACTATTTTTAATGGCCTGCTATTGCCTGTGTTATGCATTTTTGCTGTCTCACCCTGCTGTATGTTTACTCTTAACTCTTTGATCTGTTGGAAGCATGTATCACCTCACCATGGAAACAACTGCTTGAATAGCTCGCAGACCTTGACTTTTCGTTTTTGCATGGTTCATACTTCATCGCCTCACACAAGACAGATATCTCTAACATTTGCCATCCCTGTATCATATGGATGTCATGATCTGTCTGAGTTTTTTTCCATCTGTGTGTTGACAGCGTTATGAAATCGTGAATGGTGTGGTTGAGGTAGATGGTGTCACCAAAGAAGCTGCAGATGAAACCCCTGCAGAGCAGAAAGGTTCTCATATTCTTCCTTTACTAACATGTTTGTCTATTCCCAGTTGGCTTAATGCTTACTACTCCTTCCGTCCCAATATATAGCAACCTAGGGTATCCCATCCTAGGCTGCTACATATTGGGACGGAGGGAGTAGAAATCATCTTTTTTTATTTTTCAATTAAAATTTAATGCTTCCTTGCAGAGGAGAAGGGTGTACCAGAGTTCTGGCTTAATGCCA